GGTATGCAGGGTCCTGGAGGGGTTTTGGCTGGGTACCGCTGGATGATGATGATGAAGCCCCTCAGCGAATTTTAGATGGCGATGTTTTCTCTGAGTTCAAGACGCACATGGTATCAATGCAGGCGAGATTCGGAACATTCCACACTGCACTCAAGACTATTGGCGATGAACCTCGTGAGTGTGTCAGTATCTGTGCTGTGATCTATCTGCTGATATATTTTCAGAGCAACGAGTATGGATTACAGGCCGTGAGCTTCTTTCTAGCCTTTCATCGCTCCTCCTATTCGTTGCCAATATCCACATCGCTCGTCACGTCGACATCGATGGTTTCTATTCCAATGTGGCGGATGCTGAACGTGCTGCTCTGTACGCTCAAACCGTGGACAAAGCTCGCTTGCTCGCACGCACGCTCGAAGCAGTAGTACAAGCTCTATACGATGACGCAGCTACACTGCTTCTCACGATACAGCGAGTTCGTCGTCTCACTTACAGAGTCTCGCGACAAGATCGTGACTTCCAGTGCGAGTACCTAGACGCCATCTCTGGCTCCCTCAAGTCAAATCTCCAATTTCTCATGCAAACCCTTGATAGCCTACTTTCTCTTGGCCACGATCAAGCAGACATGGCACAAGGGGAATACACAGGTGCAATAGAGTGGCGCATGTCACGTTTAAGCATCATCGACTGTAACTTTGACGCCCGTCCCATGTCGGTCCTTGACCCAGCAGATCCAGAGAGCGAGGACATTGTTGATATCGCAGTTGCTTTCGGTGCGTCTGGAATGAAAAAGTCGGCGGTCAATCTTGGCGACTGCGCGCCATTTCGAAGCCAATCTCAATTGTCTGATGCCACCATTACGCTTACCGATCGGTCACTCAAGTCGGCGGCTTCGAGCTACGACCCCACTATGTCTGCACACACCCTGATTCCTTCAACATTTGATAAACCGCAGGATGTCCTGTCTATGAGCGACTCGGCTTCAATGCTTGACGACGACTGTAAGCGACACTTGTATATTCCCTCCCTTTCTCGGCTTATGATATGTACAGCTGCGACCACGAGAACAGCAACGAAAATCAAGAAAATCTTTGGCGATGACGCTCCTGAGCACATCATCAGCACAAAGCCTTGGTATCTGCGACCCGACTACACGAAGAATGACATGACTATCGATGTAGATGGAAGCATTCGAGCAGGAACTGTTCCAGCTTTGGTCGAACGTCTCACGTCACATGATCCTTCAGGTACGGGTGCTTCGTGATCTATCTGCCTACGGTATTATATTCAGTATGGGGGACATTATAGACCCTACGTTCATCAAAACATTCTTGATGACGTACAAGTCATTCACTACCCTCGATGAATTTTTCGACCACCTCGTCCGCCGCTTCCGCATCCAAACCCCGGAAGGTCTGAGTCCTACTGAGTTGGAAGAGTGGAGAAAGCTCAAGCAACATGTCATTCAGATGCGGTGCGTCATTGTTGATTCTTCCGCACTATACCTAATGTGATTTTCAGTGTCCTAAATACTCTCAAGGCCATGGTTTCGGATGAAGATTTCCTTGAGAAAGAGGATATGTACATCCTGAATCGAATGAAAGAATTTTTGCAGAATGAGGATGTTAGCAAGTTTGGAGGTGCAAAGCAACTACTTTCACTTGTTGAACGCGCAGTGAGTTCAGCGTCGTTGATATGGTTTAGGTTGTCTGACTCAGATACCACAGCGTGGAGGAGACGTCAAGAAAGGCCTGACTCCTACTCTAGGCAGTCCACCTACCTCGATCTTACCCAAGCCCAATAAGAAGTTGAAACTTTTGGACATAGACCCCTTGGAATTGGCGCGGCAGTTGACAATTATGGAGAGTTACTTATACCAGAAGATACGACCGGTGGAATGTCTACAGCGTTCGCGGGAGCAAAAGACAGATCACAATGATAACATTGCTCGGGTGATTCAGACAAGCAATCGGGTATGATCCGGCCCTCGCGATAGCCATCGTATGCTCATAACTTTACCAGATTGCTAACTGGGTAGCTGACTCAGTTCTCACCCACGAGGACTCCAGGAAGCGTTCGGCTATCTTGAAGCAGTTCATAAGTGTTGCTGATGTAAGTGGTCTACTACGGAATTCATTAACTCAATGCTTACTTCCCTCAGCGATGTCGCTCGATGCACAATTACTCAAGCATGGTTGCTATAGTATCTGGACTGAATTCGCCTCCTATAAGGCGCCTCAAGCGCTCATGGGAGCAAGTGAATGCGCGACATATGACTCAACTCAACACATGCGAGATGACCATCGATTCAGGCAAGAACTTCAATAATTATCGTTCGACGCTTGCAAGAGTTTCACCCCCTTGTGTGCCTTTCATTGGTAAGCTTTCCACTTTGATTCTTTGTTGCCGATATATTCATTTACATGTAAAGGCGTCTTCCTCACTACACTGACGTTCATCCAAGATGGAAGCAAGGACACTCTTCCAGGTAACTTGGTGAACTTCCGAAAACGACAGAAAGCTTCGGAGGTGATCCAAGACATTCAGCGCTGGCAAACATTCCCGCATAATTTCAATCTTATTACGAGCGTGCAAACTTACCTTGAGGAATCACTTGCTAAGTTCAGCGAGCAGGTTGATGTAGGCGATTATTTTTGGAACCTCAGTCTGGAACGCGAACCTCGCGAGAGAGAAGACGAGAAGATGGCTCGATTGCTGCAAGAGAGCGGATTTTTGTAAATGGGGACTTCTATGTGTCTTATCTTCATATAGTTCATATAGTTGTAGGGATACAATTTGCTTCTGAGTACTTATTGATGATCTATATCCAGTTGCTTGGTTACTGACGACTCACGAGATGGTGTCACCATGACATGAATCAGATTGATCATCCTTCCGAGTATCATGATTCCAAATGAAGTCTGTGGCCTAAAGCAAGTGTATATAACCATTCTAACTAGTTGCTGATCTCTCCACCCGTATTTGCATTCCACCTCTGAGCCCTTCGTCTTGCTACGACATTGCCCTTGTAAAATGTTGTGCGGTCGAATCCCGGGCTCAGCACTGCAGATTGCCACCGACGCGCCCCGTGTACTACAACGAAATCAGCAGGATCACCAACACGGGGGACAATACCATCGCCTTCATCCGCCGGTTTCCCACTAACACTGCCCCCGTGCATGATACCAATGGCTTCTTTAGATGTTGTGGACACCGATCGCTGTGACAATCGTCAAATCATGGCCAGAGCTAACTCCACCCAGTTTACTTACCAAAAGTACTCTCCAGTCTGGTTCTGTGCCCACTTGAAAAAGTGCGACGCCAAGACTAGCAAGTGTAAGGGGATCAAGTGACCCCTGGGGCGTGAAGGCATTCTCGACGTTATTTACAGAAAGCGCAACACGGACTCCGTGATCGCGGTAAACTTGTGGCGCATTGATTGTGCGCCCTGCGAGCGGGACAGGAACTCTCCCGCTAGGATCCGCACGACCCATCATGTAAATATCACTTTGCGGTAGTGCGACAATCTCCAACGGTAAGATGTCTGTGGCGCGCTTTAATTCGGCCCACTCTTCGCCCGAAAAGAGTCCCAGCCTGGTTGCATGTCCAATAGTAACACGCTTTCCACTAATTTTGCACCAGGATCGCTGACGCATCTGCTGCAACACATCCCAAACCATCGGAACGGCGTCCGGATCGAGATTGTAATCCAGGTGAAAATCCGCATGTAGGTCGTGTTTTTCAGCGAGAGACAATATGAGTTCGATGTTCTTGAGAGCATGTGCGCGGTCAGGTTCAACCCAAGGCGCAGAGCCGACGACGGAAACATCTGGGCGAGAAGCTGCATCACAAAGCAGATTGTAATTTGGACCGGGTTCTGTTGAGTCCGCAAATTCGTAGAGCGCCTCTTGGGCAAAAGCTGAAAACAAATATCAATGCCGCAAAAAATGTAGTAATGGAACTGAAGGCGGCAGACCAACTATTTGGATATGACAAACCTCAACCCATTCTTTCGCTAACTGAAGTCCCATATCTAGACATGTGAAACCAACTGTTGTATCCACCTCAACGAAGGCTCGCATCGCAGTAACACCAGACTCCACGCTCTCTCGGATGAGATAAGTTGCCCTAGCGTAAAGATTATTGACATCCTTTGGAAATTCTGCTTTAGCTTTATTTGTTACTCTAAGAGCTTCAGGCAAAGACCTTGGACAAGGTCAACATTTCAATCATAAAAATATGATGTAACGTACCCAGTAACCAACGGGTCACACTGACCGAGTATAAAACACTTGTCGAGATGGATGTGCGAGTGGCACAACCTAGATATAGAAAGTTTTCAAGCCTGGCAATTGATTCGTGCTGATAAAGTCAAACATACGAAGGGACTAGCACCCCGCCATTGGCTTCGATAACTGCAGCTTCTTCGTGAGGTATGCATGATCCTGAAGAGGTTATACTCTGTACTCGGCCACCAAGACAGGCTATGTCCCATGCAGAATTCGCCTCTGAATGGTCTGCGCATGGAAGTCGAACATTACGTATCACAATACCAAAGTTCGGGCTCGCCATCATCAATGACAATACCTGGCAGACCTTAGCATAGCAGTGATCTCACTGGGAGAGCACAGACGCAACTTTCTCATGGTCTTGTACATGTCAGCTGGACTTGACCAAGACAGTTCCAACAATAGAGACCACCCAGCAACGTTGCAACAGCCAGCTGCCCATTACATTTTCCCGCACTCCTTGGATATCAGTTCAGATCGGACTCAAAATTTGGGTCAGCATGGTGTCATTTCGCCATCTGCCGAAATGTGCATACTGGTATCGAAATTCGAAGTGAGAATCCCTAATCATCCAATTACATTTTGATTTCAATTTCCCTTGAGGCAAAACTCTGACACTATGTATGTGTAATTAGATTTATCCCACCTGCTCTTACTTCACGGTAATGTAAGGCTATCGCTTACCTAACTGTTTTTCCCACGACTGCTATGTTATTAACATGTTCAACCAGTCTTAACAATGTGGTGCAACTGCTCAGCGCTCAGGCCCCCAGCTCCAGTTACTCGTCCTTGCCTTGAGCTAAGATTTTAACATGATGTTTGCACTCACGACCCTCTTATTCGCCATCTCATCTCTGATATCATTGGTACTCTCACTACCACTGAACTTGAGGGATGTAGTAGATCCGCCCATCACTAGTCCAACGGCGGACACTGTATGGCAAGTCGGAGAGAAGCAGCTGGTAACTTGGTAAGTATGTACACCCAGGTGTGATTGGATACCTTCGAATAACACATTTACCGCAGGAGCACTGACGATTTATCTCCTAATGTTACCAATCCGGTTGGGATGCTGGTTTTGGGATACATGTACAACAACAGCGAGAATCTAATGTTGAGTGAGTCAACTATGTTATGAAATATTATGCTTTTATCGTGATTAAATGACATACTTTTAGGCTCACCGCTTGCAACGAACATCAATTATGCGGACGGTCAAGCTCTGATCACCGTCCCCGATGTAGAGACACGAGAAGATTATATCGTTGTTTGTAAGTGGTGGGTACCTGCGGGAGAGGTAGTTCTAATAATTTTGATCAAGTGTTTGGGGACTCTGGCAACGCCAGTCCAGAATTCACCATCATCAACGACAGCTCGTCTTCGTCTGCTCCTGCGCCATCCACATATTCAACTTCAGATCAGTCGGCCACTCCTCTGAGCAGTGCATCCCCTACAACTGAAGCTCTTTCGGGAACCCCGTTATCAACTCCGGTCAAGTTGACTCCAACAACTTCCGGCATAACACCTACAACTGGGGCGTCTAAGCCTACTTCAAGTTCCGGTACAACCTCAGTTGTCACGTCTAGTGTAGCGCCAACACAAACTACACTCACGGGTACTGCATGGAGGAACCATGCGTCAGGCGCGTCGATTATACTCGCCTTGGTATCGCTGCTCTACATCCTGTAGGCGCCATGAGCTTTGATTGGCGAAGCATTTCTGAGAATCAGATGACATGTCCATAATGATTGCGACTCAGTTTCATGAACTCTTACTTACTCATTGTATGATTTTGACGACGAAGATGGATGGATCTACGACACATACTTGGCTGGCATTCAATCACTCTACTCTAGCATTCTTACGATATCACTGTTATTGGAACACTGTGCATGATTTACATGAATGTAGCAATTTTTGGTTACTGGAATAGTGCTCGTTGGTTGAGCCGCAAGACAGGTGCACTGCTGAATGATTTGTACGTTCGAAGCCAAGTCAAAGGGATGGTCATATTTTTCGTCGCTTCTTCCACGAATTTTCGTCAAGTATGAAGAACACGCACTGAACTGAGGTATTGATCACGAATAGACTGTGACTGATGGTAGAAAGAAATAACAAATGTGCTCACTACCAACACCAACTGAAGTCAGGCCCTATCGTTAAGGACCTGAGCGACTCGAGGACGGACATGATGCTTCCATTTGTACGACTGGGTGACAAAGGTGGATCTAGGGCACATATATACTCTATTCGTATTCTATGATTCCGTACTCAGAAATCAACTGTCCAGAAGCACTCCAAGTCCTCGCCACTACCAGAACACCATGTGCATGATTTTCATTTGGATGCAATGAATCCTGGTTTTAGAACTTCAAAGAGCCCCTGTTGGTTGAGTTGCGGTACCTACCAGTGGCGGAAACTACTGGATGATCAATGCTGCATGCATTCCAAATTAGACGCTCTAGATTCATTGAGGGGAAAACGGGTCCCTTATTTCGCTATTTGATTCTAGGGAAGGTCACAAGGGGTATAAAAAGCGGCAATCTCCTAGCCTGAGCGTCGAATTGGGCACAACTTCGTGCCGTGTGGGGAACAAAGGCCAGATGATTATCAAGTGTTTGATAACTCGAGAATCTAGAAACGAACATACAGTGTCTATCAGATTGCTCAACGATCCAAGTCGCAAACTAGATGCGAAATGCAGCGCTGCTATCAGTATGAGGGCTTTCCAGATGGGTCGAAGGAAAGGGGGGAAGGAGAACGCGAGGCTCATTTTAGAGACTGATGCGAGTACCAGCATGCTGTATAGTCTTCATTTCACGATGATGGGCATGTTGCTCTCCGCGTGGCACGCCCTTCATATGTAGTACCAGCAGCGACGTTATTCGCTAGCAGGCTCCAGACCGTTCGAGGAATGAGGATGCCTGCTGTTCGGGATTTGATCATTCGAGGGGCGCCTAGAACTGCCTTGGACAGACAGGTACTTCTGATGATGCGCACCTTCCAGGATATCCGACGAGTTTGGTATATTCGGCCTCATTTCCGTGACCTCCATATATTCAGCTCTTCGCTTGATATTCCAGAAGGCTCGAACAATTTGGGGCGCAAACTTTCGCCAGCTCAGGCCACTTGTACCTTGATTATAATTGTCCTCGGCCACTTGAGAGTCGAGAACGAAAGGAAAAGGCGCGATGTGCATCCGTTAAATATGCCGTGCTTTTCAGAGAAATAGCTGTCATGCTACCAAACTGAGGTGCATCGCGATTTGTAGGTGGGATGGCAGACCATTATTGCAAGACTCGGTGAAGGCCCGAAATCAACTAGAAGCTACCAGGCATGAGTCTTGGCGAACGTGCTGTCGGGTTCCACATCTTTGATAACAAACTCGTAATCGCATACAGTCCCACGAAGGCTTCAAGGTGCACCGGTGAGTCCCCGTGGTCACCGTGACGGAGAGACGCGGTCACGGTAATGTCGTATTTTCATTATGATGTCTCCGACGCTCACGGAAGGAGTCAGTTTCAGGTCGGATGCTGTGTCTACACGCGTATAATGCGTGCAGATAATAACCAGTATCAGCATCATCGCGAAGGTACGGCGATCGGGCATGGTCTGCATCATGGTGGATCAAAAGTCTGACGTGAGTCACGTGACATATAACGAACAGGATTCTACATACATTTACAATTAATATATATAGCGCAATAGTTACTTAGGCAAAGGGATCTAAATCCTGCGATGTTATTAGGTCTTCATTTGGGGTGATACCGGCATGCGATGAGACTTACTACATATATCTTCGGCTCTTCGAGTCACAAGGACGAGGAGCCTAGCGATTTATTTGAACCTTGATGTCGATTCTTGCGGTTTCCAAACGTGCAAGTTGTTCAAGACTCAAGAGTCGACCGAAAGAAATCCACCCATTCAATGTAGGTGCTAATAATAAGATCAGATGCCAATCAGATTACTAAAAACAACACGGAGCGCATACTGCGGTCAAGAAAAATGGTATACTTAGGCTCCTAGGGCCTTGTATTTACTGTAAGTGATAGAGCGCGATAGAAACATCGTTATGAAATGATACAAAAGATCCTGAATCTTGATCCCCTTCCTGACGAGGAGGATTTGTCGTCTATAATCTAAAGAGTCGTGATGGAAACCGTAAGGAAATCGTGTATCCGAAGTAAGATTTGTAATACAGGATGGCGCGCAGTTAAGGCGACCAGTCCTTACTCATAAAGTGCCATGAAATTGGGATTTCACCGGTGTCGAGTGTGCTTAGTTCTTCAAACAGGCCAGGAGACATGTCTACGAAACGAATTTAACGGGTGCAGCACAAGTTAAACCTTGAAATCACAACATACCTAGGCTACCTGAGCCACAAGACTCGCATTCGTCACGCGTCTTCCCATACGCGCTCTGTCCGTTGTCGGTGTTGGTGATGTGAATCCACTACGAGCGATAAGCATCCAATATCCGCATTGCGGGAATGGAAGATGGGCCTACCTGATTGCAGTTTCCTCCAGTGTCATATATCTCAGCAGAAATAGCGACTATAGGATCACTATCTGTATCCGTATATCCGCAGGCTCCTGTGCCAACTTCAAACCAGGTACCCTTTGTTAAAGCAATTAGCAATCAGCAAACAACTGTCTTTGATCAATTCACCTCGCCTGAGTGTGTGGTGCGCTTTTCAAGTGATCCTGTCGTAGCTCTATCGATCCGTAATGGCGCAGCCAGAACGGTGAAGAAAATCGTGCATAGCGTGATCAAGATAGTCGTTAGTCTATACATGTTGGCAGTCAGCGAGGGGCCAAGATATCGAATGCGTGAAGAAGACGTTAGGGGGATGGAGCACTCTACTTGCACTTACTTCGATATACAATCCACAGGCCCTTATATACCTGGAGACAGGCTTTTACCTCACATCAGACATGCTCTTCGGGAAATTTTATTGCTGTGCCAGTTATAGATTGTCCCCGCACTGGAGTCGCGTTGTCTAGACAAGAAAAAGAGGGTACGCGGATACGTACCTCATCAAACAACGTACATCGGAAGTCCTGAGGACATATTATTGTCTCCGAGTCGAGGGCAAACTGAAAATTACGGCAAGTTCAAACACAGGTACACTTGCGAAATCACACACAACAGAAGTAATGCCGTCCGGGTAAGGTGTACACCCTTGGATAATGTTATGAGGGCTATTACTTACTATTTGAATATAGCTGATCAACCCAAAATTTAAGAAAGATTTGACTCGAATGTTGCTTGAAGTAGTCATTTTGTATCCCACGCACCTGGTAATTTTTAGTTTGCACTCCGGCCGTCTTGTTTCCGCGTCAACTTCCCCCCACCTCGTGTTGTTTCTTGTCCACTTCGTTTCTCAGCACTAGCAATATGTCTGTCCGACTCTGTCGTTCTCTCGGCTTCCGACATACCGAACTCTCACCGCGGGGATTACTTTCCAGTAAGCGATGCGGGCACATGACAACTCTTCGGTGCCGTCGCCGTCCTTCGTACTAGTAAAATATCAGGCTCCACGCCTCCAGGAGATTCCTGTTTAGATCGTACGTGCGGGCTAGCAAATATTGATGCCTAATAGCTGGTTCAGGAATGAGTATCGGTAGAGTTTCATGGGTGCTGGTACCAACATTTTCTCGCTTCTCGAAACCCTCTCTATCGACGCTCAGAAAATACGAGTCCACCCGGTTAGTGCTTGACATGCTGCGCTCAGCCCGCAAGTCAATTGGAGTGTGGCCATCTACGCGTAACGGCTGAGCAATGCATGCGTGCCTCACGGACCGATGAAAACTGCTACAGCCAGCGGAATCATTAATCATTAGCGAGCCTGACATATCCTTGGCACGTCAGTTTCTGATGAGAAACTCGTGGCTCGGAATGTTTTCCCGTAGTGGCATCGATGTGAAGGCGACGTTCCCTTACCAGCATACTACTACATGCATATTTGGCGACTTGGAACACATAAAACATTGCTACCCTTTAAGCTTCGAGCTCAAACCTTGCATTCGTCGTTCTTTAATGATCGATAATCGTTTTTTGTCCTGTAATTATCATCTGACTTAATCACCGCCCCATTTTTCATTTCTGCTCGCTTGAAATTGATGGCATGCACGATGGCGGGTGAATCAGCAGGTAGGCTAAAGTCGCTTGTCTGCATCGTGCCTCGATTAAACGCAGTTCCCGACTTGCCTTGTCCCTGTCATGACTTTATGAGAATATATTCGATGTGCGAGTTCAGTGCAACGGTGATGTTTTTCCAACACGCTGTGCTATAGCACTGCCCGTGATCCGAGTCGTAGACGCCTCGACCCTTACTATATATCCGGCAAGATGAGACTCGGCTGTCAGGTTCCGTTCCGCAATCGCTACTTTTGCTCTTCACCTGACCAGTGACCGGGACCACTCAGTACTCAAGCTCAAATTGCAAACTCAACAGACATACGTTTTGAAAGAAAATGCAGAAACAAACCAACAGCTATGGTCAACTATTGCCTGTAACCTACTGAATCCGCAGTCAATCATGGCATTCATCGCTGATGCTTATTTCACGATCAGGATCAGGTAGATCGTATCTCCAGTCTTTTTGATGGCCACCTTGGTCTATTAGCCGATGTGCGTCTTCGAAATTCGAAATTTAGGACAGCTGATCACTCACCTGCTTGACTCATACAGGCACGCGAATTGTACCGCGAGAGAGCAGCGTTAGAACGCGATTATGCAACAAAGTTGAAGCAATTAGCGAAGAAAGCAAGCGAAAAGAAGAACAAGAATGAACTATTACTAGTCCTTGGAGACGACAAGGCCGTATACACGGAAAGTGTGATACAACAGAAGCATGTCATTTCTTCTCAATTTTGACCGGGCACTCATATTTTTAATGGTAGCACCCTGAATCATGCATATTCTGAGATCTTATCATCGATGTCAAGCTCTGCTCAGGACCATATCAACCTAGCAGAGGCATGGTCTCAAATGACGGAATCTCTGAAGGCTGTTGAGCGCCGCAATGATGATTACAAGAAAAAGGTTACATTATCGTGCAAAATCATGCCTATGCATACTGATGATGTATGCAGCAAATGCAGTTCTTTTCCACGATTTTTGCTGGACGCGATAAGATCTATGCTGAACGCATCAAGGCAAGGTCTTGAACTGGTCCCATACTGCACGTTTTAACCATCATGATACAGAGCAAGCAAAAAGTGAGATCCTGGGCACTATAACGCAACTATTCTAACCACCATATTCATAAAGTATGACGCCGATTGCGCCGAAGTTGAAATTCATCGTCAAAAGCAGGTAAGGAAGCTCGTCAAGAATCTTCTCACGGTCATAAATTCTTGTGAAGTCTGGTCACGATCGACACGCGGAGCGCTCAGCGAGACAATATGATCTGCAGAGGCTCGACATGCTCAATAGCAAGAAGTACGTGCTAAAAAAACATATAGAATTTTATCCAATTTCCAGCAGTATTTATATTATTTCAACTGCAACCGCCAACAGCGTGAAGACGAAGTTTTATACCGAGGACCTGCCAAGTCTTGAAGATGTAAGTTAGGTCACATTATCCTATTCGGCACATACTGACAAACCTTACATCACGCCAAGTCCTTCCGTGAGTGGCTACCACTGTGCACATGATTCGGCTGACTGTCTGCAGAAGAATTACAGACTCGTCTAGTCATGGATTTCGTTGGTGTCATGAGAGAGGCCCAGAATATCCAATTGTCACACCAAAATATCTTGAAGGACCGTCTTACAGCCGTTATCGCCGCTTTGATTGAAGTCCAACCCGATAAGGATCAGGCGCTTTTCGCAGAATACAACATACGTCCGTTCAGCCTACCCAACGACTGGGTATTTGAACCATGTTCAAATCACTACGATACAGTAGGCCTGACTGACTTGAGTTACGTGCACTGTGTTAAGAGCTGTAAATTACAGGGAGATATTTGTATTGATTCAGGTCCCAAGGTGCTCTTACAAAATAAGCTCGCGCGCTCGCGAGCTAAATTGAGAGAACTGAACCATGTGCTTGGAAAAAAACGTGAGTGGAATCTCGCCCCGTGGACTGCTGGTTGCACTCACCATCTTGTGTACAGGGACTGACGCCGAGAAATATCATGTCATGCTTACAGCTTGCGCCACTGATAACACACCTGAAGACATAGGATGACGCCATGAATGTGCGTAGTCATTATTGGTGGAATATGAGTTCCTTACTAACTCCTATGCAGAGCTACCTTGATACTGCCCACGAGGTCACCGCCCTCTCGACCTCAGCATGTGTCCTCAACTCGGAAATCAACATGATCGCGGAAGTCCTGGGGGGTAAGTAACATGTCAGACGAACATCGTGCATATGTCAGTTAATATTGATGCGTAAGGCGACGAGGGAGGTTCGAGCCCACACGTTTTCAAGAGCTCGGCCTTTTCGATACCTACAACATGCGGATACTGTAAGGTATGATTAAGAAACTGGTGGATGCGTGTCTGCGCTATTTGACCAATAACCGCCTAGGTATCGATCTGGGGTCTAAGTAAGCAGGGGAAGACCTGTAAAAGTTGTGGCTTATCTGTGCACTCTAAATGCGAGTTAAATGTAATTTCATTCTCCCATCTAAACCATGTAGGGATGCCGCTTACGGACATCGTTAGGTACCTGCGGAGTGCAGTAACGTTCATGGCAATTACAAAGCCTCGGAAATTCTGCAGTCTCCCTCTTCTGCCGTGTCTATATCGGAGAGTAGATGTAGGTGATTGATAAGTTCTATAACAGGACTCACAAACTAGTCCGCAGCATCAGTATCCACCAGCTCCAGAAAAACTCCAATACCATCATCTTCTGTGCCACACAATACATCACTTCATGTGGAAGAAACGCATCGATTGGCTCGTGCTATCTTCGACTTCGCGGCGTCCTCGTCCTTCGAATTGAATGTGACAGGTCTGTGTGGCAACATAACCCCATCCTGCACGTGCTGATATGGTTACAAGAGGGTACTGTGGTGCGTGTGGTGGAGGAAGACGATGGTTCCGGATGGGTAAAGGTGGCTGACTCCGATGGTGAGAAAGGGTTGGTCCCTGCGACCTATTTGGAAGATGCAGGCGGATGGCCATTGGAAAAATCTGAACCCTCTCAACGAGATTCTCAGCAAGCGTCAGGCATATACGGTACGAGTACCGCCTATTTTCTCGTACGATCAGTTATTTCTCACTTTTACCCGATAAATAGTACGGGCTCTCTACGACTATCGAGCTCAAGAACCAGGAGAGCTGACGATAAATGAGGGGGACCTCGTTGAGCTGTCCTCTGGAACGAACGGAGGTCAAAACTATGCAGACGGTTGGTGGGAAGGTATCCAGATGGTCTGACTTCATTTCAATGCCGCCTGACTGATTATAATTTTAGGGTTTTCCAGAGACGGGAAGAAGGGGATATTTCCCAGTAATTATGTACGTGGGCCTGGTTGTCAGCACAAAACATAAAGTTGCTGAACATGTGTCAGGTGAATTTGGCTTGATTATTTCGCAACGATTCTATCGCTGCCGTTAGTTGACGATAGATTGATCACGATTTCGAACACCCTGTACCGTAGTCGGCGGAACCAAATTGGAAAATAATGGTACATACATACCATATGATGACCACCAATTTCTATCTCCGTATTGCAGAACCAACTACACTACCTCCTTCATTTAAGGTATTATTTTTCGTGGCGATATTGTATCTCCCCATTCTAATAAAGGGATCCTGCCTGATCGCGACCGCCCGCTCCGAGGCCATTGTTGTTCCTTAGTTTACCAGGAGGCACCATTATTAGACCGATCGAGGAGTTTGGAGGTGTCAACTGCACATGGTGATTTCTGAAAGAACAGCTATTCGTGATACAGATTTACATAGAACAGGCCTGGCAAGTCAGCATCGTAGGAAGAGTATGATCGGAATGGGTCGGCCGTAGCCGAGGTCTACATAGGTATGCCGTCAAAGGACCCTATCGTACGTCACAATGCACCAGCGAACATGAAGTTGTGACAGTCATACATACAAATTTAGCTGTGGTCTACGGTCCTCATCACAATTTACAACGAATACAGCCAGCCAGCCGTCATCTCGGCTAGCCATCATAGGTAGACGGTGTTTTGACAAATTTGTCATTTGACAGTAGGTTCGCCACAGTACAGGACTAGGCCTGCATGCTGGAAGTGTGCAATCAAAAAAATTATTCTAGAACTTCTCAGGGGACAACTCGAGCCCTCTTGAGCCTAGTGCAGAAGGGTTATTTTTCTGTTAATAGACAAGCATTGGGACTAAAAAAAAATTGCCTGCGGCCGACCGTTCCCATCAGAGGAATAAGCCTAAACAAACAATAGTTACCAAAGCCCTGGCATCAGGAGCAAGCTATCGATTTCGATGACTAACCGGACATTAACGCATCTGGACAGATGGAGGTCTGGTTGAAGATGTTGAAAAATTACCTGAAATACGCCACTTGCTCCTTTGAAAGCCCATCTTCCAAATGAGTTGTCAATTCTGCATCTTTGCCAGTATCTCGCTTCCCTCAGCAGGGATAATTGGCTCAGAGACTGATGTTGGAGTCCGAATAAGCATCATCTCAACAGTGGTGATTGCGGAGAACTGCCTCTGCATGAATGCGTCAAAGAATGGAATTCCGGAGACGGAAGACGTACATTCCACACATAGAAAGGTCATGTGTTTCACGAAGAAAATTAGGGCACCAATAAGGAGTTTGGATGTTCCTAAGTCAGGATGCAATTTGACTCCGCGGTGAGATGGAGCATGTTCATGGGCACTGTATCTCGGTGGCGATTTGTGTTTCTCACATTTCAGATGAATTCCATGACATTGCTTCCACTTGGAGCACACGGAAGCTGCAATGACTTATCTGATCGAGGTTCATAAAAAATTAGTAGATACACGGGAGACCTGTGCCGCTCAGATTTGTATAAGAACTCACCCGTTGTCGTTGACCATCTTCAACACTCCCAACCACTGCTTTTCTCTGCTACACACCTAAATTCCGAGACACTGAGCTTGGGGGCCGTTTCACTTATTCTTTCACCTGCATCGGCGTCGTGGCTCCACGCTACGAGCGCACTTGCTGACCCTCGTTTGATAATGACGAGGTTGGCTGTGTACTCTTGCGATGGATGACTGCGACGTCGATCCATGGGAAGGGGATTATGGTACAGCCCCTTCAGCGAACCCCACTCGTCTCACCATGGACAAAGCACTGGCAGCATGGCAATTATGTCGCAATGCCGCTTATGCCGTCCAAAAGCTCTAGCGAGGTCAATGATACCACTCACAACTGGGAGACCGCTGGGCGGACAGTATAGGACGTCAGAAACGCTGGAGTCTGTACCCTATCAGGTAACACTCGCTAACGCGTAGATACAATCCATGCTCGCCGGGTAGAACAGCGGTGACGCAGCAGATGATGTACTATACTCAGTATCATCTATATCATTGACTTGTTAAGCTTGCGAGTAGCTCTTCTTACTGTAGACCCGATGATAATCGTAAGTTCGAGCGGATGAGTGAAGTACTCACCTGCCTATCGATGTGGACCCGTTGACATGCCGAACGAGTGACAATTTATCGAAAGATTTGAACAGGGAGAAACCAATGAAGTGAAATAATTACATAAAACAGTCCTACGAAAAAGGAGAGAACGAAATGCAGGCTATCTCCCCCCTACTCCAATTGCTGTTCGTATGAATGGGCCATTTGCTCCCATAGGCCCATATGATGTGCCAGATGGTAGTGGCGCAGGCAGGGCACCGCCTAGTGCTGGAGTAGGTAAAGGCACTCCCATACCCATTATCACACCTTGGTTCTGGGGGGCGGACAAGGCAGGAGTCTGGTTTTGTGAATCCCTTGGTATCCCCCTGTCTTCTCGTTCGGCAATGGTAGCTCCACCTCGACCAGTATCAGTGATGCCGTTGGATACTGCGAAGGTCTGCCCTAGACCATACAGTTTACAGTTATATTCGGTGTCGTCTATTTGATCATTGAAGTAGAGTTCTCGCATTTTGAAGAAGGTGGATGCAGTAAGAAGGGAGTCTGATCCGGCTTGATGTGATGTTCCTATACGCATCACCTGTAGGGATCAGTAATTAACTGGTGATCAACTAACCACAGGAGAAATCACGCACACCAAGATCATCCGCGACTTCCTGTAGTCCTCCTTTGAGGGACTTGGAGGCACGCATCATGAACTTGATGTCATAGCAATAGGGGAACCAAGTGCGCAGCCATTCAAAGAATTGTTCTTCGGAGGTCGGCAAGGACATCGCGGTCAAAAGCCTGACCAGGTAACCGAAGTCATAGCCGCTGGAATATGAAAGATATACGTAAGTGAGGTGAATGTAAAGAAGAGGCTTTCAAAAGTGGAACTGAACGACAGCGCTTCAAGAGCGTTTGGTGCCCTTACTTGTCAGAGAAGATTGTATGACTTACCTATGAAACGATATCCATTTGGCCTCGGGCGCAAGGACCAGACCCGATGTGATCAAGAGTTCAGCAAAGTCATACGGCAATATTCCCATCTCCTCGTGACGCTGGAAATCAAGCCCTGACTTCTGTAACAGGTCGATTGATTCTGGCGCATACATATCTTCACTATAATCTCATTCTTAACATGCGATACCCGACAATTTTGGCTTCTAAAACGCACCTTATGCTGAACTTGAAATTGAATTGCCAAGTTGTGACGTCCTGGGGGAAGTTACCCTCTTCATCCGCAAGTGTGATACCGGCTTGTATTAGCTTGAGCAGGTCGACATTACATCGCATTGTCTGGTAATGATAGTCTGAAGATGTTTTGAAAGTGCCTATTGGTCGTGCAACTACGCCCGGGAATTCTGTGTCCTACTTCATAGTGAGCATCCATCTGGAAGAAACATCAGACTACGCGCCGCACAATTGCAACGTAAGGGTATTCGTCGATCAGGTCTCGTATGTTCCGCATTTCTGCCTCAAGATTTGGCGCCCATACTTCCCGTATCCGGGACATATCTCAAGAGCCAAACCTGCTGGAATATCAACGCGGTGAACAGTTTCAGGAGCGAGAAGATCTAGCTACAGCACTGAGCAGCAGTACGTGGTTTGAAGGCAAGCAAGTCCAAAGGCAATATTACATAAGCACGTATGTGGGAATTTGTATTTAAAGATTTCATCCAAGTCGTGTATTTATTACTCGAATACAAACCATCAAAACCATGACATGTATGTGTTGTTCTGGCTCTCGACGTTTGACGCCAATGCACCAAAATCGAAGTTGAATGTGTGATTCCCTACCCTCTGGACTGTATGGCCCGCAGGGGGTGAGGGGTCTGCACTGTGTCTCAAAGTTGCAGCAACCAAATCCTCATTCAAACCCAAATCAAGTGAAAGCATGTCTGTAGACAGCTCTTCAGGTTGCCCTGCGTGATCCACCTGTGAGTTTGTGACTGGATTTGGGTGCCGAGGCGAGTAAGTAGGAAGCTCCTGAATGGTTGGTGGAGCAGTTGTCTCAATATCCTGTAGTGTTTTTTGTAGGAACGAGTGTGCAGCATCAAAAGAATCTGGCCAATCCCCTGAAATGCTGCACGCAGCTGATCTGACTGATGATTCTTGAGATGCAAGGTCGGTATCCATGGTCGAGCTATCTCTGGACGTTTTGAGCCACTGGGCGTACGTCCGACGTGACTTCTCTGCGATTTTAGTGAGTAGAGGCTATATTCCTGTTTAGTAATGATCTCCCAAAAGTCATCTTCATCACTAACCAGCGCCTGAGCGACCTGTGAGCATTCCTCAGCCACGTTCGCGAAAATGCGGTAAATAGTGTCCAACTCCTTCAACGCAAATGGCGCTAGACTTAGGAAAGGCGTTCTGGAAACAATCAATGACAATGCAACCTGGATCAAAACACCCAGTCAAGATGTAACAGATTACTAGCTTCAAAAATCACTCACCGCACCAGAGAATGCATTAAACCAGAAACACATGAACCGCTTACTCAGCTGTGGCTCACGACGCAGCATAGTCTCTAACGTGGCAACAAGGCGGGAGGCGCTAAGAAATGTTGCAAGAACTGACGGCGCGTATTTGTGTCGATACGTGAAAGCATCAAAGTCACTCAGTGCCTCAGTAAAAAAATTCCTATGGAGCTGCAGTAGAACTTGTGGGTGTCCAGCTTTAGCGTGCAGGCACATAACCTTTCCGATAAAAACTCACCTATTTCTCGCCCGCTAGCTACTAGTACTTGTTGCATAGTCAACTGTCGGATATCTGTGATGCCCTCTGAGTTGAATATGTTGAGTGTGGGAGGGATGTGGAAGTCCCGAATTTTCTTATCGACATCTAGAATGCTAGAATATGGTTGTGCTTGTGCAGATATCGTGGTGACTATGACTGGTGTGAGACAATGCAAGAAGAATCCGTGCTTCCACTCATGATCTGTGGGATAATCAGTTCTGGTATGAAGGTAAATGGATAAATCAGCCGACATGACTGAGCTTCCGACACGATGTACATCTCCTCTGAAGCATAGGATGGTCGGCGACAATCGACATGTTGTAAGCAAAGTGACGGTGGCCGACCAAGAGATAAAGACTGGGACTCGAGGTTCAGTACGCATGTCACATGTGCAATTAGTTGAAAATCAGAACTAACCAGGCGTGCATCTAAATTCAGAAGTTCCCAGAACAGCATTCGTCGCCGCTGAGCCTCTTCGGGAATTACCTTCCATCTATTGCCGTCGCGGTCTATGAAAATGAATGAAAATCCATGTTGAGGAAATCTCAGGGCGGTAATGGATGTCCGACGTACGGAGACCTAACTGGAACAACATATGTTTTAGGCGAGTGGAGAGGTACTATTTTGGCAAGACCCACGCTTTGAGCCAGCTTCACAGCAAGACCCATGATGCTCCATGCATACGATACAGCTTGACTCTTGTCTGAAAAAATCAGAAGGTACCAAATCATGTAAAACTACCTTCTCGTCAGCACGACCGCATGTTAGATAATGTGACCAACACACCAAAGTCTGTAGAAGATCTAAACTGGGTTCGTCCATTAGATTTGTCTCACATAAGGAGGCTCGTGCCAGGCGATGGAATACTTCAGCTCTCGGAGACTCATTTGGTTGATTAAGATCAACGAGTAGCCCAATAGCCATCATGATGAACAACAGAGAGAGGCGGCGAAAAGAAAGGCTTGACATTGGCGTGGTGTATACGTGATGAACTAGATTCGGAAGCCAAGTTTCGCTTGTATCGAGGTTATACCTTGCATGTACGCCATAAACACATCGCGATAGGACAGTGACGAGAAAACTCACTGCCATAGAGCGTTCAATCGAGCTTGCGTACAAAGGTAATCCGCCTCTTCCCGAGACGGCAACATCTCGTGGATCCGCTGCCTCATGGGATTATTGGGCAACCAAGGATAAGGAAATGTCTGACTGAGTTTTTCGATTTCGGGAGACAATCCAGGAACATCTGAAGTAAAAGCTTCTGCTGATGAATACCTTTCCTAGAAAGTCAATCAGCATCCACCCTGCAAAACTGGGCGCCAAGCAGATTACCTCACATCGGCTATCCTGAACCTTGTCTGCGTCTCGTGTTGAAGATGAGGCAACAGGGAGTTGGGAATTGCTTGAGTGATTTTCTTTGATTGTCCCATCCATCTGGGTGTGTCGTCCACCGGTCGCGTGAGAGCTATAGAGCTCCAGCGAATTTTTAATACGTAGGGAATCTTGGTGTAAGAGGGGATGAGGGTCGGATGAACATTTTGCTTGCACGGTCTCCAAGGCGTCTTCAAGTTGTCGTATGCGATCGCTCATCTGAATGATTTTTGCATGAAGTTGCTCAGTGTTGGCAAGAATGAACCTTGATCGATCATTAATAGAAGGATTCGCCAGAGACCCCGCTACTAACCTGCTGCCCTTTCCAGAGGTGAGAGCACCTGTATACAAGACACGGTCAGATTGAACGCTCAAAAGTATAGTGATGGTAAATACCGTCTGGACATATTTCAGCGCAGCCTCGTTTTGAGCATGATTGACATGGAAAGACACGATCGCACTAGCGCATTCAGCTTTAGAATATGCAAAAGTCGGAGGGAAAAATGGTCACACTTTCAGCTTTAATCTTCAGGATGGGTTTATGGTCAAAGCTTTGAGGCCAGACGGATTGAAACGCACCTTCGGCACTCTGCACAGGACAGAGGCTGCTTCTTGTTATGTGTTTTCCTTGGTGTTGGAGCAAATTCTTCAGGGGCACCAGACGCGGCCAAAGGCGAATCAAATGTGTTGCGAGCCCGCTTGGAGGCACGAGTGTCAGTGCTCACATCAGCGAGACCCCTTGTGGGTGTCTGTCTATGCTCACTACCGTCTGCGAGCATGTTATCGGTGTTGGATATCGAGGTTTGTGTACGAGTTTGCGCGGCTTAAAAGAGACCCCGAGTTGAACGGACTCATTGTTTCAATGGATAGATATATGTAGCACCGTGACTGTAGGTTACGGCATCAATGAACCACGAGTCTCCTGACTTACTATCTTCATCTGAGTTCTCGCCGTTCAACTCCACTTCGAATCCCTTGGCTTCAGTAGTCGGATTCTCCGGCGGGTTTGAACAGACACAAAGGCTCCCATGATGTGGTTTAGGTAGATATTCTAGATAGTCAGTAATCGTCTACGCCACAAACCGGATGTCACAATCAGCCTCAGCATCGAGAATGATACTTGAACTCATACGGACTCAGGAAACTACGGAGGAACTGCCAGCAAATACAAGGCCACCAAATTTCCAACGACCCGAAATGGTCAAAAAACCACGTTGGTGATACCAATATTGGGGCATAATCCTGACGACTCGGAGTAAAGGTAGTCTTATCACGATTCTACTCGTCCGGTTTCCTGCAGCTTATACTGCCTGATCAAAAAAGGACTCACGGTTACTTCGCAGTCCGTAAGTCTCGCATCAAAATTTAGCCAAACTGCCGCTGGTATTTTACTCCGAAAGACAAGGAAGATGGACTTGATACTTCATAGGACGATGCTGAGTGAGTGGGATAGTGATGTAACATGCACAAACCTTAGCTTGTACTACCAAGGTTCCACTCGTACAAAGTTTGAATCCAGAACATTAATATTGCAAATATTTGTGCCGTACCCATTCCTTTGTTCACAAACTGCCGAATCGGGCGAGATGATTTACGGTTCGAACAAAGCTGTTCGCGGAATCAGCCGACCGCATGACTTCCAGGGTCTTTCTTAGGCGCTCGCGGAGCTTCGAGGGCCTCAGCGCTAGGCAAAATCCGTCGTCGCCTGGGAAATTCACTATTGTCCGTCGATACGAGCTGAGTCTAGACGAAAGGCGCTGGAGCGGTCTTCAAGCTTAGCTTCAATACGGAGCCTGTCGTCGCGTGAAAAATAAATAAATCAGACTTGATGGGGCATGGGGCTCGATGTCTAAAACAGACTATTATTGCAGCGTATGTGATAGGCTGCCCGCGCCGACGGTGCCCACCCACGCCGTCGGTATTGCCAGTGCCGGATTTCCCGTAGGGCCAGGGTAGTGCGGCGGTACCCGTAGTACCCTTTCAACTTCACTGTCAAACGCTGTGCCGCAGGAATCAAATCATAGGAAATAATATGATTAAAAGGAGCTCCTTCGTTCCGTAGAAATCGGGTTTCGGAGATCCCCTTGCGACCGCACGCAAGATTCTCCAAGATGTGGAAATAAGAGGAAGGTATGCCATCTTCTTCTCACCCCCCGGACACACAAGCCTACTAACCTACGCAAGCAAAAGATCCATCGATATCCATCCCTGATCATAAACTATCATAAACAAATTATGCCATTAAATAACACACATCCATTGTGCTAAAGGTGACTTGATCACAACTTCCCCTTCTGCTCAGCGGCAGCAACTCTCTCCATCATGAACCTCGTCTCCGTTGCAGCCTCCGCGAGGTAGTGCTTCAGTTCGGCAGTATTTCGTAAAAGTGATGTGATGGTCCACCGGATGTAATGATCATCGATGGAATACGACAGTCCATAACCGTCCGTGACAACTGCGTGTGATAATCATCAGCTTCGATTCGCAAAAACACTCTCAACGACAACATCTACCTTCTCCGTAGCCCCACCCATCTAGATACTTGGAAGAAAGTTGAGATGTTGACAATTCCCAATGATTCGTCTTGGAAAACGCTGGGTCCAAATAGATAGCTGGGACGGACTCCCCATCACGAACCATCTTCTTTAGACCAAATAAATGTCGGTCCACCCCTTGCCCATCCGCGGCCCAGGCAGCATACTGCAGGTGGCGCGCGACGGCACGGCGGAAAAGCACGGCGCGGTGTTCATCCTAGATGCGAATTCCGCATGACATTTAGCCTCTAACTGGAATGGGAAAGTGTTACGCGATCTCCGCATGAAGACCTACAGATTCTTCTGAATTAAGCATGGCTTCGGCCCATTCCTTGCTTTCTAAGCTGGCACTACGAATCACCTCCGTGCGGCCTTGCTGGTATTTGCGCGTCTGACAGCTTTCATACGTCACACCAGGTCGATTAAACATTTTGTGGAAAGCAAGTTGTTTCACAAGCTGAACCCATGCATCAGGCGAAGCCTTGAACTTCTTCATCAGGTCTTTCCCATAGCCTTCATAGTGGAGCACCTAAGAACGGTGGCAATTTAATTATCTACAGGCCCTGATAGATTTCACTGGACCCTGCACTTACCTGCATGTCATGCTGATCCACGAGCTCGTCAAAATGTTGGCATGCCTCATTAATGTATTTCTCGCATGTGGCGTCAAGCTCAAATTTCAGCTCTACGGGCTGCGGAAGATTGGCCCCGGTAGAGTTAGACCTAGGTGCACCAAGATCAACCTTGTTGTGGGCAAGAGAAGCAAGAATGAATTCATTCAGGCGAAGCGTGGGCGTGCCATCCATGCACGAATGCTCCCCAAGGAAACCCGATCGCCCATTATCAAAGACGATTACTGACACGAGTCAAGTGCATTAGCACATCTGGGGAAAATTGTGAGAGTCAATAGCCACATACATTGATGCTTGTCGTAGAAACGGTTCCGGCCGTCTCCGACCCAGCAAGACCAAGAAATATCTTCGCGCAAGACGGGCGTAGTGTCGTCAAGGCAGATGATGATCGCGGAAGACTCTATCCGCTCGAGAGATTGTTGGTTCAATGGCGAACTTGCTATTAGTGCAGAGCGTGCCTGGACGGATAAAGGTATGAGGCCTTGGAAATAGCGGCTAAACGGAACTACCGGGTACTTACATCAGTCCAAATATCTCGGTTCTCCGCTGTCAGCGCGCCGACCGGAGCGCCTGTCTCCTTTCCTGCCATTCTAATGACTCGTTCCACTTGTCTATGTTCCAAAGATACTAAGTTCAATGAATTCAGAGCGATAAATGCGCGACACGCACACTTCTAGCTCAGCCTCGCTTAGTTCATGTCCTTCCGGGGTTGCGAGCAGAACTTCGTAGAACTTGTTCTTCCTCACAAACACGACGTGATTGTGTGCCTTTGGATCAAACTTCTTGGCAGTGTCGGATGGCTTGGTGGGGTATCGGCATGCATGGAAGCTGCGAGGATTTAATTCGACACCATGGATTACGGAATGAGAGCTTACAGCCATTTGTACGAATCCATGCACAGTGGCATCCCACGAACCTTTTCAGGTTCTATTTGTTTCCTGCTCAGCCTTGGCATGAGTAATAAATCAAAGTCAAAGACATGCAAGACACTGACGATTCTGTGATTTCTCTGAAAGGCAGCATAGCTTTGATCAGACTAGCAGCCCTCTTCGCCGGGTCACGTCTGCGTGGATCATCAAGATGCACGTAGAAGTAGCTGACATAAACCACAACAGGGTCGCGGTAGCCCATGTATGCTGCATCATTCCACCAGTCCGCTAGCCAATTCTTGATGGATGGGTCTGCGGCACGGGCTTCTAGGCGTTTCTGAAGCTCAGCAGCCTGAGATGATTTAAGAAACTCTTGTGCAGTAGCCTGAGACTTGGTATACTCCGCATCTGTCAGTAGAGGCCGAATGGTCTCAAGGTACTTGTGCACGGTTGAGGACAGCGCCGGAACCGGAAGCCGAGGAAGTGACGCCTGGAACCGTAACATGTTCCCTGCAGTAGGATCAACAGCATATCCCTCTGGAATATCAGACTTCCTCGGGGCTGAGGACTTGAAATTGCGCTTGGTGGCCATTTGAGACACAAGCTGGAAAAGTAGTTAACGTCAGATGCATGACTAACCAGTAAATTACGTACCGGTGAACGCGACGAACGAGAGGCTAATCTGCTCGAGAACTTCAGCATGGACTCAAAATAACCGGAGATGTGTGAGCGACAATGGATGGAAGGATGCTTGTCCTTCAGGTATCCACTGTTAGTTCAGATGCTTAAGAAGTGGAGATAGAGAGGATAGATCGCCAGCGCCTATGGAGTCCCTGACCAACGATTGATTGGATGGTATCACTTGAAACTGCGTCTAAGATCCAGCAGATGAAGAACAGAGGGAAATCGCAAGGCTCATCAGTGTTGTCGTAGGCGACGTTTTGTGTGACTTCCGTCGGCTTTCCGGTTATACATGTGCTCGTGATATTGAGAGATGCGCGAAATGCCGCCCGCTTTAGCGGCTCATTCTCGTTCAACTCATTCGGAAATGTATGACCTCAAACACTAGTCCCTGACTCTATATGGATCATGCAAGGCGCCTATATGTATTCTTAGATGAGATATGTACATATGATACCAATACACTCAGTACAACAAGGAGAAAACACTCCATGATCAAGGACAAAGCTTCTCAGCAACCTCCTCAATTAGCTTGCGGGCCTCCTTCTTTACAACCCCCGTGTCCCCGCATCCGCCCCTCTCCAATTTATCCTTGAGTATTTTCTGAGCTTGCAGAACCTCTAACAAGGAAGCGAACTGTTCAATGGACGGAGATAGTCGGATCAACAATGCCAATGACGCTGTCAAACGATGAACTGTTACAGAAAATGCAATGATCAAGTGCTGCTATGAGACTGGATTGAACCGAGAGCGTACCAATTTCCTCGCTCGCCTTCTCCCGCTCTATAACTTCCAGAAGCGCGCTTATCATTTCAACATCCCAGTCTTCATTCTCGCCCACATCGTCCCCTTCAACATTCCCCCGCACCTTCTCTACTCTCAGTCTCTGAAGGTGCACAGTCATATTGAATGCTAGGTTGACAGCTGCCAATCGTACAGTTGCATCGTCGTGAAACAAGGCAGCCACCATGAGCGCTGTAGTGCTACTTCGAGATGAAAGAAGAAGTTCTCGGGCTACAATCTTGTTCGCAAACGCGTTTGAAATCATCCTTAAGAGCGTGAGGGAATAATTCCTTGGCGCGCTTTCGGCCTTGGATAACAAGACGAGGATCGGGCTTTCAGGCCCGACTTTCGTTGCACTCCAACTGCACACGGCTGGTTCGAGCAGTGCAACGCGCCACATATCTGCCACAGGGAATAATTCTCCTGCAGAAAGATTTGTCGCAAGGCTTATCGTTGCGTCTTTCCAAGGCTCGAAAGAAATGTTAGGGGGTGATGAGGACCCTCGTGCTTTGAGGTACGGAATGATATTCTTCGCGAGAATTTGCTTCGTGGCTTCTTTCGTAGTGGAGCCCGACCATGAAGGAGCGGCATCTATGAACCCCGTCACTTTTGCAAGCACAATATCGAGATTCGGAACTTGAGAAGACAGGATGGCATTAAGGGGTATGGCTTCAATCGCAGGAAGGGATAACGTAGTGTGTGGATGCGCTGATCGCCGTCACCGGTATCAGTTAGTTGTCATAAGGAAAGGAAGACTATATGCTCACGAGGAAACGCCTGATAAAGGAGCAAGTCGACTTGAGTGCGTAATTCGGGTGCATTGATACCCTTCATTTCATGCGTCTACGGAAGCGTGTCAGTTACCGCGAGAACGTCGTATGTTCCCCTCCTACTTTATTTCCGTCCAAGAATAGGATAAATGTCGGTGTCACTCTTACACCATACTCGCCGCCAACCGCATTGCTCATTCCGACACTCAAGTCTATCTTAACAAACGCGACATCATTGGCTCGGCTCTTGCTCTTTGCAAGGTCTTCGAACACAGGCTCGATCATCCTGCAAGGCCCACATGTTGCACTCGTGAAGAATGCAACCACAGCACGGTGTGTGTGAAGCACATTACGGAAAGATGAGGGGTTTGTAGCAATGTGCACAGGTGTGATAAGGCTGTTGCCCTGAACAGGTGTAGGAGGCGACGTTGGTGCAGGCGTCGGAAGGTAGTTCCTGGATGAGGACGGCATTTCAGGATTGTTAGAGGTTGCGCCAGCCGCTACGGCCTGCAGCAGGGACGATGCCGATGCTGGATTGGGTGAATTAGCTGTGGCTGAGATATCTGGGGGAGGGGTTAGGACGCCAGTAGAAGCCCTGCCTCTAAACATGGCATCGATAGTTGGTCGCAAGGCAGCGCCAAATGGTGTCGATAGGAAGTCGGATGGTAGATCTGCAGGGGTGCTTTTAGAATTATGTTCAACCGAAGGTGGCAATTAAGGGTCAATACCTTTGATATACGGTGGAAGCGAGCCTCCAGTCAAAAAGCCGAGGCAATCGTTAGTAAATGAGTTGCAGTTGAAGTCTTCTCAAACGTTAATAAGTGATTCATGGTCCTGTCTTGCAGTCTCACCTAACAGATGGTACTAAGATTGGTGAGTAAGACAAGTAACTCGCGTCAGAGCAAACACTTACTTTGTCGGCAGTGTAATGCTCCTTTATCTGGCTAAGGTATTCCACGAACGTTTGCTCGTCCATATGTGTCTCGCCCATATCAACGATTCTCAAAGGTGACCCGTGCTACGGCTCACTGTGTTAAAGTGATAAAACCAACCCGCGACCCTAGCAGCTTACATGGGACCGACCCGGCTCAGTTTCACAAATGCCTAGTCCATAGAAGATTTCCTTCCCAAAGGCCACCACTGACGTATGCCTATACATATAGTGGCCAGTGAGCACATGAGTCTTGGTTTTCGATGTAAGAAGATACTAACCAGACACCATCTATTTGCTTACCAGTGAGCTGCAAAGAGACCTGGCCGGCGAGACCCTTGCTGAGGTCATAAACATAGACCTTGACTGGAGAAGACATAGAAATGACTCTACAGTGCGGAATGGTATTATAGTAGTGGGGGTTAACGTTGAGCGCTGAGCGCTGAGCTGCAAGTAACGGGACGCGTAAGACAGCGGCAGCTACGCCGCGAGAATACTTACATACTCATATCCAGTGAAAAGGCGCCTGCTGTATTTGGCATATTGAGTTATCAAGGCAGATCTTTTGATCATCTTCTTTCGTTTTTCTAGAGCCTTCTTGCAACGTCAAACCGGAATTTGTCAAGTGCGTTCTTTTCTTTAAAATTAAGTAGCACAAGCTGATCGGTCATTGTGCAAAGAATGGACTGCTGCTCCGACGTTTTAACAAAAGACAACCCCTTCATCCCACCGAAGGGTACACGTTGTCCAGTGAATGACATCCCTCCGGAGCTCCTTTCTCTCATTTTTGAGGTTGGTGCCCAATCCATTAAGGATGGAGAGGATGAAGACGAAGAAGATGAGGAAGATGAGGCAATGGCAGTATACTGGAATCTGGAATCAGGCGCGAAAGATGGAGTAGACGAAGACGGCGAAACAACAAAACGGAGCAGAGTGACAAGGAACGATGGCGTAGATGAGGATGGTTTATCCGAATCATCAATGGACAGCGATGCAACATTCGAGCCCATGCCATCATTTGAGGTACTCATCTCGCATGTCTGTCACCATTGGCGTGTGGTGGCTCTTAACACGCCGTCTCTCTGGACAGAGATCGATGTATCACCTCTTGACTCACCCCCGTTTGAACGAGTTCAGACTTTTCTTGAGCGCAGCAAGAGCCTCCCTATCGACATACGCATAGATTGCGAACCTCCAGATGACGATGAAGAAGAGGATTCCTCAGGCTCTGAAGACTCAGAGCTTGGTCAGTCCCCACATTCGATGACCTTTTCCGATCTCGATAATCTCATGTCCCTTCTTGTTCCCCATATCTCACGCTGGGGATCTGTCGAAGTGGCGGTCGCTTGTTACAAGCACATGTTTATTTTCCTCTCTGCAGTTTCAGATCCTTCCATAGCAGGTGCTCCTCAGCTCGAGGCTCTCCAATTGTACCATCATGAAGATGCAGAAAGCCTCACAGCTTTCGCCCAACCTGACCTCGTGCAACATTTCAAGTTGTTCGGAGGCGTTGCTCCGCGTCTCAAGAGCGTAGCGTTGTGGGGCGTGCATGTCGACTGGTGCCAAGAATGGTTATCTTGCGGGTCCAATCTCTTGGACTTGGAGCTTGCTTATCATACAGATGATGTGCGACCGTCATGGACACAATTTGCTGCCATCCTTTGCGGCGCACCTAAGCTGGAAACACTCTCTTTATGCAGCTCTGGTCCCCTCGGTGCTCCCCATGACTGGTGCAATGAAGGGAGTTCAGGAAGTTATGGCAATGACTATACCGGAGTCATCGAGTTGCACTCACTGACACAGCTTGTCCTGGCATTCCATTCACCAGTGTATGTTAGTGGGTTGCTCCGCCGTTTGGCATTTCCCGCACTCAAAAGCCTCACACTTGATTTGGACGATGGCGATTTTACGGATTTCGCATTCCAACTTGCTGGTCCTATGATGAGCGCAGTCCCGGTGGCATCAAGGGATGGAGAGAAGAAACGCAGTTTACTTAGCAGACTTGACTCCATCAAGTTATCCGGTCTTTCCTGCTCAGACCGCAGCATAGAGCTCATGTACGCAGAGCTTGGTAACCTCAAGACGCTCAACCTCGTGATGAAGTACCTCCCTCTCATGTTCCTCCAGCTACTTTATCACCCTTGTTCTGTTTCTGGCCAGCGAGACGTTTGTCACGTCTGTCTCCCTTCACTTACCACTTTGTCGACTGCCGACGTCCCTGGAGACCAAATACGCGAATTGGTGCAGAAGCGAAAGGAAGCAGGTGTCCCTCTAAAGGCTGTGTATATGGAGGAGAACGACGAAGTCACACCTCATGATCTACAATGGCTGAAAGATAATGTGGAGGAATTTGATTTCTTTGAGGCCAGTGACGATGAATTCGAGTCAATAGTGGATATTGAAGAGGAACACGAGGCTTCAGAATCGGAATGGGAGGAAGTGGATGATTGATTCCGGATATATGCCTGTAGGTGCTGTTCACGTATCATGCACTGCTCGATTCGACAAATATCGATCTGACTTAGCTCTTTCTCAAGCATCTGTATGGCTTTCGCCTACCTCTAGTTATTTTGTACTTGGAGTGGTTGCTTGAGTTGCGCTTGCACGATGTGAAGCTCTCGGATATCAGATCGCGATGCGCCGATAGTCATCTCGCATGCCAGTTTATAGATGCGTTCAGGTATACTTTATTACTTATACGTGATCATTTCGCTAATACTCGAGCGTGATATTGGTGCACAAGCAATCCGTTCCCGTGGTGTGTGTCTACATACTGTAAGCACGGAGTGTTTGATCCTGCGCGTCGACACTATGTATGCACTCCACTTAAGTCCGTTTGCCCACGGACATAGGGTGGTGTAAATTAACAGATTGGAGTAGACTACGTTGGTGGTCTTCTTATTCTTTGTTTGAGAGGGAATGCTAACACTTGTGCACATGGTACTGCGATGACGGTCTGGCTAAATGGTCAATTGCTGTGGCATTCATAGATGAGTGTATCAGAGTAGTAGCATGCTCGGTCATGTTCACAGTAACAACATGCATGCTGAATAGTACTGTTATGATATACGTGCTTTTACGCTTTATATGCTGGAGATCCGCTCCTCACTATCAACCACACTAGGCTGCAACCATTATAGTACTTTGTAGACTCGTAGAACGAAGGTACTCGTTGAATCCTTCGCAAGGGAAGGACTACAATGGGTATGTCTTGAGACATGTAGATTCTTAGTTCTACTCTATTCATTATCCGCTCCCAAGGATCAGGTCTACCGCTCAACGAAACAAAGAAGTGCCACCGTGCATAGCTTGTTGGAGACGTCCTCTGTGCAGTGTGTCCAAGTCGAGGTACTCAATGAATGCATCATCCAATGAAATTTCGAATCGGTTGAGGCCTCCATGCTGATACACGACAGAAAGCTTGCATTCGCTACTGCCGTATCCTGGTGCTTGCAATATTACACGAGGACCGAGAACGTTATTTGAATGACCCGGGTCCCCACTGAGGGTGACGCAAATGGTCACCAACTGCTCTAAGCTACCAGTTTATTGGTCTGTTCAGGTAGGTTCATATTAGATCAGGACTCAGCGCAGTGACCTATTACGATTGTTTCATTAGCAAAGCCTATGCTTCAGGGGCTCCCCGTAGGGATAACTGGACGATAGAGGTCCGGCGTACTACGAAAAGAGTCCACGGTGGACTAACACGGTCCACAATCAGATTAACACTTTGCACGTGACCGCGTATCTGCCTCGTGTTCGTTCATGGTTCGAGTCTTCACAAAGAGTTTTGTGACTTTCCCTTCGTTTCCTCAAGTTTGACATCGTCGCCGCCGCCGCCGCCACCGACGACGACGACTCTCTTTTTGTCGGCGTTCATTCTCTATCCTCGACGTCCTAGCTTTTCCCGACATAGATGATCTCCTCAACATCACCACCAACTATATTGCCCGCTCATCGCGAGCACCGTGTCTCGCCACCACAAACACCACCAATGATAGCATTTGATGACTCAAAGATTCTTAGTCGTCGGGCATCAACTTCACCATCTGATGAGTCATCGATCATCGAGCTCTCATTCGACTACGAGCTCGATTCCGCGGGCAACTATGTCCGCGTATCCAAAGGTTCATCAAGGTCTAATCTTTCGAGTCCTCCAACACCAAATGATGCTCTGCTTGACGGTGCTATTAAGCCTTCGTCTTCTTCCCCACCCCAGGGGACCTCTATTCCCTATGCGTACACTAAACCTCCTTCACCTATATTACTCAATTCTCCAATACCATCGCGACGTAACTCTCTCTCGCGGTCAGAGAACGCCTTTCCGCTACTTCAAAGCGGGAGTGGGACTGAATCACTGCCACTTGCAGCTCAGCACCGAGCTCAGTCATCAGCTACAGGCAACTCCGCTCGTTCATTCCAACGGGTCGCGTCCGTACCTGCCACATTGACTCCAGCTGCCCCTCAACCAGCATTACGTGCACCATTGTCGAGTGGCCTTGCTGGGACTGGTCGAAAAATTGGGCGTCCCCAGCGCGTGCCTCGAGATGAATACCGTGAACAACCTCCACTCACGCTGGATGAGCAGGAGGAGCTGCGAGTGCAGGAAGAGAAAGAAAATCTAATAACTATTCTTGATGGGGACGGCCTGCCGTCAGATGGCGCCGTCTCCAAACGAACATCCCCGCGATTGACCGCTCGTTCGGCATCTGTGAGTCAACTCGACGGACGGGCAATTTCTAGCCTCCCCACACGCGCATATGGATCATCCGCAGGCGCACGCCAGCCGCTACAGCCTGGCCGGCAGATCATGCCTGGGCCCAATCGCGCGGGACGGGTATTGATGGGTATGGCTGTCAAGTATGGCGTGGGTTCGGGTGGGTTCGACAAGATTAATGAGAATGAAGGCAGTGAGAATGAGTTTGCTACCGAGCATGCCTATGATGAGACTGATCCCAGTGCGTATCTTTCACTCTTCTCTGGTTCCCCAACCCAAACCATTTATGTAGACGTAGATGAACCACAGCCCGGAAATGGCATGCTTCGCCATCGCAATTATGTCGCTCCTCCTACTCTATCGAGCGGTACGCGACCTCGCCGTTCAGCTAGTTTGAGTGATGCCTCTGGAGGTATGATTCCAAATTCTCATCTGCACAAACCCGCTGTTTGGATTTGACAACATCTTCAACAGAAGACCGACTATCTCCGCGCCTGCTCCCAAGCCAAAATCAACAGCAACACGCCCCACGCCCAGGGTCCAGTCTGGGCCTCAACTCAGCGCGCATCAGACGCGTGACGTCCGAGCAAGATGGTGCGTCGGTGTCCCAATGCTTGCATGTGCCTCTCTATTAACCGTACGATCACAGAGTATGCAGCAGAATATGCCCGCCGCGCAGCGGAAGAGGCACCTGAACCTTTCCCTCAACCCCAACCCCGCCAATCGCCCTCTCCGACACATATGTCCCAGGTGCACATACGCACCCAGACGCACCATCGGCGCGACTCGGACACTGTCCGCTCCCTCGCGATCAATAACCCGCCCACAGCAGCCTCACCCACAGTGGCCGATCGAAATCCAGGTAGACTGTCTCCGTCCACGCGAAATGTATCATCGTCACAGCTACAGGTACATGGACAGGCCTATCATCGGCGAAATCCTACAGCACCCGAGCCACCAACTACAAGTGGGTCGTTAGCGCCGCCGCCTAGTTCTGGCAAATCGAAGAATGGGAAGACGTGGGCTGCAGGGGACGAGCCTGCGGATAGCGAGCCTGAGGCCAAAACTGCGTCGCGAGTGCGGCAGGCACCCCCTCCACCCGCACCAGCGCCTGCTCCTGCTCCCGTCCGGAATCACAACATTGTTGTGAACAAGAAAGTGTATGCACGACTCGATCTGATTGGGAAAGGCGGATCGTCTCGCGTATATCGCGTGATGAATGCGAACAACGAGATCTATGCTATCAAGCGCGTGTCACTGGACAAGACGGACGCAGAAACTATGAGCGGATACATGAATGAGATCGGGCTGCTCAAGCGGCTTGAAGGAAACAATCGAATCATTCAGCTATTTGATAGTGAGGTGAAGGCGGGACCTGGAGGGACAAAAGGGCATCTGATGCTCGTGATGGAATGTGGAGAGGTTGATCTGGCAAAGCTACTGCAGGAGCAGCAGAAGGAACCGATGAATATGGTTTGGATATCCTATTATTGGCAGCAGGTCAGGCAGAACACCTTATCGTTCATCTCTGTTACTGACGTGAGCGAGCAGATGCTTCAAGCCGTTCACGTCATCCACGAGGAAAAGATTGTTCATTCGGATCTGAAGCCCGCAAATTTCGTTCTTGTGAGGGGCCAGCTGAAGCTTATTGATTTCGGTATTGCGAATGCCATCGCAAATGATACTACTAACATCCAGCGAGATCATCAGGCAAGTTCTGCTTCAGGTATACATCCTTCATGATTAATTCCATTCCTCTCTCTAGATCGGAACTGTTAATTACATGTCCCCCGAAGCCATTGAACTTCCCGACGGCATGCGGCGGCTCAAAGTTGGACGAGCCAGTGACGTCTGGTCTCTCGGGTGCATTCTCTACCAGATGGTTTATGGTCACCCACCGTTCCAACATCTTTCTGTATATCAAAAGATGAAGGCTATCCCGGACTTAGCTCACGTCATTGAGTATCCGGGCTGCAGCATACCCACTGTTGTGAACAAGGCAGGCGAACGCAAAAAGCTCGAGCATCTACAACAACCTGTCAGAGCGGACGTTATTCAGGGCATCAAAAGCTGCTTGATGCGAAATTCAAAAGAACGGGCTACGATTCCTGAGTTGCTTGAGCAGGAATGGTTGGCGATGAAAGAACGTAAGAAATGAGGTACTCCATCCACAATTGTGTTGACCTTATTTTCTGTAGCTGAGGTCCCACTAGCGAAGCCCCAGCTAGCACAAGACGAGACCGTCATCAATCCCTACTACATGAAGCAGCTGCTTGAGTATGGTATTAAACTGGGCCAGCAAGCTCAAAGTGGCGCTATAGATCAGGAATATCTCGCCAAAGAAGCAGAGGTACGTCTCCATCGACTATCCAACCTGGACCCATGTTAATATCTGTCCGTTAGCGCTTGGTTGCAGAGCTTAAAGCCCTTGAGTCGTGATATCTCCACGTCATGACTTCTCCACTGAACTCAATTCTCAATCTTTCAACATAGCATACTGTATTCGTCAACGTAGTCATCTTTCATTGCACACCGCCATGTCTTTGTATGAAAACGTCCTTCAAGAACAGTTCTCCCAACGACTTGTATGTACGCCTACGCTATGCCTTCCCATGTACTCCTCGCTCTAGACCTTTCGCTTGCCTTTCCTCCCTCGCATTCATACTTTTAGCATTCTACACGCTCGCTATTCTAGCTGTGAACCTGCAATTGCATATCATTTCTCTATTTTGGTTCGTTCTGCATGCATGTGGGAGGATTCTTGGCAAGCGTTCAGGTGATACGGCTTGTATATATAATTTCCGTATCACGTTGTAGGTATAATGTACAATACTATTTATGTAAGGCCATAGTTTATTTTATTTGTAGTGACTTGCTCAATCTGACAGGAGGTCAGCTGCGTTTCTTAAACAAGGTAAGTAATCTTATCGGCCTTCCACCTCGACCACTACCGCCCAACAACATTCTCACCATTCCTACCTGAACGCCAATAGCCTCTGCTATATATTCGACAGTTTGATGGCGCATTTACCTTCCGACGTTTATCTCACAACCAGCTTCATGCATTCAGGAGATGTCAGTCCAACAACTCCAAAGCTCCAGCTCCAGCTTTCTATACCTCATCATGATCCAACATACTATATACCCGACGGAAACACCGTTTTGCTCGTAGAAAACACGCTTTTTAGGGTTCGTTTCTGCGTGCACATAATCGTGTCCTACTAACGCGGAGTTATCACTCTTAGGTCCATAGGTCGACACTGACAAAGGACAAGTCTACCTTTGACAGTATGTTCTCCCTAGACTCGGACCTACGCTCAAGCTCCAGTACGCCGAGTGTCACTGCGGGACCCGAAGGTGAAAGCGACGACAATCCGATCAGGCTCCAGGGAGATACGGCACAAGAGTTCCGCGCTCTTCTGTGGGCTTTATACGCCTTGTACGTACGTTTGCACAATTTTTCCCCCGGACACAGTTGGATTTAGTAAATAACACGCAGGCCACACGAGCTCACCCTCGCGCTAACGCCCAAAGCGAATGCATCTCAGTTGTTCAATCTCGCTCGTATTACGCATAAGTATGAATTCCGCTCGATCGAAGCATGGGCTCTTGGTGCCCTTACGACTATATACACGCGCCCAACGCACTCTCCCAATCTTCAAGTTGAAGACGCCGAGGGGCCCAACCTTGTGCAACTTACTGAACTTGCATCTCTTTGTGAGCAACGGGATCTTCTTGACGCTGCCACATCGCGATGGAAACGGCTCCTCGCATCTGGAAAGGACATCGCACTTGCTGTTGGAGTTGCAGAACGGCTTAATCTACGCACCCTACTTGGTTTCGCGTATCATGCCATGATGCTTCAAGGCCGGGAAGTCTGGGATAACGATACGTCACTCACGCGAGCACAGCGCATTCGCCTTCTTTCTGGGCATTACGCTCTCGGCCGGCTATGGGAACGTCTGCCAGGCGAGCCACCTGCGATCTCACATAGTCCGCGGTGTACAGGGGGTGCTCAAGCACGGTGTAATCAAGCCTGGGCTGCGCTATGGCGCTCAACGTTGGATATGGGCCGTCAGGTCCTGCTCATACAATACGCGGATGTGGTGGGCAAATTAATGCTTGCAGAGAGTGTCACAAAGGCCCTTGTGGAGCGGGAGATACCTACGCAAGGAATGCTCGATGGAATGCCGTGGTGCAAAGACAACGTCTTGGCTGCTGTGGCTGGGAAGGTGAAGGAAGTACAAGAGAGTTTGGCCGATTATTTCACGGATGTGATATGATTTTTATTTGGTTCCGAGTTGGTTCTATGTATGCTCCACGATAGCCTTGGCATTTACTTTACCGTCATCTGATTCCGATATGAAGGATAACTCATCGGTGTCATCCTTGTTCAAAAAGTATGATCTATATGAATCTTGTGTACACTGCCCACACACTTCGATTTCTGAGCCACGGATTTATGGAGCGGATGTTCCTGCAAGCTGAATGACTTAGCTTGGCCTAGATGGTACATTGGAATTAGAATTGAACGTAAATGTGTAGTGAGTACTGAGTATTCACGGACACGAAACGACATACTCCCTGGTCTGCAAACACTGCCATCCTTTGCTCTCAGCGTTGCCCTTCCCATTCGTCTCGCAAGATGCCCAACGTCAAAAAATCTTCCCAGTGATTATCCATCCACACTGCCTGGCGCTTCCTGCCCTCTTTAACAAACCCACTGATGTGAGAGAAAGACATCAATCCGCCATCACTCGCAGATGCGATTACAAGGGCTAACGAAATGAAAGGACACTCACACTTTCTCATAGACAGCAATTGCTCGTGGATTATTTGCAAAGACCCCAAGGGACATTCTGTTCAGACCGAACCACTTGAACGAAAAATCGATCATGAACTTTGTCGCCTCGGTTCCATATCCATTACTCCAAAATTTTGGAAGTAAACAGATCCCGAATGTGCCATCGCGATTCTTTGGTTCGGAGACAGTGATCACTCCCTGACCCATGAATTCCCCAGTTTCCTTGAGCGCGATTACGGCACCAAAGTTCGCCTGGTCCATCACAAGTCTTATTTTCTCCTTGAACTTTGGACCAAGAAGAGTGACAGGTTCGCTCATGATAAAGGGCTGAACGAGTGGATCGCTCCAGAGGCGATGAATATCATCGAGGTCGCTCTCGACATAAGAGCGGAGAATCAAACGTTCGGTAGTAAGCATATGACACGGCGAACTGCAGGGACTTGGGGGGACGTGCGCCACATCAAAGGGCTTCTTAAGTGTTGCTTAGACAAACCAGGTGAACTGAGCAGATTTACGTGACATCGTGAGAGGCGCGTCTGCGGACCTTGTGTACCCCTGCATCTGGAGGTCATGACGGCGACTCATATGATTGGCGATGGACTGCGCATCTAAAGTTGAAACTGGCAACATCGACGGGGTTTGCTTCTATGTATTTCCAGGTATACTGAATTTCGGTGACGAGGTTGCGCCGGGTGTTGGGCGCTGGCATTTAACTTTGAACTCCCCTAAAAAAAATACTAAGTGAGTCTCACGACCCCTGATAAACGGTATTCAAGCAGCAAAGATATGATACCCTTTACGTACCGACCACGACTTCCGAACAAGGCGTTGCCAAGTCGTCCTCTTCAGGCTCTTCTCCACGCGCATCCGAGGCACGTGGTACGGGCCAAAGTCTGGGGGAGGGGACATCGGCAGGCCCATCGGCACCTCCAAACGAAGTATGTATATGAATGTTTGTGTCAGACATCTTGGCGGTTATTGATACCAGACAGGGATCGGATAGGGATGGCGAGCGGCAAGGGGAGCGGGCAAGGAAAGGGGCAGAATTAAGGCGGAGCATGAATATGCACGGGATTATGTTAAGCGGCATTGGCCGTTGTGAGCGGAATCTAAACAAATACTGCTCGCAGTGCCGTTGCTGCCGTCGTGTCCCGTACTTTGGCCCTACTGTACTTATCTGACATAGTCTGACATTCTGCCATTTTTGTACTCCTCTTTTAGATCTTCACACCTTCACATGTCACGAACGCACGTACTACGACGCTTTCAAATTAAATTTGCGAATCGTTTATGCTTGCTCCAGAGTGTTTCACCCAACGTTCCAAAGTCCCGCGTCTTAGCTCAAATTTTTTATCGTCACAAAGTCATCTTCAAAATTTCTCGTCTTGTTTCTTATTGATCTACCATTCCCCTTAGAACTCGCCATCAGCCTTGCTACACATGGGTCGTACTTCCCAATAAGGCCAGCCGATCTCGGATGGTGCCATGGCATATGGCCCCCGCAAATTTTGCTAATAGCATGTCCTTCATCAACTAGGCCTAGCCATACTAGTTACTGGAAAACGGCAGGTTTTGCAGATCTCACTAGATTCCAGCTTTATGTCACTGATTACATGGTGCATTGGACTTTATTGAGTTATCGCACATGACGCATATGATCATGGGTTATATGGGATACAACCAAAGTAAGAGTACGACTACTGTACGAGACGAACTCGTCACGCACCGACCACGTATGCAGCCCGACTCAACTCATCACGAGTTTGTGACAATGAAGAGTCATCGGAAGATTCGGAACGCGCTGCAGCAGCGTCCGCGTCACTGGTCTCTGACGGAGACCTGACAGAAGGTTGAGGCTCCAGTTTTTCCAAGGCCTTAGTGACAAATTTGACGTGGGCGTTGAAATTCACGTTTGCAGATAACGAATCCCTATATATTTTTGGTCACATTTGAATCCTGCATGGCGAGCGTGCATGACTTTACCTGATTATGCCTTCACTGTCGATGACAAAAGTTATTCTGGCGTCGCCAAATCCCATAAGGCCCTTGCCGACATGGAAAGCTCGATACGCAACGTGGTTCTCATCGCTCAGGACAGGGTACTATACAGACAACGATCATCTGGACCATGACGCTCCAAAACCTCAAGATAACTCACTGTGAGGTTCTGACTCTCAACAAATCGCTTCTGCTTTGGCACAGGATCGGAACTTATCCCGATGACCTGGACATCAGTCCGCTTGAAGATCTCTTTCTCTGAAAATTCATGCTCAACGCATATACGTATCTGTGCAACAACGGGAGTCATACCAACCAATGCATCACGAAATTGACAAGCCTCGCGAGTGCAACCAAACGTTCCTGGGCAGCGAATGGATGAACACAATACTTCGGTCCGGAGCATGTCGATGCATGAGTGCTTACCTGCCTCGGGGTAGAAGAACAATGCAATAGGTTTCTTCACTCGCACCCCCTGTTCTTCAGGGGGGAACTTGAACATGTGTCCGTTCGCATCAGGGAGGGAGAATTCTGGCGCAGGCTCATTGATAAGAGGATGGGGCGCCATGGAAATCAATCAGAGGGAGCACAAGGACGACTAACAAGCTGGTGCTGAGTGAAGTTCCGAGATAGTCACAGTGCGAGTTCGTAGTAACAAGTCTGGGCAGCCCCCTAATATAGACCTTCCCACGCTACCTCTGCATCATCTGTGATCATGGCATAGAGTTTACGGAGTTCTCTGCAGAAATCAATGCTTTTGCGGGGGTGCTTTGATGCAGTGAAAGCAGAAGGATAAGAACTAAGGCTTAAGTGGTACTGTGAGACCAGGGTGAGACCAGTCATCCCAACGTTTTTGTCAATTTTTTGGTTGTCTTTGCGAAAGTCAGATTGTCATGTCCGTTACATGCTATCACACTCATATTTCGGGAAAGGCTGAGCGTACTGACGCCGGGGGAGTTATGGGGAATATGTCACCCTTTAGGTATGAACAGGCGCATCGAGTGGCAGACGCACCGAAAATAAGTAGGCTCATCAGATGGCACGTCTAACACGTCGCCGCTATCAGCATCCAGCTTTCGAGTCGATCAAAAAACAACAGCCCAAGTGGTTCTCAGGGCTGCATTCGAAACCCCAGAATGTAGTTGTTGACCATGGTGGCAATAATTCCTTAAAGTTCGTCATTATGAGTTTTACTTCTTTCGGCGGACTCGCGAAAGCGCCTGAGAATGACATGGAGAGCATATCAGATAGTGGCCGAGGAGTGGCTCTATATGACAGAAACCATGCCAGGGGCTTGGGGTGTGCATGAGAGACTGAAATAACATTCCCACAACGCTGCTCATCGCGTCGACGCAAATAACAGGAATGAACGCAACATCTGGACGAGACGAAAAGCCAAATTCCGAGGAAACTATAGAGCGCCTTGTGGAAACATAGATAGTAGTTGGGACTATCGTCGTGAACAAGCGCCACAGGTCAAAGTCAATAGGTCCGTTTTATAATAAAAAACCAAGCACGTTGGATTTAGGGATGATCGCGACAAAGTCGCCATACTAATCAAACATGAAAAGATGAAATTATGATAGCACCTTGAAAGCACATAGCACACGGATTAAATTGCACGGTTAATTCTCATGGCTTGGGACCCATGGCATCTGAAGAACAATTATAAGCCTATTCCAACTCGGACAAAGACGAAGCGTACCTGCATTCAACTCGGCAAATCGCTGCCCTACCCGCTCAGAGTGCTTCAAAAATTTGTCCGCGCAATTCATAACGCATTGCTCCTGCTCAAAGGTTCAACTCCAATTATGTGAAGACAGGTATGAAGGGCTATCACTTCTTTCGAAGACAATGCTTTGCTTGTGAAGTCATTACAGCACGAACTAAAGCATCTTTCCACGAGGCCTGAGTATAGACGTAGAAAGTCTTGCATCTGACGGGGTGATGCAATGTTCAGACTCTGCTGAAGCGCACATGGCGAACCAATACCTGTTTTTTCTCGATGATTTTGGTCATTTGGGCCTGTTCAGCAGAGTTAAGCTGTGAGAAATCCATGACTGAATACTGATAAGAGGATAGCAGAAAAGGCGAATGACACAAGAACGTTGGACAGATGGTTGGTTGAACAGAGGCACGCAAATAAACTTTATGAAAGTGTAAATGGATGACACGTGCAAATATCGGTGTGAATTTACTTTTTTGGTGCTGGATTAAACCTTGCGTTGCATGATGACTCGACCTAGGCTCGGGAAATCTCTTCATCAGGCTCTCATTCACCATCCAAGGAGCCTCTCTTATTCCATTCATCGCCATTCTCACAAGATAGCCTGACCAGTGGTATTGATTCCGCAATTCGTACTCATCAGCGTCGTCTAAAAGCCTATATAGTTCAATGCCAGAAAACGGTAGGCCCTGTATTCTCGTCTTCAACAGACACATATTCACCCTCTTTTCCATTAGATCTCTCAATGGCTCTTTCTTTCAAAGAAGCACTTCAACGGCTTGAGAACCGTCGCGTCAAAGCGACGCGTCCATTGATTCCGCCTCAAATTTTGCAGGAAGATCTCCCTTTGTGCGTCCTTTCGCTTTTGATGATGATATTCTAACGTATATGCAGGACTTTTCTTGCTGCTAACACCGTCGTCGAGGGACGTCGGGCAACCGAAAATATACTCAGGGGCAACGACGATCGGCTGATAGTGGTGGTTGGGTATGAATTAATCATCTGCAGATGAGTCTTGACTGACTTGCAGTCATCAGTCCTTGCTCGGTCCACGACGTGGGTGCGGCAATCGAATATGCCAAGCTGCTCAAAGCCTATGCGGACGTGGCTAAGGATGACTTGCACATCGTTATGCGCGTATATTTTGAAAAGCCTCGCACGACTGTCGGATGGAAAGGGTTAATTAACGATCCGTAAGTGTGCTTCCAATGATTTATGACCAGCGAGTGCTAATAGTAAGGAAACAGCGACATGAATTGCAGTTTCCAAATCAACAAGGGCCTGCGCATCGCGCGCACCCTCCTTTTAGATATAGCTAAACTTGGTTTGCCTGCCGGCTGCGAGTTCCTCGATACAATTTCACCTCAGTACACCGCCGATTTAGTATCCTGGGGAGCTATTGGCGCCCGTACCACAGAATCCCAAGTGCACCGAGAGCTGACCTCTGCACTGTCGATGCCCACTGGATTCAAGAATTCGACCGACGGATCCGTTGGCATTGCGATAGATGCATGCCGTGCCGCTCGGAGTGGCCATGTCTTCCTCAGTGTGGGCAAAGAAGGCCTTAGCAGTATCATTGAAACCGAGGTAAACTTACCCTTTTTAACGCCTTCGCAGCGAGTAACTTTGGTAGGGCAACCCAGACACACATGTAATCTTGCGTGGTGGCTCTAAAGGCCCTAATTATGCCGCAGAATACATCCGTGATTGCGGCGAGAAGCTGTCCAAAGCTGGTCTTCCTTGCAAAATCATGGTAATTTTTAGGTCATACTCAGGATCTTACTATTGCTGATATGGTCCAAATTCAGGTTGACTGCAGTCATGGAAATAGCCAAAAACAACATCGTAGGCAGATTGAAGTTGTAGAAGACATCGTGAGCATTCCCTCGCTTTTATCTATTGTTATTTACTGTCCATTCAGGCTCAACAACTGGGGAGCCAAGACACGTCGGCGTTCATCATGGGTGTCATGCTTGAGTCTAATCTCATCGAGGGACGACAAGATTTACCGCCGAGTGGTCCTACTGGCCTCAAATATGGCCAGTCAGTCACCGATGCTTGTCTGTCTTGGGACATGACCGTCCCCGCTCTTGAGCGTTTGCGTGAAGGGATTCGCGCTCGCCGAGAGTTGGTTTCTCAAAAATCCAAAGGCTTGGAACTTCTGGCTAACGGCGCGAAGGAACCTGCAGCTCAATGATGCCGCTGGCATCAATAGCTCCAATGGCCATCAATGCGGTGTACGCTGTGTATTGATTTTACTGTTGATCATCGCGTATTATGAGCTTTTTGTATTCTCAATCGCATAGATATCGAAATGTACACTATTTGATTTAACAATGTCCTGTCTTCCAGCGATGCATGCAGCAAGGTCTTGCTCGGGTATTTGCGACAGAAGCATCATGATCTTCTGATAAACGCCCGTGCCCATCTTTAGCCAATCTGTCGCCATCATGAACTTCGTCATGAAGAACTGAATGTTACAATTTCATGGCTTGCAATCTGGCGGAAGTTAGCGTAGACAAGTTCGCGCTCTTGCAGGTCCGACTTTGGCGAAGCGATCACTTCTGAGTCGTTTCCACATTCCAATGAACCGCCAGCAAAGTTCAAACCACATTTTGAACTGAACTCACTGGCATTACCGCATGTCATTCTTTTTGGTCTATTAGCATTACACTAGGCCCTCTGCATCAGGCATAATTTCAATTACTGCGACAGCGTACGCCGGGTGGCAGAACCGAACCCAAAGCACAAACCATGCTGGTTCTTCCTCGCCTGCCACCCATGCATTTGTTTCCGTTTCACTACATTTTTCTGCAGAATAAAGCTCTTCTTCCAGTCAGTCGCTGACATCTGACATCATGCTCAATACAACCCAGCTCATCGTTACTAGATTGGGTTATTTGTTCTCTGGATCTCATCCGAAATTCTGGTTGACCATAACAAGTCGGAAACTCCTGTCGACATCGATATTCATCTCGCTTTCACCGAAGCTATTAAACTATTTATTGCATTTGGTCTATACTTCTGGAAACAAAGATACTTCCGTTACGATTCGCTCAATCCTTGCCGACATGACAACGAAGATCAGCCTTTGGACAATATCGATATCCCACTTGAGTGCAGTTACGAGCCTTTTACTCCCAGGAATGTCAGACTCAACGAGCTGCCACAAAGGCTCTGTCCTCGGTCGAGCCCGAGTCTTGGTGGCGCGCGCTCGAGTTTGTCCATCCTTGGCATTTCCACGTTGTACGCGATTCGGGCCTATGTGGTATGTCCGGCTCTTTTTTCATCCCAGGGAAATTACGACTACTTCATATTTCTCATAGATATCTAGAAGCAGAGAACACATCGATCCACTTGCGCCATACCTTGTAATCCCCGCGGCGAATCTCTGTTCGCTATTTGTGCTGCGCGCATTCTTTTGCAGAACGTATGCTCCACAACTGTGGTATGCTGCTCTTTTACAGGTATGTCATTCCAGCAAACTGGTTAGATAGCGATCATCCACAGCACTTGATATGACTTAGTTTTCAGGGGTTTTCATCGTTTGGGTAAGGCAACTACTGCCAGCGGTTGAGCCCTCTCTAATTCTACCCAGAGCGGTCTCATTGACCGCTCAAGTGACTTGCCATACCTCTCGTTACTTGCCTCTGCGCTCAGCATCTCGTTTTCTGACACCTTGGTTGATATTGTAAGTCATATCTCACACTTGGACCCAAGTTCAGAGTAGAGCCTGTTGTACATACAGGTTTACAAATCACACCATCCATCATTTTTCGATGCTATCAACTTGCTTATTTTCGCTGCCGGCTTTTTTGCCCATTTATTATTCTATATTTTCCGCATCGCCTTCCTTGGAACTAGAAGCCATGGTTTTGGATCGCACGCGGATCCGATCGCACTGGCTCTGTCATGTCTATCGGAGGCCGGTCGAGACATATTCGTGTTCTATGCCATATACTGTGAGTATTTTGTTTCCCATGCATGCCTCATGCTTAGGCCAGCAGATTACGACATCGTTCTAGAAAGCATCGTGACCGCGCTTGCCTCGACCGTTGTCTTTTTCTCGCTGACTGCAGGTTTCCTCAACGAGCCAGGTGTATTCATAGGATGTCTTCTCACATTGACAGCAGCGGGCATATATGTCTCCAGCATAAGACAAACCACGGAGGAAGATGTTGAATCTGAATGCGTGACTCGGGTAGGCAAACTCCACAGATGGCCCGCTCTTAAGCTGATACAAAAAATCAAGCCTTGCTATCCGGTTGTATTTGCAGCGGTATTGGTCGGATATATGCTTTATGTATCATTCACAATGACACATGAGAATGAATGGACAACACGCACCCCTGAGCCGCAGTGGGGTTTCACCTCGGAGTTGGAGTCCAAGCCAGGCGATTGTCACCGCCGGCCTTTACCGTTTCATTCGCATAGGAAGACACTGGAAAATTACGACCGCTTCAATAACATCCTGCTAATAGTCTTCTTCAGCCACGCTCGTTATGGCGCCAACCTAGATTACCACCGAGAAGTATATTCTGATTATTTTCCAAATGTGAGTACTGTGCGACCGAGTCTTTTGGTTGAGTTCACATATCCGATGTTAGATTCTCTACATCGGACCTGCTTCCCGCGAAGATTCCGGCTTTGATCACTCGTATGATGTCTTTGTGGACTCGTACCATTCGGATGAGGATCTGACTGATCCATCATATTATAAGATGGCAGGACGCGTGTGTACTCCAAGCATTTTAATTCACATGCCTGGTACTCATGAGTCACATAGATGGCTCATCATATGCTGTATACCGCTCTTCAGGAGCAGGACTGTTATGATGGGTACTTATGGGTGCCGTTTGACACTCTGCTGAATATTCCACGATTGGAGAAGTTTGACCGGGAACTCTTTTGGTATCATTCACCATGGGGCCTGCCGGTATTTAACCCTGCACAGGATAATAGTCTCGGCCTCGGCCTGCATGCTCCCCCTGCCAATGTATCGCCGGATCCGTCTATCAATCTCACGGAAACATGGAGGGGATGGGGATCTGACTGGTGGTATGTGATATATTCTGATAAACTCTCATCGATGTTTCTGATTATCTCTTGGCAGGTGGGGGTGAGTTGATTCACAAGGTGTTTCCTTGCGCTTATCTGATAGCTATCGCACATCTATAGCGATCCACACGTGGGAGTCGGAGTCTGCATGGAAGCTTTCTGGAAAGTGCCCATGCACTTGAGAGAACGCCTCGCTGCATTTACCAATGGTGAAACGCGCCTTATCGGAGGCTCCGCAGATACGATGTACATCCCAGGGCGGCACCGCAGGATATTTATGGAAGTATTGAGCCTGTTCCTTGAAACAACTTGCTTCCTTGAGATTGCTGTACCTACAACACTGCACTTGGTCGCGCCTCGCCATGAGCCGATTCTCTTTGTGGACCATGTGAGACTTGGTGTGCTTTTTACTGTCTGTAATGTGTGCTGACTCATTGCGGGATGACAGTGGTGGATATATCAGCCGCCGTTCAATGCGTCTTTTGTGAGGCAACAGTGGGAAGAGGGATACGAGGTGGATACGTTTCATACTTTCCATTGGGGTGAGCGCGATGCAGATAATGTGTGGAGGGCCAACTACGAAAACGTTGTGGATATTCGACGTCTGTTGAGGGAGTCGGCGGAGAGACAGCAAGTTATTTTCCCTGTTAGGTGAGCTGCTTTGTTGAGCCGTGGGTTCATTCTAATAGCGAAATAGAAATGAGACGCAGGCCAAATGAAAGGGGCGGCGTGCTTTTCTCTTTTCCACCAGTCTGACGGACCATAACAGAAGGGATGGAATCCCTCTATACTTCTTTGGGCGGGACGATGTTATCAACTTTATATTACATACTTCGGATCTTCGTCCAAGGAATGTCGAAACTCCTTCCGATAATCGTTCAAGTATCAAAACCTTGCATAATAATGATACAGAAAAGAGCAAATACAGTATAAATACGTCTATGTGCACTGAGACCATGCCCTTAAAACAATCCCTAACAATGTCATTCCAAATTAAAGACAGCATCACGACACATGAAGACGATCGTGCAAATCCCAGGACAACTCTTGAGCATTACCCGCAGTAAAATCATTGCAGCTTGAAATGACCACCGTCGTCAGCGTAGCATCTGGCGTTGCATGATCCGTGTAGTGGACGCGTGCACTCAAGGCTTTCACCAGTGCATCCCCCGAGAGCTGTTGACAGCTGTACATCTTAAGAACCGAAAGCCGGGGCAGGCGTACGCTCATCCGCTCCCCATCTCCATCTTCAACAACAAAAGGCATGAACAGCGCAACCACTGAATCCGACATATCCGACCCAACAATGGAGAACTGTTTCAAGTCGGACAGCTTATCAAAGACCCAGCGGAAGTCTTTGGTACGCATATCTGATAAATCCATGTCTAGGATCTCGAGCGGGGGGTGTGAGCGCGACAAGAGTTTGCGGATACCCATACCAGTGTGAAGGTCGCTGTGTGGTGACTGGGAAAAGTCATGGAATTCGTCGTCGCTGTCACCTTCTTCGGAGACGTAGTATGGTTCGAGTGAGTAGTCTACATTGATGTGACGCAGATGAAGCTCTCGCAATGCAGGGAGGTGAAGATGCGAGAGGATGCTGCGCTGATTGCAAACCTGGTCTAGGAGGAGCGTGTGTAATCGCGGAAGGGCGATGGAAGGCAATGGCGCGTTGAGAGTGCCTTCATCATTGGATAAACCGTGAAAGTATAAGTGCTCCAAGTTCGGACAATGGGCAAGAAACCGAAGGAGGTCCGGTGAACGGACGGAGTATTCAAATGCAGCCTCTGAGATGTCGAGGGATGTGAATAATAAGGGGTTGACCATTTCTGTATGGGGCAGTTTGGTCGTTGCCACTCTCATGGATATGTGACGGTATGTCGCGCTTCCGCAGGAGAAAAAGATGACATCATCTTCGTCATCACCCGCGACGTCCTCGAAGGGAGTCTTGAGAAGAATATCGAGATGATGTAGTATGCGACGAGGCGAGGACAGGGTGAGGTCGGATAAGGATGTCTCGAAATTTCTTCCGTCATAAGTGATAGTGCAGCGCATCCATCGGGCGATATTGGGGAGGAAGCACGACATGATGGGTAACAGTCGCTCGAAATCTGTTAGCTTGAGGACTACATTGAATGGAAGAGGTGAAGAGCGAGCGACCCATAACTCTGCCTGAGTACGGATGGAGGACATGGTGCGCCTCGATTCTAGTACGACGATGGTCTGCCATATGCAGGGTGCCGATACAATCAAGTCTCTCCATAAACGGCAGACTTTAGATAGTGTGAGGGGGATATGCCAGTCACCTGTGAGGCTGCAAGTCGAAAAGATCTCGATGAGTAATTCTGAAGGTAAAGATGTAAAAGGAGGGAAACTTTGAATATCCTTGTAAACAGTACTAGTGGATATGATCATGGTACCGTGGGTGCACAGCATCGGATGAGGAACCCCACGATATCATGCCATTTACGTAAGCAGAAGCTTGAAGTTGTGGTAGTCGATGAGGTGCGTGTAAAAAACCTGCCAGTCAGATCAAATGAGGCTCAAATATTCTTGCCTACACTCGAACGCAAGCACTGAGTAACTATACCCAAACATGTCCAGGACTATTTGGAATTGCGAGCGACACGCCTACATTGATAATCTTCTGCGATGAAAATCATGTCGTTGGACAGGGCAGCGGGCTGCTCAACCTTCGAATTCATGTATCGACCTTCTATGTGTCGCGTGTGCAGGACTGCAGTCAATTGTTTGCTCGCATAGATTCGAGTGCCATTCTCATCGTAAACGTTTCGAAAATACCTTGCTGACTAATCCAGAAACTGCACAGCGGTGGCTGAATTTCGACTCAGTACTGAACTCTAATTCTCAGAGTCGTACACAAGTCGCCAACCGTCGCGCGAAACGTTCCGCGTTACTTTCCTCAAGGTTATTCACGGTCGTCTTTCCCACTATTCAACATGCCAGGAGTAAGAGATATCAGGTACGTAATGAACTTGTGTCGAATTGACCCATTATTTAATCGTGAATATCACTTGCAGCGCTGATGCTTTCATTACCGCATATGCTTCCCATCTCAAGCGGTCGGGAAAGCTTGAGGTCCCAACATGGGTCGACATTGTTAAAACCGGGTCTTTCAAGGAGCTTGCACCTTACGACCCAGACTGGTACTACGTCCGTGCAGGTGCGTTGCGCTCGGTACCCTTTATCAAAGGACAATTTTAAAGAGCGATTATAATTAGCTGCTGTTGCACGACACATCTACCTCCGCAAAGACGTCGGTATCGGTGCATTGACAAAACTTCACGGTGGCCGCAACAGACGCGGCAACCGCCCATCACACCACGCCGACTCCTCTGCCTCCGTCCAAAGAAAAGTCTGTCAATCGCTGGAGAAGATTGGTGTCTTGGAGCAGACCGACAATGGTGGACGACGGATAAGCCAAGACGGCCAGCGGGATTTGGACCGTATTGCAACAGCTGTCGTCGAGGCTGCCAAGGAGGAGGAGGATGAAGATGAAGAGGAGGAAGGCGAGGAAGAGGAAGAGGAAGAGGAGGAGGAAGAGGAGTAAACTGATATCTACCTCCACTTGCTAATCCGGCATTGTCGCTTGCTCTGCACGTGGTCACCATGGATATTATGACGATACGGTATGATGCATGCATATCTTTAAAAATATGGCACTCCACTGCTTTTTCCACCATCTGACACTGTTTTTCTAATTCAATGACCACTTGCATCCAGTGGGTGCTACTTTTTCATCATTTTTTGGGGCTGTTATACGTGAATGGACGCTGATAGGGCCCAATATATTTCACCGAGTGCAGATTGAAGAGCGTTTGTGTTTTCTCTGCCGAATTTCAGGTGAAAAATTGGCACATGACCACATAACCACCACGACCATGGCGATCTACGTGTTTCCCCTGTCTTGCGAAGTTTAAGAACCACAATCACAATCATTTCCTACCAAGAATTGACCACTACCAAGTCCTGGACTAGGCGAATATCATTGAACAAGCAGTCCACACACACTTCACCCCCAAGTGAACTGAAAGCTAAATCTTTCCTTCGTCTCTTTTGTGGATTGGAGATGTTCATGGTTAGAGTATGTTGAGCCAGCGTTGACGTTGAGCACGCGGAGCTTTGTACTGAGTGCTACCGTGGCACGCTATCGCTTGTTTCTCAGGCTCCCTTTCTCAGTAGATCACCATACATCATCGTCAGAGATTTTCACATATGACACCCTGCTCAAATAGTGCGGATGATAGCATACTGCATCTGACAAGATTCTCTTGCCAGATATTCATTGCGTTCATTATTCTCCGAGTAGGTGACGAGATTGGGCTGCGGAATGAATATCCGGACGGAGAATGGGTTGTGTAGGAAAACAAACCATCATCCGTGCTAGATCTTGAACTTTCATCGTCTTAATTGATCTCAGAATGTTCCTCGCGACAGTTGGTATTGTCGAGTTCGACACACGAGGAAACGAGATCGATCTATGTAGTTGCGAGATGAAAAGATAAGAGTACAAAGGAACTGGAAGTAAATGGGAAGTAGTTATGTACTACCTGTATTAATGACCATCGGCATGTGGGGGAGATGTACAACAAAGAAACAGCACGAAGCGAGCTCGCAGTGGAAGAGGTCGTGACTGCACGGTCGCTGCACCTGATGCAACAGTACTAGTAGGAGCAGGTGGTGTCGTGGATGTCGAGGGGGTGGCAGGATGACTCTGCGATGATGATGCCTGGGTATGGACTTGGCATTGTGGTTGGCCTTCCTGTTGTATTGGTTGTGCATTTCCATCAGCGTCCTGAGGTGAAGCGCAGCAGAGAAAAAGCACAAGAAGAGCCAATAATCGGACAGATAGTGGGTATCTGGGACGTGGTGTAGTAGGATTAGTACCTGAAGCAGGCTGTGTCGTGGATGATTCCTGAGCGTGCGATTGGGTTTGCTGCTGTGTTTTTTCTGGCAGCGGGGGAACAGTAAATATAACCTGAACAGGAATCATTAAACCACGGCGATAGGGAATGTACGCAAGAAAATGTATACCTCTCTGTCCTTGACTGCAGCCACTTTGAAGATACGAGGCCCGCGAGACAATAAGGCTCGCCTTGAGTGTTGCTGGGGTTCAGTATTGGATTGAGACCGGCGGAAAAACAACGAAAGGCTACCGAAGAGTGTATTGACACTCCCAAAAGAGGATGCGAGAGGGCGAGGACGGCGGGAAGAGGAACGGTAATAGTTACCGTACGTTCTGGAGGACTGAGATCTAGAGGTCAGCACTGGAACCGATTAAAAACGCTGATGACGCACATTAGGACCATCTGTGGCATCATTGAAAAAATCTGGCAAAAGTTCATCATCCACGGCTTGCGTAGCATCCGCCTAAATAGAATATCCAGGTTACAACCACTGGGAAGGTTGAGAAGCAAATCACGCACTGCCGTTACCTACGAGGGGGAGATTAGCATAGTTTTGACTGAAGAACCATGAGCTTTACATCAGATGAAGGCCGAAGGAGGTCTTCAAGGCCAGCTCTTTTGAGGATGGCGTGAATGTCCCAGGTGTACGCATTTTTGTTTTGGCAGCCAGTGACTAGCAGCTTTCCATCAGCGGAAAGGGCTGCGCATTGCACGTAATCTTCGTGCTGGAGGAGTGGACCGACTGGAAGGTTTGTATCCAGATTCCACAAGCGCACTGTTTTATCACCTGATGCACACAGAAGGCGGTTGTTCTGAGACCAAGAGTGTGTTACCGCCGAGATTGGTGACCTCCTCCCAAGTGGTTGTGTCATATATTCTAATTGGATTTGAACCGGAGATAAGTTTCTTTCCGTCCGACGTCCATGCCAAGCTCCAAACAGGATAAATGTGTTTGAGCGTGTTAAGCAGCTTGCCCGTCTTGGCATCCCAGATTTTGACTGCAGACACGTTGTCTTTACCGGTTGCAATTTTTGCTGCATCGGGCGAGTAGATTACCGCGTTCACCTGATCGTGCCCGGTTTTGATTGTCAGGACAGTTTGGCTGCTCTCGACATCCCAGACTCTTGCCGTCCCATCCCAAGATCCGCTTAGCACTCGTTTACCATCTGCACTCCAGCACAATGCACACACAGCTTTGTGTCCTGACCATTTGGCGATAAGTTTCCTCGTCTCGACATCCCATAACCTCACTTCAACATATCCGCTTGCAATTGTCTTTCCATCGGGAGACAATGCCATGCACCACCCTTCTGCCATTGCATTCTCGTCTCCCCAGTCCTCACCTATCTGTTCTCCGCTCTCCAGGTCCCACAGTCGGAGCGACTTGTCCGGCGAACATGTGATGATCTGTCGTCCGTTAGGTAGGTGCACAACGCCATTCACCCAGCCGGTATGACCTCGGAACGTCTGGCGTGGCGTGATTGCTGGTGTCTTACTGGCAGAGGAAGACATGGTAGGTGCTTGGTATCTCAACTACGGCAGATTGGGGGCTATGTATACGAGAGAGCGGGATCTTGGAATCAGACCGAATCTTCCGGCGACAGCAATGATTGATGGTGAAGCCAGGAACCTGTCTTTTTCACTTTATTTCTTGTCAGAACAATTACTAACAAGACCCACTCACAGGATTCACGCCCTACCCAGAATGACTTCGGGACTGTCTGTGGAGGAAGTGCTTTGTTGTTATTTGAGAGATTGGAGTGTGCAAGAGATCTTTATGGGTATCCGAAGTTGCTGGCAAGCATCCCGTCAGCTGTATCCTGCAGAAAGACCTAAATTTCAAGTTCATTTACGAGCAACACCGTTTGGACGAACCCTCGATCACCGGTGGTCAGAGCCTAGAGGGCGTCTGGCTGGGAGTTGAAGAAGAAGCTGGGCACTCGTTTGTTCAAGCTGTCTTTTTTAGGTCCATCCTATGCGCAATCCTCGTGTTCGCTTTACAGCTTATTGCTGTATAGATCAAGCGCTCATCGCTCAGGTTTGTAACCAGTCCCCTATACGTAAGGACCGCATTTAATGGTAATGGCGAACATTCGACGGGGTGCCGCACTCCCTCCCGCTCCTCTCATTTCTTCCGGTCTATGTTCGAACTCGGCGATGCCGTCGACATTTTAGAATATATGCAAGCACAAAGCGATCTCTCGAATGAACCGTCGTACCAATGCGAACTGTCTTGCGGAAATGGCATCAATATATAGGAGGATAGGCACATCTTGTCCAAGTTTTCTAATTCTCATTCAAGAAGCATCAATCCAACCCATGCTTGAACCAGTCACTGAGGAGGTTGCAGTCCGAAGGAACCAGCACACGATGAAAGAAAGAGAACTCAGAAGCATGATAGGAAGGGAAGACGGGGTCGGTATGTTGGAAGAACATGATGAGAACAAGCCTGTGGTTGATCCAGACCCAGCGCGATATACAAAACTAATATCACACAAAAATACAACCGCAATACAAACAAGCTAGAGCAATGTTGGTGCCGCGCGTGCTGACAGAGGTTAACACAAAAATTAGTTCATATATATAAAAGATTGAATCTGGATAGAGAATGGGTTGCGTAGGAAAACAGACCATCATCTGCACCAGGTTCCGGGCTTTTGTCCTCTTAATTGATTTCAGGATGTTCCTCTCGCAACGGTTGAGATAATCAAGCTTGGTACATACATTGATGTACGTAGTTGTAAAATGACATCAAGAAAGAGATACGAGTACAGAAGAACTGGAAGGAAGTGTGAAACAGTCATGTACCTAAGTACTAATAGCCCTCGACGTGCGGTGGAGATGCACAACAAAGAAACAGCACAAAGCGAGCTCGCAGTGGAAGAGGTCACGACTGCATGGTCGCTGCACCTGACGCGGCAGGAGCAGAAGCAGGAGGTGCCGTGGATGTCGAGGGGGTGGCAGGCTCAGTCTGTGATGATGACGCCTGGCCCTGGGCTTGACCTTCTGAACCTTGTTGCTGCTGCTGCGTCGATCGTGCATTTCTATTGGCGTGTTGTGGAGATGCGCAGCAGAGAAAAAGCACGAGATGACCCAACAACCGGACGGGTAATGAATGCGCATATCTTGCACGTGGTGGAATAGGATGATCACCTGGAGTAGGCTGTGTCGTGGACGACCCCTGCGCGTGTGATTGGTTTTGCTGCTGTGTTTTTTCTGGTGGCGGTGGAGCAGTAAATATAACCTGCAAAAATTATCAGGCACCAGAAATCGACATACCGCAGAAAGACATACATCTCTGTCTTTCACTGCAGCAACTTCGACGACACGAGGACGGCGACGAAAAAAGATAGCTCGGCGTTGCGGGAGCTCGATTTCTTCATTGGTGTGGTGTTGAAAGCGGCGGAAAAGCGACGAAAGGCGTCCGAAGGGTGCTCCCGCACTCCCCAAAGAAGCTGCGAGAGGGTGGGGACGGCGGGAAGAGGAACTGTGACCGTACGTTCTGGAGCGCTGAGATCAAGAAGTCAGGACAGGAAGCGATCAAAAACACTGATGATGCACATTAACACCGTTTGTGACGTTGTCGAAAAATCCTGGCCAAAGTTCATCGTCCATGGCTTGCGTGGCATCCGCCTGAATATAATATCAAGGTTACAGCCATTGGGAAGGCTGGAAAACAAATCACGCACATTCATTAATGACTCTTGAGCTGCAACCTACAAGTGAGAATTTAGCGTATTTTCACTGGAAAACCATGAGCTTTACATCAAGTAAAGGTTGGAGGAGGTCTTCAAGACCAGCTTCTTTGAGGATGGCGTGAATGTCCCATGTGTATGCGTTTTCGTTTTCGGAACCAGTGACTAGCAACTTTCCATCAGCGGAAATGGCTGCGCAGCTTACATCGTTTCTGTGCTGGAGAGGTGGTCCGATTGGAAGGTTTGTGTCGAGGTTCCATAGACGCGCTGTTTTATCCCATGATGCACTTGCAAGGAAACGTTCATTGAAAGACAAGGTGATGGCGTAGACAACTTGCGTGTGACCCTCCAGAGTGGCGATCTCCTGCCAAGTGGCTGTGTCGAATATCCTAATAAGGTGTGAACTGGAGATGAGTTTCTTGCCGTTGGACGTCCATGCCAAGTTCCGAACTATGAAGTTATGTACGATCATGTTAAGCAGCTTGCCCGTCTTTGCGTCCCAGATTTCGACTGCATTCTTGTCGTTTCCGCCGGTTGCAATTTTTGTTGCATCAGGTGAGTATATCACCGTGTTTACCCACTTGTTCGCGGTTCTGATTGTTAGGATATTTATGTCGCTCTCGACATTCCAGACTCTTGCCGTCCCATCCCAGGATCCGCTCAGCACCCGTCTACTATCTGCGCTCCAGCACAGTGCACACACAACTTTGGTATGCCCTGACCATTTGGCAGTAACTTTCTTCGTCCCGACGTCCCATAAACTCACCGTCCCCTCATTGCATCCACTCGCAATTATTTTGCCGTTTGGTGACAATGCCATCGACCACACACCTGCATCATTCTCATCTCGCCATTCTTCTCCTATCTGTGCGCCGCTCTCTAGGTCCCATAGCCGGAGTGAGCCGTCCGCTGAAGATGTCATGATCTGTTGTCCGCCAGGCAGATGCACAACATTATTAACCCATCCGGTATGTCCTCGCAACGTCTGATGTGGCTTGATCTCTTGTGTCTCAATACCATCTATATCTTGTAGTATTTCAGTGCTGAAGTCAAACATGGTTGGCGTCAAGGGCGTTAACGTTCCGCTACAGTAGATTGTAGCCTAGTATATGCACAAGAAGCTTGCCAGGATCTTGAATTATTGGGCAACAGTATGGTTCCTGGTGAGCTGGGCGGGCCTGTTTCATTGTGGTTAATGCGAGTACATGCGGCATTTCTCATGAGACAGCCTGCTAACAGGAATCCTCACCTACAAGACAGCTTTGGTACAATGCATGCACGTGCAGCGCCGGTACTTGAGAACGCAGAGAGCCTCGTGCGAATGCAAAGTCGCCTTACGAGCAACGCTGATTGAACAAACCCTTAACCACCAGCAATCAGAGGGTGTCGGGTTGGGAGTTGAGGAAGTTGGGGCACCCGTTCGTTCAAGTTGTCTTTTGAGGTCCGTCCCATGCTTCATCCTCGTGATTGCTTCACAGCTTATTGCTGTGTCTATCAAGCGCTCATGTCTGCGACCGGTGCTATGTCCCTCTTCCTATACTGTAACGTAAGGACTACGTCAATGGCTGTGTCACACATTCCACAAGGTACTGCACTCCCTCCCCACTCTGCACGTCTCATTCAATCTATTTTTGAACTCAATGTCTAAATTTTCCAGCTCGTTCGTAGGATATGGAGCGGGGGGATTTACTTGTTTTCTAAAGAGGTCCCTGTTGCCATCAAACAGTTGACAGGACGACTCATTTGTGTTGCCACGATCCTCCCCTCTCAAATGCACACATCTCCGCCAGACGTTTACATCCTAACAGTCCAATCAACCTTGAACGCTGCATACGAGTATTTATCGTAAGCATGGATTAGAACGGCAACTCGCTTAAAGTATCTTTTACCTATAACACACCTGCCGTATCGGCTGACCTGTGGTACCATTTAGGCACAATAAAAATCTGGGTGACGTCTTACCGCGAGAGAGACTGTATGATAAGCTTAAGCAGCGCTATTAGACCTTTCATTAAGCGCCCTAGGAGTTGATAACTGAACGTCCATCCTAGATTGGTGTCCTTGGCTTTGTAAAGCTGCTTCAGACAACCGTACTGCGAGGGTAATCGAAGGCATCGGCATGTCTAGCTGAGAGCTCGATGCTAAACCAGGCCGTTCTTGAAAGTCTTCATCCATTCCATTGACGACAGATTGACAATGTCGAGTCAGTTGCAGCAAGACAGAGGGGAGACTCCTATATCACTGAAGTGCGGCTGTCTTACAATGTGCCTCGACTAGGAGAAGAACATGTTGATGTACCGTCGACACATGATCATTATAAGGAATAAGTACACATAGTAGGGAACTTTGGCAGGTGTAGGGGAGAAGGTAGAAACATTAAGTGCCTAGTCTTGGAGAAGATGAGCGCTCCCTGAGTAACCACATACTTACATGGTGATTGGCACAGGTGGTCATTGCGTTGTCTGCGACCCATGCATCTTCAGTGCAATGTGCATGCAGAGACATAACGGCCGGTCGCAACGCCGACAGCAGGTTGAGACGTTTTGGTTGTAAAGATCACAAGCTCACTCTGGCATGCAATTCATGCCAGTACTCGTGCAGTCAAAGAGAACCACATAGCGGGAAATCGCCGCAAGATCAACATAGCGTGTTGAAACTAGCTGGATAGCATGCAAGCCTTGCAGGAAATGCGCAGGTACAGTTGAGCGAAAGAACGATTCAATGCAAGACAGGGAATTGTAAATGCTTACTATCAAGTTTCTATGACTGCTTGAAATAAAAAGTAACATTTCGTAACATGGCGTTGAAAGCAAGCTGAAATTAGGAGGCTGTGGAAATCAAATACACACATTCTTAGCGTGAACAACAAGATGACAAACGTTACAAAAGAACCAGATGCAAAAATGAGATAACTGTCCATGTGCTACAGTGTTGATGCTCATCGATGTATGAAGGAGACGCACAAAAAAAGCTCGAAACAAGCTCGCATTGGAAGAGGTCAAGGCTATGTGCTTGTTGCACTTGGCGTAATAGGACTAGTCGCAGGAGCAAGAAGTATCGTGGATGTCGAGGCGGCGGCAGGGTGAGTCTGCAATGACGACGCCTGGGGCTGGGCTTGACTTCCTAATTGATCTTGCTGCTGCGTTGGTTGTACATTTCCATTGACGTGTTGAGGAGATGCGCAGCAGAGAAAAAGCACGAGATGACCCAACAATCGGATGGGTAGTGAATGCGCATATCCTGCACGTGGTGTGGTAGGATTAGCAACTGGAGCAGGCGGTGTCGTGGACGACTCTTGGGCGTGCGATTGGCTTTGCTGCTGTGTTTTTTCTGGCGGCGGTGGAGCAGTAAATATAACCTGCACAGAAATCATTGAACACTAGAAATTGATATACCGGAGAAAGACATACCTCTCTATCCTTTACTGCAGCAACTTCAACTACACGAGGACGGTGACGAGAAAAGATAGCTCGCCCTGAGTGTTGCGGGAGTTTGGTTTCTTCATTGGTGTGGGGTTGAGAGTGGCGGAAAGGCAACGAAAGGCGACGGATGAGCGCACTCACACTTCCCAAAGAGGGTGCGAGAGTGCGGGGACGGCGGGAAGAGGAACGGTGATGGTTACCATACGTTCTGGAGGACTGAGATAAAGAGGTCAGATCAGGGACGAATTAAAAACGCTAATGACATACATAAGCACCATCTGTCACATCGTTGAAAAAGCCTGGCGAAAGTTCATCATCCTCAGCCTGTGTAGCATCCGCCTAAATAGAATATCAAGGTTACAGCCACAGGGAAGGTTGAGAAACAAATTGCGTACATCCATGAATGACTCTTGAGCTGCAACCTGCGAGTGGGAGATTAGCGTAGTTTGGATTGAAGAACTATAAGCTCTACATCAGGTAAAGGTTGAAGGAGGTCTTCAAGGCCAGCTTCTTTGAGGATGGCGTGAATGTCCCATGTGTGGATATTGTTGTAGGAACCAGTGACTAGCAGTTTTCCATCAGCGGAAAAGGCTGCGGATTGTACACTAGATTTGTGCTGGAGAGGTGGTTCGATTGGAAGGTTCGTGTCGAGGTTCCATAGACGCACTGTCTTATCATCTGATGCACTTGCAAGGATGCGATTATTCGGAGACAAGGAGAAGCCGTTGACGAAGTGACTGTGACCCTCAAGCACGGCGATCTCCTGCCAGGTGGTTGTGTCGAATATCCTAATCGGGTCCCGGCTATGATAACCGGAAATAAGTTTCTTTCCATCCGACGTACATGTCAAACCCGCAGTTGCTGCATCATCGTCGTGTTTGAGCGTGTTAAGCAGCTCGCCTGTCTTTGCGTCCCAGATTTGGACTGCATTCTCCGAGTCCGCCCGTTGCAATTCTTGTCCCATCTGGCAAGTATTTGACTGTGAACAGGACGTCATGTCCCGTTTTGATTTTCAGGACAGTTTTGCGGCTCTCGATATCCCAGAATACTGCCATCCCATCGCGGGATCCGCTCAGCATTCGTTTACCATCTGGACTCCAGGACAATGCAACCAAAACCTGAGGGTGTTCTTGCAATAGTGCGGTAATAACCACCTCCCTCGTCTCGACGTCCCAATACCTCACTTTATAAGCGTCTGTGGATGTACTTGCAATTGTCTTGCCATCTGGAGACAATACTATGCTCCACATTATCGTGTTCCTCCTAGAGAACCACCGCTCTCCTATCTGTGCACCATTCTCTAGGTCCCATAGTCGGATTGAGCCATCTGGTGAACATGTGACAATGTGTCGTCTGTCAGGCAGGTGCACAATAGCATTTACCCGCCTGGTATGACCTCGCAACGTTTTACATGGCATGATCGTTGGCGTCTGACTGGTGGCAGAAGACATGGTCGGCACTCGGTATGGCAATAATTCCTGGTGAGTTGAGGGCCTATCTTGTAAGAAGCATATGAGCTATTGCTCGTGTAACAGCTCACTCACAGGAATCCAGTCCTCACCTACAAGACAACTTTGGCACTGTAGGAGTTGCTGAGTGGTTATATGAGAATGCAGAAATTCTTGCTGGAGCATGTGGTCAGCTTTAACCTACAGAAGAGCCAAGAGTGTCACTCACGGGAAGCACTATCTAGATGAACTGCTCAATTACCAGTGATCAGAATGCGTCTGGTGAGAGTTGAGGATGTTGGATGCTTGATCGTTTAAGCTGTCTTTTAAGGTCTGTCCCATGCACGATCCTTGTAATCGCTTCACAGCTTGTTGCTATGTAGCTCAAGCGCTCAGGCCTGCGACGGCTGACCGGTGCTAGGCTATGCCCATCTTCCTATACGTAAAGACTACGTTGGTGGTTATGGCAAATGTTCAATGGGGTGCCGCATTCCGTTTCCACTTGGTATGCTCATTTTCGAACTCGATGTCATTAACTCTTCCAGCACGTTTGCAGGTCACTGAGCGGCGCCTATTTCCAGGATGGACTTGTTTGTTTTCTAAGAAGATCCCCGTTCACATCGAATAGTTGACAAGGTGTCGCCATCCGTCGGACACTCTTATAGAAATCCTTGTATTTCATATCGCGCGACCTGTCTATTGACACGGTCATTAATGTGATCCATCGAATCCACCGTTTCATCATCTAGAACTCGTCTTGCGGAAATGGTATCTTGTAAACAGGAACTGCGAGTGCAACTGTTTCGTTCGCGAAGGCCATCTCATAGGCATGTATCGATTCTCTCATTCTTGTTCAGACCGACGATGACGATAACACCTGTGCTATGCAGGAATATCACAGCATGATACGAATATCTACGATTTCGTGAACGAGCCCCACACACAAAACAAGATTGTAGAGGCACTTTGACATTTTTGGAAGGAATGAGGTCCAAATGACACGGATGACAAGACTGTATCACATCGTCTTTGTCGTAATTCCTCGCTCATCTCAGATACGAAGACATTGATTTGTTGACGAGGCGTGATCTTCTCTCGGGGATACGTTCTCGACCCTCAACCCACATGCACCCTAAACGGATCCCCTTCTATTCACGTACGAAGAACTTTTATCGGTCCTCATGCGGAGATTGAGCTCACCAGAGCTACGTACCATCAGAGCATCACTCACAGGAAGTACAGCCGCTCAATCTCCAATTATAAGCGATCAACTGATGGATGTCTGATTAAAAGTTGAACACTTGTTCATTTGAGCATCTTGTAAGGTGCACTGATGTATCTGTAGGCTGTCTTGCGTCACTTCACTGCTTAAATGCTGTGTAGACGAGCGCTCATGCGCATGTCCGCAACTGGCACTATGTACAACTTCCTGTGTGAATTACGTTGGAGGTTACGCCAAATACTCGCAGGAGCCGCATTTCTTGTCTACTTCACATGGTTTTTTCCAGCCTATTTCTGAACTCAATGCTGTCATATTGTCCCCTTGACTCGATCAACCTGGACGTCTTGGTGGATAGAGTTTCGTGTACTGCTGATATGGCTTATCCTGTGAGTTAAGAGGGGAGTCGCTGTGATCGAGAACCATCAATCACTTGCATAGAAAAGTGATAATACGTATATAGCGGATATGCGAGTCTGGATCCTAACATGCACCAATACTAGTACACTATAGTACTTAACATAAAGATAAGCTTTGGTGAGACACTGCTGCGTAGATGTGCGGCAAAAGCCACATTGGAGAGAGATATTAACACCTTTGTCTGATTGTCCTACTGGGATAACAACGTAACGAAAGCACGCATCGTGGCCTCGGCACAATTCTTCACCTGCCAGGAAAAGCGTCATCGAAATGTCTGAGTCTCCACATCGTATCTCCGAGCCAGTAACAATGATTGGATAGTCAATGCTTCTGGTTCACAGTTACAATGCAAGTTCTCCTCGTATAAATGATACACGGCGGGCTAATTTGGTACTCACAGGACTGCCATGGACGCCTCAAACGCTCCCGAAGATGATAAAACAGCATCGCATCACTGATATTTCTATCTGGAGTGTTCTACAAGAACAGTATCTGTGTAGTATCCATCGTGAACTAGAACTTCACGGTCCGAGAGCGATTTTTCCACTGACCAGAATGTGATACGAGTATCTTGTGCTCCATCATGATGGCTTTCACTGAGTGAATCAAGACAGCACTATCCTCCTTTCAAACAACATGAGGGAATATCGTATATCGCGTGATGCTCGCAAGTCACAATATCAGGGTCCCGGTCATGTGCCATGTAGGCTGTAGAATATGTCAGTAGGATGCTCTGACACGAATGGACGAAGGAGCATAGCAAGGAAATCACCGATACCAATATCAGGGTGCGCTCGGTCCTGTCATGACAAATTGATAAAGGCAAATCTAGCAGCTGATTGATATCAGTCGACCGGTTCCTTATCCATACATGCTGATTGGCGCGACAGTTGAATTCATATTGTAACCATATGCGTGTACCAGAAAGCGATCGCGAAGTTTTTTTTTTTTTGCAGGTGATCATCAGACAGATGGGTCAGAGTCTCTGAATGCTGATTGTGCTTAATTCTGGCAAGTTCGCGCCACCTACGAGTAACGACGGCGTGAGGGCGGGGGCCCCCCGATGAGCCGAGATGGTTTGCTGTTCTAGTGGTCCTCAATTGGATGCTTTGAAATTCGTTCTCCACAAACGTTTCTAATCGAACACAAGTAATTGGGGCGATTGCACCAATAGCCTTGAGATCTGATGCAAGATGGAGGGTAGCATATGGAGGTGCGCGAGACTGATGATCGATATCGATGAAGGGTGGTTCCACAAACACTTATCTATATCCATAGATGCTAAACCTCTACCCTGGATAACCGAGCGACTGGTCAACCAGTCAGCTTTGGGTCAGCTGCCAGATCTTCCCCAACACGTGTCCATGCCCTTATCAACCAACTCCAATTTAAAAGCAGGACCAAACCGTCTCACCGCATCAGCGTTGGTGGTTTCCTCGTCATCCTCCATCCTCCATCCTCCGTTCATGTCCCACTGGCCTGTTCCACAGCCTACACGACACATGACCTAGACATCGCGACTTTGGCCGCTCGTCACGGAGTATACAATACTCTCCTGAGGACAAGATGCTCGTATCACATTTCCGAAGGTGAGATAACTGTTCTTCGGACCGTGTACTAGTTTCAACTCACGATGTATCCCATACCTTTCCACTAGATCCTGCTCTCGTAGAACACTCTAGATGACAAAGACCGGTGTGTGATGATGCTTCATCTACATTCCTCGGTCTTCAGGAGCGCTCGAGGCGTCCATGGTCATCCTGTGTGCATGAGTTGACTTGACACGCGGCTGTTTATCATTTATACGAGGAGTATTTGCATTGTAACCGCAAACCAATAGCATTGGCTTTCATAAATCATTGTTACTGGTTCGCTGATACGATGCGGAGACTGTGATCATCACACGTGTTTTCGTTGTACCGTGGCTTCTGTAGGACAGTCAGATCAAATCAATTATGTGGCTTCGTGAGGTCTTGATTCACCTCTACCTGCCCAGTGAAATGGCGAAAGAACAATTATGAAGCTGGACAAGTGGGACCACATGGGAGGTTTCGTAGATGCATTCAAACTCGATCATTTTCATGTTGCTACGCCAGCTTGTGACTAGCCGCACTACTGACGCAAAAGATATAGTCTCTAGTAAGCAAACGTTGAAAAAAGTGGTCAACATGGGCATCTTCATTCCTCCCAAGATGATTTTTGATTGTTTTGGGCGTCTCGCGCAACCGCCGTCCTGGCATATGATGCTCGGTGTGATCAGAGCAAGACATTATCTTTGGAAAAGAATGAATGTATTAAATACACTGGCTGGGGTGGGGGATCCAAGGAAAGAACGCCGATGATTTGATTGGTACACGAGATATCTGTCGTGCAGCATCAGGATTTGCAGCCAGGACAACAACCACTTACCACTGCAGAAGGACAATCAAGGTTGAGGAGCTTGTGAAAAGTGAATTTCTGTCTAAGTGGACGACGTTAAGGAACTAGCAAATGACATCGATAGAGAGAAAATGATATTTACGAAAGAACTAGAAAGTACATTTGTAAGATAGTTGTACACGCGCTGCATCAATGACTATTGGTGTGTGGGGGAGACGCACAACAAAGAAAAAGTACGAAACGAGCTCGCAATGGAAGGGGTCGTGACTGCACGTTTGAAGCAGCTGTCGCGGATGTCGAGACGGCAGCAGGCCGAGTCTGCAATGATAACGCCTGAGGCTGGGCTGGGCCTTGTGATTGACATTGCTGCTGCGTTGGTATCACATTGCCATGGGTGTGCTGAGGAGATACACAGCAAAGAAAAAGCACGACATGAGCCCACCATGGGATGGGTTGTGATTGTGCAGGTGTTGTAGTACCATTAGGCTGAGCGCGTGGAAGAGGTCGCGGCCGCGGAGCAACATACAATGCCTTCATGGAGATCATCAGACGCCAGAAATTGACACACTGGGAAAGGCCATACCTGCCTGTCTCGCACTGCAGCCACTTCGACAGCATGAGGACGCCTTGGGCGTTGCGGGAGTTCAATTTCTTCATCAGTGTGGGGTTGAGAGCGGAAGAATGAGGATAGGCGATCAATAAGTGCATCCGGACGTAAACCTGGAGGCGTTGCGGGATGACCTTCAGTTTCTCCACCTGTATTGAGTCGAGAGCAGGGAAAAAGTGACGACGGGGGAACGAGGATTGCATGTAGATCTAACCGTAAAGGCGTGGAGGGTTGTTGAAGTCCATCTAGTGCATCGTTCTCAGGTGAAGAACGGTGGATGAGTGAGGACAGGCGAGCGAAAAGCAGGCGGGGGTGCAACCTCGAAGGTGTTGGGGGTTGCGAAGTTTCTGTTGCTTCAACATTGTCGGGTACGCCCAGCACGCACGCAAATATTGGATTCAAATACAAGTGGCGTACACACTCCGGGACAGTAAGCTCACGCTTACTCCTTTGACTTGCACCACGTACTCACATCAATGTTGTCCCAGGCTGGTTCCCGTCGCTTTCGTCCTTATTCCTCGGGCTCCACTATGCACGGCTCTTAGTATTAGCAGGTGCAGAGCGCCTTGATACGACACTCACGGTTAGTCAGATGCAGGGCAAATTCTGGCTCGAAGTCATGGCTAGTTCGGGTGTGGGACATCTCATGCACGAGGTTCATCGCTTACTTAATGAACATTCGCTCATGTATGTTGACGCAGTGAAATTAGGACGGTCCGACAAAACTGGCAGAGATTCTGGCAGATTTCTGGATGTGCAATGAACGCATTATGATTCGAGGTAACGTTACCAAGATGGTCGGGGAGGTTTAGAGGACTTGAACATGTCAATCAATGTATCTTTGGTTTTGGTTATGCGCCTTTTTTCGCAATGTGATCATTGCGTGGCAACCCGAATTACAGGCTCGGTGCAGAACATAAACTTTGAAGACGGCATTATTGGGTCAAAACTTGCTTCACTCACAAGGAGACATCCCATTAGGATTCTACCGGTACTTGACTGTCTGTCTGAACACGATATCTTATTCATACAATGCACATTCAACAAGTAAGGTACGTCGGATAAATATGTTGATACGAATAAAACGGCAGTTGTTCGAGAAGAGAGATTTAATTTGTTGTCGCATCGGTGTATGCAGTGGTGGCGAAACCGACTCGGGAGTTTGTCGTGTCGAACACCGAGTAAAACCGCTCGCTATGGAAGAACAATTCAGTATTTTATTTTCTCGGCAGAAAATTGCAGCTCAACGTACAGAAAACAATAACCGTTCGTGAAATCCAAGCCAGAACCGCTGGGGCTCCCAGTGCTACTGACGACCAGGTATATGCCGTCGGTGGTACCGCCAACAGCGTTGTTCAACGACCGAGGCCAGATTTGCGCATTCGGGGTGAGCTCATAAGTAACCCCACCAATAGTGAAATACAAAGACGAAAGCTTTGTGTACTGGTCGGATGAGATTTGTAACAAGCCAACGGTCTCATCGAAGGTCGCCCCCGTGGCAGCCTGATATTTATCGAAGGCATCTGAATGGTGAATTAGAAGGGTTTTGATGTCGTATAGGATACCTACCGGAGGCAATCAGAATCAGGGTGGTTCCGGTATCGACAATACCAGCGGTCTCATCCAAAATGGGTGTAGACCCATAGCTGATGGATTGATCAATGCCCCAGTATTCACTCGCTGGAGATTGCGATGTGATCGGCACGTAGCTGATGTCTCCAGTAATCTTGGAGGCGTCATAACCGCCGAATGTGAGCTCGCCACTGCTATCATCGGAGGAAGCAGGCGTGAAGAACACTCCGAGTACTTCCGAACTGATTGTTCCCTGCTTATAGAGGTTGTCCGTCACAGTTGGAACTTCATCTGTATTACTGACAGTGTCGTCAGTTAAATCGACTGGTCCAAGGCCAAGAAGTCCATCCAGGCCATCCATCCCTGAGTATTTAGATGCGACGCCGATAGATTGATTATCAATGACCAGGTCAGAGTTGAGCGTTACGGTGTCCGTATATTCCTCTCCAGAAGCGTAACTATTATCGCCATATTGAACACTCTGGAAACGGCTTGATCAAATGTACGTGCCACGTAGAGACAAATACTCACGAATGTATTGCCCGTGTCCTGGCTTGTAGAAGTCTTCTCATAAGATTTGTTAGCCCCGATCCAGGTATTTGAGCTTCCTGTGTCTACTAGGACTGTGTCTGTATGAAATTGACAATGCGTCAGATAAAGAAATGACAGGGGCACGAGCAGCTTACAGTACGTTGCTGGACTCCCCACGCCGATGTCAGCGGTGTATATCATCACATCATTGGTTGCACTGATGGAAGAGCTGCCACCAGCTTGTAGGGCTTGGATTCGAGCTCTATCTGCAGTCGCGATGTTCTTGGTCCCGTACGAGTTTATTCTAACGGCGAGCTTGAGAGTAGCCGTGCTTGACGCTGTCCGAGGATGAGGAAAAGCGCTCGCTGACAGAGAGAAGAAGGCAAGCGCCGGTAAGGCAAGAAGAGATGAAAGCGATCTAGAGGGAATCATCTTCTCGATGACATGCTTCCTACTAGTACCTGAGCCCTTTTATATGGTGGTCAGTAGTAGAAGCATCATAACGTTACACTTGGAATATCATAGAGGCGAACAATAGCAAGGCTTCGAAGTGGCAACTACGTTAGCTGCTTGTAATATAACCAGGCGCGGGGCTCATTGTGTGATATCATGTCCCATGAATTCATCTACGCAGGAAATTAGTGTCGGTTAGTAAGTAGCTGCAGGGGAAGCCTGGGAGCAACCTTTGGATAGCCTGCAGGATTTTATTACAGAACCCTGTATAGCAGAAACATGATCAATTCACTGCCAGTGAGAAAGATGTGATTCTGCAATTTCAGGCATCGGCCCATTTGGACATTTAATTACATAACGTAGGTTTTTTTCAAGTTCGGAAGTATGGCATGCTGGCATGCTGCACCAGCGCACTTCCTTTCCACTCTGCAGTGTCTGCACGCCCCCTCCGGTCTGTTTTGAACTCAGTGTCATCAAACTATTCCAGGACGTTTACAGGTTCTGGTTGCAATACCTATCTTTAGGCGGCAGGCGGACTTGGTTGTTTTCTACAGAGATCCTCGTTAAAATTGATAAGACGTATCATGGATGTTACTACCACCCTCTCAAATACACATCTCTACCAGACGTCTACATCCTACCTGAATCCTCACATTTCATATCGCACAACCTGAGTATCGAGTCTCGACACACTATAGTCGGATTGAGCTGTCACATGGACCTGCGATGATGCATCGTCTGCAGCGCAGATGGACAACACCTTTTACGAAGCCATCATGGCCCTGTCCAGCCCTTGTATGAGTCGTCAATAGAAGCTCACAAGGCGTTGCTTACGAGACAGCTTGCTAACAGGGATTCAGTCCCCACCACAAGGCAGCTTCGGGACAACGTATGCATGCTGTTGCTGCTGGGCACCTTTCAGGCATTCAAAATCACTGGTAAGCAAGTGGTCAGCTTGAAGAGCCTGGAGTATCACTCATGGGAAGCACTTCTCGGACGTTCTCAGTGCTTAATCACCAATGATTAGTGGGTGTTGGGGTTGGAGCCGAGGGAGTTAGGCACCACTTCGTTCTGTCTTTTAAGGCGGGTCCCATCTGTCATCGATATCCTGTGTTCGCTTCGCCGTGTAGAGATAGTGCCCCAGTCTACCACTGGCAATATGCGCATCTTCAGATAGACTATATTCTGATGTCTGTCGTGCTAACAATATTCGAATGTTGACCTTTCCGAATCCTTCGTCACCAAGTCAGTATGAAGTGAATAAAGCTTTGGCCGCCGAGAATACTATGATATTAAGAAATCAGAAGGCATGACCCTTATCGCCCATTCGCCACTTCTGATCAGTGCAACAACGCCATGCACGCATGGCAATGCCCTTCTATGGCCATAATGCTACATCTTCAGACTGATCCCAACCCCGTTAGCGTAAGCTGGCAGGCATCGTCTGATGAACTGACCAGCGGCCTCATAAATCAACTTTCATCTCAAGTAAAAACAACGTACCATCTTCGTCTTGAGTGGCAGTGAACCTGCTGTATAAAGACCAGTGCCAGCGAAAGTTTACTAATCGTGAATGCAGGTATATTGCAACGTTAAATGTTGACCCTGTGGACTTGTCCTGGCGGTGGAGACTGCAACATCCAGGACAAATCACAGGGTTCAGCATTACAATAGAGATCCTGGCAGTCATTCGGAGAAACGGAATGGAATGATCTGGCACTTGTCAGTGAATTTTGCGAAGACTTGGGGGGACTTGTCCTGCATAAGGCAGTCACAGTGAAAGCTGGGATTGCCATGTAAGTTAAGGCAGAGGCTTCGAGCTCGTTATGATTACGCACCGGGGTCCCAGTCAGATACCGGAGACTTAATGTGGTACTCGCACGTGAGGGTGATGCATTGATGACTGACCCGCAGTCATGTTCACAATAGAATGCCTAGTCTTGCGATCTCGCGCTCCAAAACGATGCTCGTGTTATGCGAGGGGCGATTCACTCGCTGTCCATCACTCCGCGAACACATAATCCTTCAAAACTCTCGTACTGGTTCATCATCGTCTTTAAGGACATGGGAAAGCTCGTAGGGCAATTGACGCAAGTATCAAGGTGACTAAGCCTGTGAAGAACCAGTATCTTTATTCGACGAGAAGGCGCAACCTGGATCGGTGCGTTAGGCACCAAACGACAGTTCCATCAGACGTCCATCGCAAGTTAGTACAGTTCCTTCTTCCAACGGCTTCTATTTACTCAGCATGTATGTGTCACTTCCATTACGGTCTGATTGCCCTTCAGGACATGCGGAGTATCTCCATTGCAAGAGATGCCTTCGACCAGAATTAGTAGGCGCAGGAGGTGGACCTCATAGGGCTATGACGCAACTATGACGGACTAATGGAGGCTAGCACCCCTTCTTGCAACATATCACTCACCTACTATCACATGCCGTTCGATCCGACATCTATGGAGCATTTGAATTTGACAGGGTCCGCAAGATTCTATGCAGTGTACAGGCACTCGACATGTGATCTTCTACCTGTGCTATTCTCACATACATAAAGCTAAAGGTACACTGCGTCATTCTCATTCCACAAGAAGTCGTTATAATTTTCTGCATCATATCTAGTATGGAGTCTGGTGTAGGAACAACAACGCTACCTTTGGAGGCACGAATTGCTCGTTATGACGAGTAGTGAGTTCTTCCGTATCGTCCCAATTCTTAGTATCAATCTTCTTTGCAGTTTCGATCCGTGAGTATCTCCAGAACGGAATTTTTAGCGTTTGAACTTGACAATTCTTCCAGGCGATTTTCAACAACCGTCTACAAAAAGACGAACACAAACAAACAGTCAAAACACCTCAAGAGACTGAATCAAAAGAAACCAGTCCTTGTCATCCGACGAGTCCTGGACAACAGAGGCCGATACACAGGGACTGAAATTGACATCCGAAGTCAAGAACTTTGCGATGTGCTTATGGAGATACACCAAGGTGTGGAGGGCTTAGAACTCTCACGAAGTTCCCCTGTCGTAAGCTAAACATCACATATTTCAACATCGCAATAACTTTCTCATAATGTGTTTCAGTGTGACACGAAGTTGCTCTTTCTCTCTTTCAACGAGCTCAAGGAACGACTAGAATTGGAAAGGTCGAAAGGCACGCCAAACGCTCCGCTAATTTCTGAAATCGAAGTAACTCTTTACTTTATCTTGGAGGAACACAAAACCACCTTCGCTGACCTTCAGTCATTGACAAGACACGAGTCCATCACCTTTGATTTACTTTGGACATTATTCCGTCATGGCACCCTGGTCTTCAATCGCCACGAGTTTACCGAGCAGGACCGCATTCTCCAAGTGACGCGCTTTGAGATCACACAAACAGATGAAGGAATCTTTGCTGCAATATATTGTCATGTGATCACTGACGACGGCGAGCATTTTGGAATTGCTGAACAAGAGCTTTCGATCCCGTCGTTCACAGGAGAGCGAAAGATACAAAGCCTGTCTGTTTTTCCTCTCTCCTTTCACTCGAATGAACGCGACATTCGCAAATTTGTTGCCAAACGAGGTCGGAAATTTGCAAGCTTGCAATGTCAGACTTATGGTGAGATTTCCGGGATGGCTGCCTGTGTCGTCAACGATAATGTTCGAAAATGCAGGGTGAGCAACAATAACCAGTCCCGCTTAATAGTATGGCCTATAACAAATCAATATAGGCTTCCGGGCGCGTCATGATCGATCCTGGCGCATTTCGTATGTTTCAGCCTGACTCTCGTCTCATTCTCTCGGTTTCTACCCCGTTGAAGCGAGCGGAACTCGAGGAAGAGCAATACATGATCTGCACTCCTGTTATCATGGGCTTTTGCTTCAGAACAAAGCAGTGGGGTGCGAGAATTCCATGCTTGGTTCTGCACATTTCTATAACAAACTTATATGTCTCAGGTGGATTCGCTCTTGACTACCTGCGGGACGTATCCTGGTCATTGGAGCCTTTCGATCGTCTGGTCCTGGACAACAGACACAAGGAATTGATTCATGCATTAGTGGAGCAGCACGCATCGCGTGCGTCGAGCTTTGATGACTTTGTAGAGGGGAAAGGAAAAGGCCTTGTCGGATTGCTTGCAGGTCCACCTGGATGTGGTAAGACACTTACAGCGGAAGCAGCAGCAGAGGTATTTCTCAACATTGCTCATGATTTCATGTACCCTCACCACTTTCGGTCAGGTGACAAAGCGTCCTTTGTATTGTATTTCAGCTGGCGAATTGGGGTCCAGTCCTGAGCATGTAGATGACGGTCTGACTCAGATTCTGGAACTTGCCCAACGGTGGAAAGCAGTCGTTCTTCTCGATGAGGCAGATGTTTTTCTGTCACGGAGGGGGGAGACTGATGTGGAGCGGAATGCCTTAGTCTCTATTTTTCTACGGCAGCTGGAATACTATCAGGGAATCATGTTTTTGACGACCAACTTGGTCTCACAGTGCGATGCTGCATTTGAGAGTACGTGCTTTCGCTTTTTTGTACTTGCATTCCTCAATCAATCGCAAAACAGGCCGAATTCACTTCACGGTGCACTACCCGCTGCTGTCTCATGTCTCGCGCAGACAGATCTGGAAGACATTCATTGATAAGACAGTGGATACCAACCAGTCCTCAATCAGCGAGGCTGAAATCGATACCTTGGCTCGGGAAACGCTCAACGGTCGTCAGGTATGTTGATCATTGCTTTCTTTCATTTCGTATAGTTAGAAGTAATAATGCCAACGGGATTCTAGATCAAGAACACTGTGGGAACTGCTCTCTCCCTCTCGTTACATTCGAACACACTGCTTTCTGTGATTCACATTCGCACAGTGCTCGATTCCATGCAGGAATGGAACAAAGCTCGGGAACATCACAACACTTATTCGGCATCTCTGCATAAATCAAGTTTGCAGGTCGCCGTCCCGGCTGGCATACGACTTGAAAGTGCAGTGCATTACAGTAAGTTCGCCTTCGTTGTACCCTGTGGGGATTTTCGGGCCATACAGGATATTTGCGAACAGTGCTGATCAGATTCAATCTCAGTTGCACACATCTCGATTGTTATTCTTGCATATCTCTTCTTGCTTAAGAGTGCATAGGCTGGCCAGACTTGGCCACATGTCATTGATTGGACCTTATATTGCACTACGCCGCGGCCACTATGCCCTAGAATTTAGACACAGCTATGTTTTTACCCGCCACTCAATGGGCACAATTCAACACGTACATGGTTGAATGTCCGTTCTGTAGGGTCTACCCCAAATTCAATATCGCAGACTGCATACCATTATAAATTAGGCGTCATGTTCGACTGGCTCGGGAATAGAAACCATGCAGCCAGAGGAAGCTTTGGGCAACTAAGGACTCCCTCGTAATTAGCCACCGCAGTAAAACTTCTACTTTTTGGCGAACCTGACCTATTACATTTAATGCGCAAACAAAATGTTTTTATGACTTGTTCTCGCGATCAGTCTATAGTACTAGTACTACTTATCTGGTGTTGATCCTCAGTTTGTGAGGCCTAGTGGCCCGGGATTCTCATCAATGTACCGCTATTCAAATCGGGTCTGCGTTGATGTCGGATCACCGTCGGACGTTCAAACGTTCAGCGCTCAGCTGTGTGCACAGTGACATGAATGGAAGCTTGATACGCCATATCATTATCATTAAAATTATTTAGCTGACCTGCAGACAGGTGATAGTGGAGCCTTGCGCGCTGATTGAACGCTCATTTCAATTTGCTGATCGAACTATCTGGTCCGGAACTAGTGGAATCTGCGGGAGATCACATAGCTTCCTCGTCAACGTTGCGCTTCAACGTTTCAACCAGTGACCAGTGAAATCGCACTTCGCTCCATGTATGATGTAAGGAATTCCTCCCTGGAAGTAAATATATTCTGTTATTGATTGTTTGTACTTCCATCGGGAACGGGTTGTACATTAATGCAGTGATATTTCCAACTCCAGGCTACGCTCCAGGTTTCACGCACTATCAGCAGATCTGAATAGTACTTAGGCTAGAGAACCTCGTCAGGCTGTGCTCCAGTCCCAAGGCTTCTGATTTGTGATATCACTAATGTCACCCAAGCGCCTCACGAAGGACCTGTGTCTACAGAAGTCCAGACGTATATAACCGCCAGGCTGGTTGCGGCTATGAGCATCGAGGAACATCTGTGTAAACGATCACAGTCCACTCAACGTTGATGCATCAGCCAGACAATACAACTTCCCAGGAGTGCGTGTTCAAAGTTGATATGTTAATGTACCAACTAAACTCTGCTCTGTCTCAAGAAAAACTCCCTTTGAACAGGCCTGGGAGGAGTATCGCACAACCATCAAGTCGTCTCAGACCAAAAAGGTCAAATTCATCGAAAGATGCTCCCAGTTTGCTTCAGAATGGCGGGATCCTGTTATAGCCATAAATGAAGCGATCACAGAGGTGGAGGGTCAGCATTCCCAGAAACAATCCCAGAAGGTGGTTAGCAAGTATCTGCTCCCATTCGTGGATGCCTTGGAGGGTTTCACTGGTATTGTAGATGCATTGAGTGAATTCTATGCTCGTCGTAAATGTCCTCCTGGATATTGACCATCTTGTTTTAGCCACCTTGAATCCTATCGCATCGATCGTCTGGGGCTGTCTCAAGGTCGCTCTCGATGCAAGTACCAAGTTCTAGTCGAACATTAATTTTAGTGACGATCATTGCTCAACTGTACTTTTTTTCCCAGAGCCTTGGTCAATGCGCGAGACTCTTTGAAAACATCCACTACGAGTTGGATTCTCTCGGTGGTCATCTAAAGAATATTGCTGTCTACGGCGACCTGTACCAAAAAAATGCAGACATGCAGGAGGTCCTCTGCAACGCTTACATCAATGTTATCCGGTTCTGGTATAGAGTTGATAAAGAATGCACTAAGTCAGGTCAGAGCGATGTTTGTAATGACAACAGAGCTTGATTTGACAATAGGCTTAGGACTAAAGTTCGGGACACCCTTTAGCACAAAGAAGTTGGGAGGTATCATAAACGACATGCATTGTGACCCTGAGAAGATTAAAGACTGCACCGGTCGACTTGGTCAGCAAGAGTCGAGGGAGTACCGTCAGGCGAATGAAGCAGCCCGGCGGGAGTCAGATGAAGCACATAAATGGGACATAGTCTCGGATTGGCTGTCATCAGATTCAAAATCCTTGAATGATCTATGTTTCGCACAGCAAGAGGAGAACTTACGTGGCCGTAGCCAAATCACTTGCCAATGGCTGTTTTCCCATGACAATTTTTCCAATGGAGGGACAATCCCTCGTCATCACCGATCTTGTGGATCCATGGTCCGCCTGGATCTGGGAAATCGACATTGTGTTCAAGCGCCATCGAATCCCTAACCAAAAGCTCAGGATCAAATGTAGTGATTTATCACTTTTATGACTTCGCGCAGCATCTTTCACTACAGCAGACGTTGTCTATTCTCGCGCGACAATTGCTCGAATACCGCCAACGCCTGCAGAAAATTCCGGATGAATTGCAGAAACTTATGCATGCGCCCGAATCGCCCCTCGGAAGGGCTCAAAAAATCATCAAGGCATTAATTGAGGGACATTCGAGAATCTACTTCTTTCTCGATGGTCTGGATGAAGAAACTACGACGAAGAGTTCATGGAACAATGTTGTATTAGTGCTTCGTTTTCTCGTCAAGCTCGCAGACGACTATCCTACCAAAGTTCGTGTCTGGTGTAGTAGCCAGCGCCGGGACCGCATTATCAAGGAATTCCAGGGACGCCCTAGCCTCGATATTGATGGCTATGCGAGGAGCGATCTTGCTTTGTACTTATCAGAAGAGGTGTCCAAGCTTCAATGGTCGAGTCCCTCCGACCAAGCTTGTATCCTGGAGACATTGAGAAGTCGTGCTGAATGTAGTTTTATCTGGGCAAAGCTCATGATAGATGCCCTCGAAGCGGGTTGGTCGACCGCTAGGATGGAGGAACTTCTAAAAGGGCTCCCAGAGACTTTGGAAAAGTATTATCACAGATTTTTTGAACGTATGGAGAGGTTCTACCGCCCACTAGCTTGGTACGATTGTCATTTACTCCACCAAATGTTTGGGATGCTGAACATACAACTGTGCAGCAAAGTTTTTTCACTTGTTATTTTTGCCCGACGTCCTTTGCGATTGGAAGAACTTACCGAGGCTGTGTGGTGCTTGGAGAGTGAGCCCCACAGAGAACTCCAGCACAAGGCCAAGCCCAATGTCAACAGTATCCGTACCATCGTCCAACCCTTCATCGAATTCATCAACACCAATAGGACGGATGATTCTTGCACTGAGGAGCAGTATACCTGTCGTATCTTACATTCCACCCTGCGCGATTTCCTTGTGGACCATCCGAATATCCTGTGCGACAATTCCTCAGATCTTCGTATTAGCGCTGAGTGGCCAGCTCGTGCTTGTTTACGTTACCTGGGTCAATCTCGATATTCCGGCCTACTAGTCAGACAGGAGGGAAGGTGGCTTGATGCAAAGGAAGACCCGGTAGATTGCCACCCTTTGCTTGTGTATGCTGCCAAGTACTGGGACAAGCACCTTGACGACGTCACTATTGACATTGGTAGTATCGAGTCCTTCATCACTTCTCCTAACTTTCGGACCTGCATACAGGTCCAGAGCCTATGGGTAGAGGCACAATTCTCGTTCTTCTCCCGTCCCGACGAGGGCGATGGCTTCAACATGTATGTTCGGCGGGTGTTCCCGTCGTGGTTTGCGCGAGCTCAAACCGGTCCCGGTCAAAGGCTTTGGACAGACTTCCGCCAACTTTTGCACGAGTGGATATATTTCCTCAGCTGCGAGCAGTGTGGCGGGGAAAAGACATGCGAAATATTGCCCTACATCGGACAATTGGATCGCATATGGTTCGGAGCTCTTGGTCCAAACAATTTCCTGTCTCAATTGCAGGGCAGATGCATGAGTTTCGCTTTCCAAAAGGGTTTCGATTCTGATGCAGTCCAGTATGTTTTTGATGCGGTCAGTGAGGCAGGAGACAAAATCATGATATTACGGATACAGTCAGTCAATATGTTTTTCTATCGTATGATCGCTGAAGTCAACTCCTGGGGTATCAAGGCCAGAAGCTCAGTGTCAACAGATCATCCATCCTCAAATGCTCTTGCGAGAGCTGGAATCTATCTAAAGAGCAACCTCCGAAGCTCAGAACAAGCAGACTATACAACTTACTGCCAGTAGTTGCAACTGGAACTTGTACGCAGAGTCTGTAAGCGACCCTGCCTTACAGGCAGGCAGGGCTGCGCCAGCTGCTTTTGGAGCAGATTGCCAAACCCTCCGGATTGGCACCCAGCTGTACAGGCGAGCCGATAATGGCACATTTGTCGCCATTACTGCGCAACACTTTTTGTGCGATCTGCGCTCCATCTATGTCGAAGAGTTTGCATATCATCGTCAGTTCCTCGTTCTCACTTCCCGGGCGAAGATTTCCAAGAGAGATCTCAAAGTGACCTGGCACAAAGCGGATGGGGCAGGTGATGAAACTGACGGCCTAGATACAGGTGCCGATGAAGATCCACGGGTAGAAGGGGATGAACTTGACGAGGATTCGGAAGGATGACAACAGTTCCATAGCGATTACATCAGATTCGGAAGGGGATGGTCTTGACGAGGACCTAGAAGATGAAGCCGATTCCATAGAGACCGCATCAGATTCAGAAGATTCGGGCGATGAGAGCATAAGTGAAGGCAGCACCGATTCTTCCGCTAATTCCGAATTGGAAGATGATATACTCCCTCCTTGGGCCAATCACTTTGGCGATGAAGACACAGACACGGACAACGAGAGCTGTCGTTCCTTTGATATCGAGGACTGCAATGACATTTCCGATCACGAAGAGGATTTAGAAAGTAGTTCTGATGAAGAAGATGCTATCCCATCTGAAGTATTCGACGATAACCTCTTTCGCAGCGAGGAACAACACGACTGGGAAGGACTGTCGAATAAACGTGCAGGGAGGCGAAAGGCTCGAGCAACCATCACTGTGTTTGACACTCAATCGAGCACTCGTATTTTCCGCCTGAGGCAGCCAATCAAGTGTAGACTGTTCGCCTTCGCCACCTGTCTTCCACCCCACTGAAGTTCCTGGTCGTCTGGCCACTCGCTGATGGCAATGTCCTGTTTGTGGATTACTTGGCTAAAACGCACTTTACTCGGCGGCTGCAGCCATCAACTCCCTACAGTAAGTCTGATCAAAATCGCAGTAATCGATGCTGATGACTGATATCAGCGGGTCACGTCTTCATGAAAATCCGTTTTTCTGAATGTGGTGAATTTTTGCATATTGCCACCCTTGAAGCACACAGAAAGACTTCAGAATCGAAGAAGGACTCAGAACCCCTGCCTCCCATCAAACTAGCTGTCCTCCTGTGCACGTACCGTCTCTCTCAGAGAAAGACTACCAGGTCACCGCCTCAGCAGATTCATCGCATGAAACTAGCGTTAGGCCAAACCACACGGCTGCACGTATCGAAAATGCCGTTCACGCTCACTTGGACATCGAAGGATCTCTACTTCAGTTGCAGTGGAAAGTCGCTGCAAGTTTACCGCATTCCGTTGTTCAGTACAACAGAAGAGAAGGCCGAAGAGAATCCACAAGCCGTGTGGACGCCTCGGAAGCCATTTTTTCTCCCGCACAGTGCAAATAACCGAGCAGTATACTATTTCCCTCCTGCAGAGAACAAGAGTGGCAAGGAGCAATTACCCGCACGCATACTCATCGGGAGCGACTTTACAGCACTGAGGGATATTGGACCAAACGAAGCTGAAGAGGATTACAACGTTTTGTTGGTGAAACGCGTCATTGACCACTCTGTTGGCAGAAGGGGAGAATTTCATCCGCCCATTGGGTGCTATGTCGATGAAGACACCAACCTCGGCGGATGGGTTGAATCTCATGCCCGCGCAAATATTTTACAAGATCGCGGTGTTGGCCATTTAGACCCTCGCATGCCAGTCGAACGCTTCAATCCTGATGATGATTGTGACTGTGAGTGCTAATATGAGACTATGTGCATGGTCCATTCTCATTTCTGTTCACAGTGGAACCGTTCATCTATTGATTATACCAGCACTAGGAACTACCTTATAATATTGGTACCAGTTTCAGAATTCATGTACTTCTTCAGTATATCAACTATGCCGATTTGTTCTTCTCCTAAATCTAGTTGAGCCCCAAGTCGTCGACAAAGCTCACATGAGAAGTGACCGGTTAAAGCTTGAAGTGTTTTCGATATACAAAGATAACGCGCAAACCTGAATAAGTCAGAACCGGACAACAAGACTCTGTGTCACATCGTTTTTGTCGTAATCCGCGCACCCATCACACTTCTGAAGACGTCTTCGACGTGTTGATGACGCGTGATCTGTCTCGGGGACACGTCCTAGACTTGAACCCATATGCACCCCAAACAGATTCCCTGCTATTCACGTACGAAGAGCTCTTGTCGGTCTTCACGCAGAGGTCCAGCACACCTGGGCTCCGTATCATCGATTCATTTTTACATGCGGTCGTATCGCGTAACGCACCAGCTTACCAACACAATGTGTTGCCAATGGAGGCCCTCGCGCTGAGTAGCGGTCAGGACATCGAAGACTTCTCAGATTTGTGGAAGAATGAGATTCAGCAGTCCATGCACGATGACGACTAATAGACAGTCTTATTTTGAAAGATCGGTTCCTAGATCTAGAATTCAACCCACATGCACCACGATTGAAGTCCTCGCGCTTACTAGCATCAACAAGTTCTAGGATCGAGAAAGATATTTCCATGAGCGACGATTGATCGATGATAGCGAATGAAAAGATCATACATTTTGTGGTTCAATAGAATTATCATAACGCAAGATCGTAGGACTCTAATAATAATCCACCAGACCCTCTTGCCCCAAAGACGTGACACCATCTATGTTATAGATCATAGTGCAAGGAATAGCCAAGCGAGCGATCTACAGGCGACTCTAACGCTTTTCAATCTCGCCAATCTCAATACCAGAGTCGCTAGCACTATCATCAGTAAATGCAGGGCGAGTGGCAGCGAGACCGGATGCGCTCTTGTAGAAAAGAATGTTGCTTTCGTCTTTGACGAACTAAACAATGTCTTTAAACAATGTCTTAGAACATATACAAGACCGAAGTAAAAGTATACTGACCTTGTATTCCTTGAAAACCCTGTAGATTTTCTCCCGTCCACCCGGAGCGCCCTCAAGCTTGATATCTACTTGCCCAAGGTACTTACAAAGAGCACCATGCAATGAGGGATCTTACTGGAGACGTGATGAAGGACGTGGGTCTCAGAGATACCGTGGGTAGCATGAGCGCCGATCCAGCCCATAATCGACCCACAGCCATCAAGAAGATTGCGTCCAAAGTAGCCAGAGCACCATGGGGGAAAGTAAACTCGGAGGCACGGTGGTAGGGGGAGAAGTGGGTCGGTATGTTGGAGGAAGGTGATGAGGACAAGCCAGTAGTTGACCCAGAGGTAAGGCACTAGGTAGAGACGGAACACAGTCCAGAACCCATATGTATAGATGGAACCAGCGATACCGATGTCAGACAGAATGATGGACCAGCGCTGGTGAGGTGCGAACATCATTGAACATCAGAACTGAACTCTATAAATTATTCCATTTGCAGCACAGGTCGTTGCTTCATAGTATAGTTGGTGCCTTTGAGGGATAACGCTTCTGGCCAGATGCATGTATGTAGGCCGCAAAGCTTGAACGGACGAAGTTCGAACGACAAGCAAATAAATAAATATTTAATTTCAACTTAAACCCAAGTATGGCACGCTTACTATACACACCTCCCAGGCTCTTGATGTGTGCTCCTCTGTTAGCAAGCGGCAAATTCATTTACTCGGCATGCATATGTCACTCGCCCGGTCCTGCCCCTTCCATTGCAATTTGATTTCTCTTCTGGAATACGCGGGGCATGTACATGTATGGTTGCTGGCAACCCCCATTATCCATATCTCTCCTTCGCAAGAAGAAAGTAGTAAGGTTGAGATGCCTTCTACTGGAACCAGGCGCAGGAGGTGGATCTTAGATGACTTGAAGATGCGGATAAGAAATTGCTACCTGTGGCACGCCGCTCGAGATGCCTAATGGAGGCTAACACCCCTTCTTGCAACATATCACTTACCACCTATCGTATGCTACTCGATCCGACCTTCAAGGAGGGAACATTAAACTTGCAGCTCCTACAAGTACCCATAGCAAGACAAAGGTTGTAGCCATTACATCGTAACGACAGCCTGACCCTGTTGATAGTCAAGTCATGGATATCAAGTCTGGCTGCCCGGGCTCATGTTGATAAGTCATTTTTTGCATCAGCTGCACACACTGGCTGCATGTATTCCAAGTGCCGTTCTATCTAAGGGTGGTTTTGATTCGGGGTGGCCCGTTCTTACCTTATTCCATCCTGCTAATTTGACGACCCTTTCGAAGTTTGCGGCTATGCAGTCGGTATGAACTCACTCACCTTTTTTTGCACTGCATTTCAAATGTGAAGGTGGATGTAATATCATATGCAGTGTACAGGCATACGACACGTGGTCTTCCACCCGTATTACTTTCATCAGACATAAAGCTGAAGGCACACTGCGTTGTTCTCAGTCCACAAGAAGTTAACATAATTTTCGTATCATGTCTAGTACGGAGCCTGGTGTAGGAACAACAACACTGCCCCTGGAAGCACGAATAGTTCGTTATGACCAATGGTGAGTTCCTTCGTATCGTCCCAATTCTTCATGTCAATCTTCGTTGCAGTTTTGATCCGTAAGCATCTCCAGAACAGGATGTTCAGTGTTTGAACTTGATAGTTCCCTCAGAAGATTTTCAGCAATCGTCTACAACAGGACGAACACAAACAAACAGTCAAAGCACCTCAAGAGACTGAATGAAAAGAAACCAGTCCTCGTCATCCGACGAGTCATGGACATCAAGGGTCGACACGCAAAGACTGAAATTGACATCCGAAGTCAAGAACTTCGCGAGGTGCTCATAGAGATACACCGAGGTGTGGAAGGTTTAGATCTCTTGCGAAGTTCCCCTGTTGTAAGCTAAACATTAAATATTTCAACATCGCATTGCAATTCTCATTATGTATTTCAGTGTGATCAGAAGCTGCTTTTTTTCTCTTTCAATGAGCTCAAGGAACGACTAGAATTGGAAAGGTCGAAAGACACTCCAAACACTTCGCTAATATCTGAAATCGAAGTAGCCCTTCACTTTACTTGGGAGGAATACCAAACTACCTTCGCCGACTTTCAGTCATTGACAAGACACGAGTCCATCACCTTCGATTTACTTTGGACATTATTTCGTCATGGCACCCTAGTCTTCAGTCACCACGAATTCACCGAGCAGGATCACATTCTCCGAGCCACGCGCTTTGAGATCATGAGAACAAATGAAGGAATCTTCGCTGCAATATATTGTCATGTGATCACTGACGACGGCAAGCATTTTGGAATTGCTAACCAAAGGCTTCTGATCCCGTCTTTCGATGGAGAGCGAAAGATACAAAGCCTGTCTGTTTTTCCTCTCCTCTATCATTCAAATAAACGCAACATTCGTGAACTTGCTGTCAAACGAGGTCGTAAATTTGCAAGCTTGCAATGCCAGACCTATGGTGAGATTTCCGGGATGGCTGCATGTGTCGACCACCATCCCATGGACGATGACCATAAGGACCTTCGAAAGTGCAGGGTGAGCAGTAATAACCAGTTCTGCTTAATAGTGTGGCCTATAACAAATCGATGTAGGCGAACGGGCGCGTTATGATCGATCCTTGGGCGTTTCGTATGTTTCAGCCTGACTCCAGTCTCAATCTCCCGGTTTCTACCCCGTTGAAGCGAGCGGAACTCGAGGAAGAGCAATACATAATCTGCACCCCTGTTGTCATAGGCTTTTGCTTCGAAACAAAGCAGTGGGGTATGAGAATTTTTCTGCTCGATTCCTCACGTTTCTACAACAAACTTACACGTCTCAGGTGGATTCGCTCTTGACTGCCTGCGGGACGTGTCCTGGTCATTGGAGCCTTTCAATCTTCTGGTCCTGGATGACGGACGGAAGGAATTGATTCATGCATTAGTGGAGCAGCACGCATCGCGTGCGTCAACCTTCGATGACTTCGTGCGGGGAAAAGGAAAAGGTCTTGTCGGATTGCTTGCAGGTCCACCTGGATGTGGTAAGACACTTACAGCGGAAGCAGCAGCAGAGGTATTTTTCAGTGTTGCTCGTGATTTTATCTACCCTCACTACCTTTGGTCAGGTGACAAAGCGTCCCTTGTATTGTATTTCAGCTGGCGAATTAGGATCCAGCCCTGAGAGCGTAGACAACGCTTTGGCTCAGATTCTGGCACTTGCTCAGCGGTGGAAGGCAGTCGTTCTTCTCGACGAGGCAGATGCTTTTTTGTCACAAAGGAGGGAGACTGATGTGGAGCGGAATGCCCTGGTATCTATTTTTCTACGGCAGCTGGAATACTATCAGGGAATCATGTTTTTGACGACCAACTTGGTCTCACAGTGCGATGCTGCATTCGAGAGTACGTGTTTTCGCTTTTTTGTACTTGGATTCCTCAATCAATCGCAAAACAGGCCGAATCCACTTCACAGTACAGTACCCACCGCTCTGTCAAACCTCACGGAGACAGATCTGGAAGACGTTCATCAAGAAGGCATCGGATGCCCATCGGTGCTTAATCAGCGAGGCTGAAATTGATGCTTTGGCCCTGGAAACGCTCAATGGCCGTCAGGTATGGTTATTCTTGCTTTCTTGCATTTCATATAGTTGAAAGTAATGGTGTTGACAACATTATAGATCAAGAACATTGTGGCAACTGCTCTCTCTCTCGCGGTACATTCGAATCTAAGCCTTTATGTGACACACATCCGCAAAGTGCTTGATTCCATGCAGGATTGGAATAAAGTTCGGGAACACCAGCTGTCATCTGAGCACAAATCATATTCGCGAGACGGCGTTCCGGGTGGCACACAAGATGCAATGTTATACAAACTCAGTAAGTTCGCCTTCATCGTGTCCTCAAGCCATACAGGATATTTGCGAACAGTGCTCATCAGATTCACTCTCAGCTGCGTACTTCATCACAATTGTTATTCTTGCACGTATCTTCTTATAAGGATATTATATCCTCTGTACTCCGACTAAGGCTTCAAAACGAACGCCTACGCAGTCCGCGTGTCTCATCGATACGAAGAGCTTCACTCTTCGCATCCGAGACACGCGGATACATTCCTTTTATCCTTCCTTGTACTTTAGACGCTTTGTTCTGTATCAGGTGTCACCGTCACCTCCTTCACTTGTCGTCGCTCACCCTCTTGTTCTAAGACTCCCTTTCATCGAAAATTTCCCTTTGTTTGCTCTTCTTACAGATCGCATCATGTTTTGAGCCACTCGGCTATCTCTTTCATGCTCGTATGTATAAAAGACAGTCTGTCTTTTACAGAGAGTTTCACTCACTAAACATATTGCTTTAAATATTATTCTCATCTGTTCACCGTTTCACTGATGTATATGTTCGAATAGAAGCTTTTGGCGCTAAGCCTGCAGGCGGGCCTTTCCAAACTTCGGGCCTGGCCTAGACCCGATGCATCATGTATGAAATTACTTATTCTTGGCTGACTTGCGGCAGACAGGTGACAGTGGAGCCTTGCATGCTATTCTAATTTGCTGATTGGCAAACCATCGAATCTGCGGGGAACTACAACCCCCTCAACGTGTCAACGTTTTCAACCAGTGATCAGTGATATCGCACCTCACCACATGTGGCTTATTTCTAGGCTATCATAAGTAGCAATAGCTGCCCCGCTGTAGTGGTACACCTTAGCAGGTGTAGGCGAGTCGGGCGCAGAGCAGAGGTAGGCCGGCGAGAGACAAGCAGCAGGGGTGCCAGGGGTCTTGGTAGTTCCCAGGGGTCCTGGTTGTAGATAGTCGCATAGAACCATCATAACAGTCGTCCTTCTCCTTTCCAGAGTGCAGTGCTGGCGTGTCCACCGCATGTATACAGGAAGAATGTTTATTAACTGTTTGTACTTCCATTGGGAACGTTCCGGGAGTCCAGACGTCTAAGGTCTGCCTCGCGTTGTGCAATGCGGCATTGTTTCCACCTTCAGGATACCACAAGTTCAAACATTTCAGCAGATTTGAATACTTCTAGAGAACCTTCTCAGGCTGTGCTCCAACCTCGAGGCTTCTGATTTGCGACCACCCGAACGCCCCATGAAGGACATCGTGCCTGTGAACTATGACATACTTAACTGCCAGGCTGGCTATGACGAGTGTCTGTGTAAACGGTTGCATCTACTGAACGTTCATGCATCAGCCAGACGAGAAAACGTCCCTACCGTTCTCAAAGTGCGTGTTCAAAGTCGATATGTTAACTCGCCAACTAAACTCTTCTGTCTCAAGGAAAACTCTCTTTGAACAGGCCTGGGAAGAGTATCGCACAACCATCAACTCGTCCCAGATCAAAAAGGTCAATTTCATCGAAAAATGTTCAAAGTTTGCCTCAGAATGGCATGATCCTGTTACAGCCATAAATGAAGCTATCACAGAGGTGGAGACTCGGAGTCAGGATTACCAGAATCAGTCCCGGAAGGTGGTTCGCGCGTATCTGCTCCCATTCATGAACGCTCTGACGAGCTTCATTGGTATCGTGGATTCATTAAGTCAATTTTTTGTTCCTCGTAGATCCCCTCCTGGATGTTGACCATTTCGTTTTAGCCACCTTGAATCCGATAGGATCGATCGTCTGGGGCTGTCTCAAGGTTGCTCTCAATGCAAGTGCCAAGTTCCTGGTCGAACATAAAATTTAGTGACGTTTACCTTTTTTTCAGAGCCTTGATCAATACGGGAGACTCTTTGAAACCATCCACTACGAGCTGGCCTCTCTCAGTGATCATCTAGAGAATATCGCTGGCTATGGCGACTTGTACCAAACAAACCAAAAAATGCAGAGGATCCTCTGTAATGCTTACATCAATATCATCCGCTTCTGGCATAGAGTTGATAAAGAATGCACCAAGTCAGGTCAGATCAAAGTTTTCAACGACAACTGAGCTTGATCTGACAATAGGCTTAGGACCAAAGTTCGGGACACCTTTCAGCACAAAGAAGTTGGGGTGCATCGTAAGTGACATGCGTGAGGATGTTGTGAAGATCAAAGCATACGCTGGCCTGCCTCACGACCAAGAGTCAGGCGAGGACCGTCAGGCGAACAAAGCAGCTCGGCGGGAGGTGGAAGAAGAGAGGATCAGGGTAGAAGACCATCGTCGCTTTCAGTGGGAGTGCGATGGAGCGCAGAAGCTGGACATAGTCTTGGATTGGCTGTCATCAAAATCCCTGAACAATCAGTGTCTCGCATGGCAAGACAGGAACTTACGTGGCCGTAGCCAAATCACTTGCCAATGGCTGTTTTCCCATGACGAATTTCTCCAATGGCAGAACAATCCCCCATTATCACCGATCTTGTGGATCCATGGTCCGCCTGGATCCGGGAAATCGACCCTGTGTTCGAGCGCCATCGAATTCCTAGCCAAAAGCCCAGGATCGGATGTGGTGATTTTTCACTTTTACGACTTTGCGCAGCATTTTTCTCCAGAGCAGACATTGTCTATTCTCGCAGCACAACTTCTCCTGCATTACCACCAGCGCCTGCAGGAAATTCCAGATGAATTGCAGAAAATCATACACGCGCCCCAATCTCTCCTTGAAAGGGTTCAAAAAGTCGTCAAGGCATTAATCGAAGGATATCCGAGGATCTACTTCTTTCTCGATGGTTTGGATGAGGAGACGACGACGAAAAGTTCGTGGGATGATGCTGTATTAGTGCTTCGTTTTCTCGCCAAGCTCGTGGACGAATCTCCTACTAGAGTTCGTGTATGGTGTAGTAGCCAGCGCCGGGATTGCATTAGAAAGGAACTCCGGGGGTGCCGCAGCCTCGACATCGATGGCTACACGAGGAGCGATCTCGCTTTGTACTTATCAGACGAGGTTTCTAAGCTTCAGTTACTATGGTCGAGTCCTTCCGAGCAAGCCTCTATCCTGGAAACGCTAAAAAGTCGTGCCGAGTGTAGTTTTATTTGGGCAAAGTTCATGATAGACGCCCTTGGAGAATGTTGGTCAACCGCTAGGATGGAAGAACATCTCAAAGGGTTCCCGCAGACTCTGGCAGAGTATTATCACAGATTTTTCGATTGTATAGAGAAGCTTGACCTCCCATTAGCTTGGTATGTCGGTCATTTACTCTACCACATGCTTGCGATGCTGAACATACAACTGTACTACAGCAAAGTCTTTTCACTCGTTATTTTTGCCCGACGTCCTCTGCGATTGAAAGAACTTACCGAGGCTATATCGTGCTTGGAGAGTGAGCCCCACCAAGAACTCCAGCACAAGGTCAAGCGCAGCTTCAACAGCATCCGTGTCATAGTCCAACCCTTCATCGAATTCATCAACACCGATAGGACAGATGATTCTTGCACTGAGGAGTATACATGTCATGTCTTACATTCCACCCTGCGCGATTTCCTTGTGGACCATCCAAATATCCTGTGCGACAATTCCTCAGATCTTCGTATTAGCGCTGAGTGGCCGGCTCGCGCTTGTTTATGTTACCTGGATCAATCTCGTTATTCCGGTCTATTAGTCAGACGAGAGGGAAGGTGGCTTGACGTGACGGAAGACCCGGTGGATTGTCACCCTTTGCTTGTGTATGCCACCAAGTACTGGGACAAGCATCTTGACGACGTCACTATTGACATTGGTAGTATCGAGTCCTTCATCACTTCTCCTAACTTTCGGACCTGCGTACAAGTCCAGAGCCTATGGGTGGAAGCGCAATTTTCGTTATTGTCCCGTCCCAATGAAGATAATGGCTTCAACACATATGTTCGGCGGGTGTTCCCATCATGCTTTGCACGAGCTCAAACCGGTCCGGATCAAAAGCTTTGGACAGACTACCGCCGATTTTTGCAAGAGTGGATATATTTCCTCAGCTGCGAGCAGTGTGGCGGAGAAAAAACATGCGAAATACTGCCATACATCGGACAATTAGATCGCATATGGTTCGGAGCTCTTGGTCCGAATAATTTTCTGTCTCGATTGGAGGGCAAATACACAAGTTTTGCTTTCCAAACGAATGTCGATTCTGATGGAGTCCAGTACGTTTTTGATGCGGTCAGTGAGGCAGGAGACAAAGTCATGATATTACGGATACAGTCAGTCAATATGTTTTTCTACCATATGATCGCTGAAGTCAATCTCTTGGGTATCAAGCCTAGAAGCTCGTGTCAACAGATCATCCATCCTCAAATGCTCTTGCGAGAGCTGGAATCTATCTAAAGAGCACTCTCCGGAACTCCAGAACAAGCAGACCATACAACTCAGTACCACTAGTTGCAACTGGAAGTTGTATACAGAGTCCGTAACCGACCCTACCTTACAGACAGGCAAGGCTCCGCCAGCTGCTTTTGGAGCAGATTGCCAAACCCTCCGGATTGGCACCCAGCTGTACAGGCGAGCCAAAAATGGCACATTTGTCACCATTCCTGCGCGATACTTTCTGTGCGATCTGCGCTCCATCTACATCGAGGAGTTTGCACGTCGTCGTCAGTTCCTCGTTCTCACTTTCCGAACGAAGATTTCCAAAGGAGATCTCAAAATGACGCAGATCAAAGCAGACGGAGCAGGTGATGAAGAAGACGCCCTAGACACAAGTGCCGATGAAGATTCATGGGTAGACGGGGATGAACTTGATGAGGATCTTGAAGATGAAGACAGTTCCATAGAGACCGCATCGGTTTCAGAAGATGAGTTCGAATGCGGAACTGAATCGGAAGATTCGAGCAACGAGAGCACAAGTGAAGGCAGCACCGACTGTTCTGCTAATTTCGGATTTGAAGACGATATACTCCCTCTATGGGCCAATCACTTTGGCAACGAAGATACTGACACTGACAACGAGAGCTACCATTCCTTTGATATCAGTGGTTTCGGTGTTGAAATCAATGCCCACTCGAAGGGCTGCGATGACATTTCCGAACGAAGTAGCTATGATGAAGTGTTCGACAATGGCCTCTTTCGCCACGAGGAACGACACGACTGGGAGGGACCATCAAGTGAACGCACAGAGAAGCAAAAGCCTCAAGCAACCATCACTGTGTTTGACACTCAATTGCGCACTCGTCTCTTCTGCCTGAGGCAGCCAATCAAATGTAGACTGTTTGCTTCGCCGCCTGTCTTCCACCCCACGAAGTCCCTGATCGTCTGGCCACTCGGCGATGGCGATATCCTGTTTGTGGATTACTTGGCCAAAACGCAATTCACCCGGCGGCTGCAGCCATCAACCCCCCACAGTAAGTCCAATAAAAGTCAGAACAATCGATGCTGATGACCAATATCAGCGGGTCATGTCTTCATGAAAATCCATTTTTCTGAATGTGGTGAATTTTTGCATATTGCCACTCTTGAAGCACAAGGGAAGGCTTCGGAATTGAAGGACTCAGAACCCCTGCCTCCCATTAAACTAGCTCTTCTCGTGTGCACGTACCGTCTCTCTCGGAGAAAGACTGCCAGGTCACCTCAGCAGATTCATTGCATGAAGTTAGCGCTAGGCCAAACGACACGGCTGCACGTATCGAAGATGTCATCTACGCTCACTTGGACATCAAAGGATCTCTACTTCAGTTGCAGCAGAAAGTTGCTGCAAGTTTACCGCATTCCGTTGTTTGGTACAACAGAAGAGAAGGGCAAGGAGGATCAACAGCCCGTATGGATGCCTCGGAAGCCATTTTTTCTCCCGCACAGTGCCAGTAACCGAGCAGTATACTACTTCCCTCCTGCGGAGAACAAGAGCGGCAAGGAGCAATTACCCGCACGCATACTCATCGGGAGCGACTTTACAGCACTGGATGATATTGAACCGAACGAAGCTGAAGAGGATTATGATGTTTTGTTGGTGAAACGCGTCATTGACCACTCTGTTGGCAGAAGGGGAGAATTTAATCCGCCCATTGGGTGTTATGTCGATGAAGACACCAACCTTGGCGGATGGGTTGATTCTCATGCCCGCGCGAACATTTTACAAGATCGCGGCGTTGGCCATTTAGACCCTCGCATGCCAGTTAGTTAGTCTATTATGTAACGAGGCACGAGCGAAAGAATAGAGTTTAGTCTTCGAGCGAACGTCGGACGTGGCATTACGCTTCTTGTCTCCGTGCCACAACGATCGTTTGCACTCAGAAGTATCGTCTTGCTCGTTTTATTTTCTGAACACGTTACCCATTTTAAAAACAACTCCCTAGCATATTTCTAATTACATGGCAGATCCATCACTAGAAGTTTGCCCGGACTTCGACGGTCCAGCGTACGCAAATATCTGCGACGACATACGAAGGGCAACCGGCCAATCCCAAGAGGACGTTGTCACGCGCCTCACTCAATCTTGGACGGATGGTCACAACCAGAGAGTCAATGAATGGAACCTCAATAGAGAGCAGGAAGCAGCTGAAGCCGCGGAAATTGAGCAAGCCCGCGCAGCCCAGGAAGAGGAGGCTCGCATTCTACGAGAAGCGGAAGCCGAAAAGGAGAAAGCAGAGGCAGAGGAAAAGAAACCAAAGATGGGCAGCTTCGACGAGACCGTTTCAGTAGGAGACTCCATTTCCCCGCGTCCTTCCCAATACGCAATCCAGAAGCTTAACAACTTCGATTATATAGAGCTATGGTATTTTTCTCCGGACGGCTGCAAGGAAGCCCTGCGCACCGCGCGTTCAGTCGCAGATGACTTTGGCCTCACTAGAGTCGACGACCAGCTGACGATTCGCCCAGCTTACGCCTTCAAGGCCTCAAAATCAGCCATTGCAGATCACGACCTCCCATTCCTGACCTTTCTCCGCGCTAAGAACTTATTTCTAATGCAACTCAGCAAAGCCAAATGGCCGCAAAGCCACATTGACGCCCTCTCACTCTTTTTCTGGCATCTCGAGAACCACCCCATCCGAAACAACAGCGAAATCGGAGACACGGTCATCCTCCATTACGCATCACGGGTCCGTTTAGACTGGCACGACCGTCTCAAACGAGACGAAGGTTTTAACATCGCTATCATCAACGAAACCCTCCTCCGTGCGATCAACGAGGAACTCTGGGACAGAATCCGCTCCAAAACTTTAATGGCGGTAAGTTCCCCTTCCAAACTAATCATTTGATTCATAACTCACGAACTCTTTCATACACTACACTCGCACAAACACTCTATACAATAACAATTAAATTTCCTCCCCGCGCTTTGCTCTCGCGGATGCCCACAAACCATTCTCGTGGATGCCCGTACTTTCTCACACGGATGCCCGTACTTTCTCTTATACGGATGCCCGTATCCTTCGCGAACACGGATGCCCGTACCCTGCTCAAACGGATGCCCGTACTACCCTTCACACAGATGCCCGTATCCTCTTTACACGGACGCCAACACCCACCTCAATGTTCGCCCACTTCCCGTCCCTACACACACCTAACTTCTCTCCTTCAGCCCAAGACAAGCGAATACCCTCTTCCCCAGTCCCAAAACCGCAAATCTAGCTACAGAGACCACCACCGCGATTCACGTAGGGACAACCACGACTACAACCGTCGTAGCTCTCGTTCTCGCTCCCCACGCCGTTCTGGCAATGATAACCAGAAATCGTCCCCAGACAACTCCAAGAGTCGCAACTCCCACAAAAGGGATTTTTCCCAAAGCGCAGGCACCCGCGGCCGGTCAGCCTGCGCAGTCTGTCTCGGCCGCTTCTCCCACGACATACAGCGTTGCGAAGCCACAACTCTGTGGGACGGAAGCACCTCTTACAGTCGCAAGACGCAGGACAACCGCCTCGTCAATCCGCAGGGAAACCCACTATGTTTCAAGTGGCAGCATCCCAACGGCTGTCACGCCGGAAACCACGAGTTCCACCACGAGTGTTCCGGCTGCGGAAGCAAGGACCACGGTGCTCAAAACTGCCCTCGAGGAGAGAAGGTACAAGGCTCACACGCCGTACAAACCTGAAGGATGGACCCTGCTCCTCACGGAGACAGGGCTTCTTAGTAGATATCATCATATTCCAGAGTGCCTGGTGTCAGGTTTTTCCGGGGGCATTCCCCCGATTAAATGTACCTACAAACCCCCCAATAATCCCTCCATCGACGATCACGTCGAAGCGTTTTGGAGCATTGTCAATATTGAATTCGAGAAAGGGCGTTTTCTCGGACCTTTCACGGCCCAGGATCTTGAATCGGCCATTGGCCATTTCCAAACCGCCCCACTTTCCCTTGTACCTAAGCCCGGAAAACCAGGCAAATATCGCCTTATACAAAACTTATCCTTCCCTCACAACCCATCTCGAACTATCAGCTCCATTAATTCAAGGGTCGACTCTGACTTATTCCCGTGTACGTACGGCACCTTTTCGACCGTTTGCCTCACTATCTGGCGCCTTCCACCGGGTTCTCAAGGCGCAGTCCGAGATGTCGCGGAAGCCTATCGTACCATCCCTCTCCATCACTCCCAGTGGGCAGCTCTGGCCATCCAACTCCCGGGCGAAGACTCCTTTGCAATCGATACTGCCCTATGCTTCGGCTTTGGCCCATCAGCGGGCATATATGGCAATGTCAGCGATGCCGGCCTCGACATATTACGCGCGAAAGGCATCGGCCCAGCCTCCAAATGGGTCGATGATCATCTTTTCCTACGGATCAAATGTGAGTTCCTGGAAGAATATAACAGTAGACGCGCTCACTGGGTGAGAGAAATTGCCGAGAATGGCAACATCATCATTAGTGGGGGCTGCAAGTGGTACAAGGGCGCTACAATGCCCAATGACTGCAGTGAGGAGTTCGATGAAGACTCATCCTCACCGATTCAAGACCTGTCACAACGTTCTCCCCGTTCGCCGGAGGATGCGACCTTCACCTACTGCATCGACGACATCGACTACTTTTCCTCGATACTCGGAATTCCCTGGGAACTGTCGAAAGACAAACCCTTTAGTTCCAGCCCATTGTTCACCGGCTTCATCTGGAACGTCGCAGCACGCACCGTGGAGCTCTCCATCGAAAAAAGAGATAAATACATCCTCGCCATCTCCGCATGGCAATCGAAGCGCACCCACTTTCTTCAAGAAGTACAGAAGCTCTACGGCAAACTACTACACGCGGCCCATATTGTGCCCGCCGGCCGAGCTTACCTCACCAACCTTGAGGCAATGTTGGGCATGTTCAACAACCGACCTTTCCTCCCACGCACCCCTCCTCGTAACACCCCAGACGACATCCGCTGGTGGAAGGACACCCTTGGCAATGCACTCTTATCCCGCCCAATTCCTGGTCCCTGCATCGTATATGACTTCCATGCCTATTCGGACGCTAGCTCTGGCCATGGGATCGGCATCTTTATCAACGGGTACTGGAGAGCCTGGGACCTCACACCAGGCTGGAAAAGAGACGGCCGTGACATTGGCTGGGCCGAAAGTGTCGGCTTCGAGCTTCTCGTCCGCGCAGTCATCAACTCTCAAGCCTCCGGAATTCATTTCAAGGTATTCGGAGACAACATGGGCGTCGTCGAAGGATGGTGGACTGGCCGCAGCAGGAATCGCGCCTCAAACGAGGTCTTCAAGCGCCTTCATAAAGTCCTCTCTAGTGCCGAATGCACAGTTCTTACTAGATACGTACCAAGTAAGGACAATCCAGCTGACGGCCCATCCCGCGGAGTCTACCCCCCCACTAGCCTTTTACTGCCCCCAGTTGACATCCCAACGGAGCTCCGCCCCTTCATTAAAGAGGTCACTGAATCCACCGCAGCCTCCAGAACGAGAGAGCGCAACCGCACCCATCAACCGCTTCACCCAATGGGCAAACGTAGATCCGAACACGAGCTCCACCAGCGCGCACTCGTCAATCGCGAGTTCGAGCGCTGGGGCGAAGAATTGTTTAAAGCGACGCAAGACTAGTAAGTCCAGCGCAAAGCTGAGCCTCCACCTGACGCTACCAACTCACCTTAACCATAGCCTATAATTCGAGCCTCACCCCCCTCCCTTCCGCACTACGCCCTCACTGCCCAGCCAGAGAGAGGCTGTATCTATGGAACCCATCATCATCCCGCACCTCCTGCGATGAAAAGGGTAAAATCGTGCCACTACTTCCCTCAGACATCCAGCGCATACGTGATACTATGATACACGCCTACACCGAAGCCACCCGCGAGACTTATGGATCGGGTTTGCTAACTTTCCACGTCTTTTGCGACAGTAAGAGCATCCCAGAGGCTCAGCGTGCGCCCGCAAGCCATATCCTAGTATCCTCCTTCATCACATCCATGGCCGGCCATTATTCAGCTAAAACGATTACTAACTACATTTGTGGTGTCCGGGCATGGCACGTTCTACACGGACTAAGTTGGTCCCTCAATGAGATGGAGATAGAAACGCTTCTCAAAGCGTCTATTTCCCTTGCTCCAGCATCCTCGAAGAGGAGCAAACGGGAACCCTACACCATCGAGCTAATGACAGCCATCCGCCAGCACCTAGACCTCCTCAACCCCCTCGATGCAGCTGTATTCGCCTGTCTTACCACCACTTTCTTCGCCACAGCTAGAGCCGGTGAATTCACGGTACCGCGTCTCGACGCTTTCGACCCGCTGATCCACGTGAAACTTTCTAATGTCAAAGACATTCGTGACCGACAGAACCTTCCAATGAAGAATTTCTTCCTCCCTAGAACGAAGAGCGCGCCGGAAGGAGAAGAAGTGTCCTGGGCCAAGCAAGATGGCCCAACAGACCCTGAAGAAGCATTAGCCAATCACATTCGTGTTAACGACCCACCCCATAACGGTGCCCTTTTCGCCTACCGCCACAATGATTCTCATCGGCCATTGACAAAAACTAAGTTCCTGCAACGTTTAACGTCCGCTACTAAAGCTGCTGGGCGCCAGCCCGTCCAAGGTCACGGCATTAGAATTGGATCCACACTGGAATATCTTTTGCGAAATGTCCCCTTCGACGTCGTAAAAGTGAAAGGTCGCTGGGCAAGCGATGCTTTCCTACTGTACTTGCGCCGTCACGCACAGATCTTAGCTCCTTATATGCAGGCAGCACCTGCGCTGCAGGAACAGTGTCTACGTCACACCGTTAATCTTCCCCCAGTTCGTTGAAGCCGGTAGCCACCTATTCTATGGTGAGTTCCCTTCTCCTAATAGCATGGGGTATCCGAGCCTCGCTGGATGCGTCGTCGGGCCTCCTAATCACTGGGAATCGCAGCTCACCTCTCTATTTCAGGTTAGCACCTCGGGGCCGGATGACGCTGCGCGTCCTTGCCCGAAAACTATCATTACACCTTCATTGTAAAATCCTTCGTTTAGTTTTGGACCAATACATCATCTTCAGTGAACGTACTCTCGAACGTTCTTTATCTTTCAATTATATGTCTGAGTGAACCTCAAAGATAGTTAGTCTATTATGTAACGAGGCACGAGCGAAAGAATAGAGTTTAGTCTTCGAGCGAACGTCGGACGTGGCATTACGCTTCTTGTCTCCGTGCCACAACGATCGTTTGCACTCAGAAGTATCGTCTTGCTCGTTTTATTTTCCCCACCCTCCTCTCCCTCTTCTTTCATCACTTTCGACTCAAGTTCCTCGCTCTCCTCAAAACCCAAACCGTTTGGGCCCGGAGGTAACCTGCACGTTGGCCACTGCGAGGAAGCCCACCCTCCCTCGCAGCTCACCTCTCTATTTCAGGTTAGCACCTCGGGGCCGGATGACGCTGCGCGTCCTCGCCCGAAAACTATCATTACACCTTCATTGTAAAATCCTTCGTTTAGTTTTGGACCAATACATCATCTTCAGTGAACGTACTCTCGAACGTTCTTTATCTTTCAATTATACGTCTGAGTGAACCTCAAAGACGAACGCTTCAATCCCGATGATGATTGTGACTGTGAGTGCTACTATCAGGCTACGTGCATGGCCCATTCTCATTCCTGTTCGTAGTGGAACCGTTCATCTATTGATTATACCAGCACTAGGAACTAGATCCGAGGTCTTACAGTATTGGTACCAGTTTCAGAATTCATGTACTTCTTCAGCCTCTCTATACCGATTCGTTCTTCCCCTAAGCCCCGAGCCAGAACCAGGGCTCACCCCGGTAACATGAGAAGCGACCGGTTAAGCTTGAAGTGTTCTCGAGATAATGCGCAGATAATGAATGTGCAGCTACAATACCATAATAATCTGCTTGCTTGATCAAGGAGGAGCACTGGCAACTGCAGTGGCTCCTTGATAGTAGCAGGCTGTACTTAGACCGGCATGTCATCGCATAGCATCTTTCCGCTACAGACATCAGATTATCTACTTTCCTTCCAATTTTCATCATGGTATCCGACATTTTCCTCCATTAGCATCAAAAGCACCATCATCCGTCCCTTGAGTCAAGCGTTCAAGGAATATCTCGACTCGGACGGCATTTTCGTGCCAGAAGGCTCGGAAAACGTGTCAGTTGGCTTCAATCACTATCCGTTTCAGTCGTACTCACTTCCTACTGTCAGTCCCGCAGAAAGCCCTCCTTCGGACCAAGAGGATGAGGACGACGCTGCAGTTGGGCAATCCTTCTCCTTCCCCGATCTAGATGAGCGGATAAGACAAATCATCAAAGAATACGGCGCCATTTTCCCCAAGCTCAATTTTTCTTCACCAAAGGTCAGCTCGTTCCATCGAAATCGATCGCCGTTCACATCGGACACAGGACGCATCATGGATACTTCCACCATCCTCGCCTCTCAAATGCACATCTCCATCAGACGTCTACATCCTGCTGAAATCCTCGGACTTCATATCGCACGATCTAAGCATCGACGCGGTCTTTGAGGGATGTCAATACGATCCCTCGAATCCGCCATCGTACCAACTCGAGCTTGTCTTGAGGAAATGGTATCCTGTAGACCGGAGTCGCGAGTTCAGGTGTTTCGTTTGTGAAGACCGTCTCATAGGTACGTCCTGTTTTCTGATTCTTGTTACAGCAAGCCACGAACGACGCTCGTACAGGGATATCACAACGCGATACGAATTTCTATGACTTCATGAACGAACCACAAACACAAAGCAAGATCTTAGAGACGCTTTGGCATTTTTGGGAGGACAAGATTAAGTCCAAATGGCATGGACAACAAGACTGTATGTGTCACATCGTTTTTGTCGTAGTCCGCGCACTCATCACACTTCTGAAGACGTCTTCGACGTGTTGATGACGCGTGATCTGTCTCGAGGACACGTCCTAGACTTCAACCCATACGCACCCCGAACGGATCCGCTGCTATTCACGTACGAAGAACTCTTGTCCATCTTCACGCAGGGGTTGAGCACACCCGAACTGCGTATCATCGACTCACCTTTACATCCGGTCGCATCGCGTAACGCACCAGCTTACCAACACAACATGCTGCCAATGGAAGCCCTCGCGCTGAGTAGTGGTCGGGACATCGACGACTTCTCAGATTTGTGGAAGAATGAGATTCAGCAGTCCATGAATGACGACGACTAATAGACATGGTCTTCTTTGAAAGTTTGAACGGATTTGTCATATTCACGTACGGAGATCTTTTATCAGACTTGAGCTTCGTAGACATAGCAACAAGTTCTAAGATCTGCAGCAGGAAGAGATCTCCACGAGCAACGATTAATCAATAATGGCGAATAAAAAGATCAATTCATTTTGCGATTCATTAGAATTATCATAACGCAAGATCGTAGGACTCTAATAATAATCCACCAGACCCCCTTGCCCCAAAGACGTGACACCATCTATGTTATGGATCATAATGTAAGGAATAGTCAAGTGGGCCGGTCTACAAGCGACTCTATAACGCTTTTAGATCTTGTCAATCTCGATGCCGGAGTCGCTAGCACTACCATCAGCGAACGAAGGGCGAGTGGCAGCGAGACCCGACGCATTCTTGTAGAAAAGAATGTTGCCTTCATCCTCGACAAACTAAACAATGACTCAGAACATATACGAGACCGAAGTAAAAGTATACTGACCTTGCACTCCTTGAAAACCCTGTAGACTTCCCCCCATCCACCCGGAGCACCCTCAAGCTTAATCCCTGATTGCCCAAGGCGCTTACGAAGGGCATCAGAAGCTTCCCAAGCGTTGTAATGAGGGATCTTGCTGGAGACGTGATGAAGGACGTGGGTCTCAGAGATACCGTGGGTGGCTTGAGCACCGATCCAACCCATAATCGAGCCACAGCCACCAAGAAGATTGCGATCCAAAGTAGCCAAAGCGCCACGGGGGAAAGAGAACTCAGAGGCACGGTAGTGGGGGAGAAGTGGGTCGGTATGTTGGAGGAACGTGATGAGGACAAGCCAGTGGTTGACCCAGAGGTAAGGCACTAGGTAGAGACGGAACACAGTCCAGAACCCAAATGTATAGACGGAACCGGTGATACCAGCAAGCCATAGCACGATACCGATGTCGGACAGAATGATCGAGTCGCGCTGGTGAGGTGCGAACATCACAGCATCAGGGTTGAAGTCTACAAAGCGAAATCATTAAATCATTCTCTTTGCAACACAAATCGTTACTCACGGTTGGTGCCTTTGGGATAACGCTTCTGGCCAGATGCGTTGCGGATAAGATATGCAGGCCAGCCGCCAAGCTAAAAATACCGTCAGTCGCTGATCACACATATCTTATCCAATTCGTCTAACCAAATAGGTAGCAGCACCCAACATTGCGCCAATAGGGGAGTCGCCCAGCGCCTCCTTCAACTCCTTCATTACTTCGTCCGAAACACTCGAACCAAGGATATCCTCCTTCGTCGGGTCGAATGAGGGCAAGCCAAGCTGCGAACGCGTCTTGGGAACAAAGACCTGATCCTGGGTCATATGACCAGTTGAGGCATGATGTTTCGCATGCGTGATCCTCCACGAATGGTATGGTACACCAAGCCTAAATTTTAATTAAGGTACTGTCAGTCACGTGACTGACGGAAATAAAAAATTTAGGACCGTACGCGGAATGCAGGACCCAACCAACGCTGTTGTTGATCAACTTGGACTCTGAAAATGCTTGGTGGCCGCACTCGTGAGCAATGACCCAAAGGCCAGTTGCAAAGAGACCTGTCCAGAAGGAGTACCCCGCCCAGAGAGACAAGCGTGCAGCAGGATAGAGCAGAGGATGAGGGAGGGAAATGTGTTCGGGAGAGATGAGACTGTCAAGATAAGTGGCGGTCTTGTAGATACCCGAGATTACCACCAGGTCATAAACACTAATCAGTGTGAAACGCGTCAGAGCTAGCTATCTTGGCCAAGATAGCAACTTACATGTATAATGATGACCGCAATGCTGAACGCTTGAAACAGTGAGCGCTGAAGAAGAAAACGACTGTAATAAGCGTCCCGCTCTGAGATGTATCCAAAGACGCGTGCAGACGTACGGGATGGCACTCAACAAGTCCTTGATTGTGAGGTCTGGTATAACGCAGACATTCTGTTTCACAGTCGTGACGCCTTTCTCTGATCCGTCTGACATGATTGAGGTCGTCAGTAGCAGACTCCTGTCTAATCCGAACTTCTATAAAAAAAAAGGAGGGAAAATGAGACAAAGGAAAGCAGGTGAAGCGAAGTGTCTTCCAGTCTATTTATTGGGCTTGTCCCGGTGATAACCGAGAGCACACGTGGACTGGGTTATACTACAACTTGTAGTTAAGCGGCAGTCCGAAAACACACTAAGTACCTGCAGTCATTGAGTGAACCATGCACGTCGTTCATGGTAAGGACGCAAGTTTCTAAACGTTCAAGCCTCGTTTATCAAATGCCAGAAATCATATAGACATATCGCAATATGGGCAGAAGCATTGCTATACGGTATATATATCCAACGCGTGTGAGAACAAAGCCGCGAGGCACTAGAATATCTCATCTCACTAATGAAAGGGGCCTGGCAAACACAAGCACTCCCTTCTAGCTCTAATTTAGCGCCTGTAGCCTCGCAGCTAGTCCCTCTAAAAACGCAAACCCATCCTTGGTGATAGTCCTCCCACTGCTCTTGTTGGTAACAGCACCAAAGTCAGCCACGAGGTTCGCAAGCACCCTATTACTCGATGCAATCCCCACTTCCCGACGAAGCCTCGCAACCACGCCCAATTTTACATGCGCTGGTTGGGGGGCTCGATCGTCCTCTCGATTTACACTCCGTAAAGTCCGAAGCGGCAGTACGAATATCGAAGGATCTGCGAGCTGTTTGTACAATGCATCCAAAAAGGCGAATCCCTCTTTGGTGAGCGTCTTTGAGCCCAATTGCAGGAATTTCGTGAACTCTTCTACGGCGACTGCAAGAGCAGCGTTATCCGTCGAATCAAGCACGGAAAGCTTGAGCTTCTGCAGCTGACTCGCTTTCTTTGTTCGCACGGGAGTGCAGGGTGGAAGGGGTTGACCATTTGGCCTCGATTCATCGTCCTCGGAGCTGTCGCTTACGGATATGATTTCGCTAGCCTTTTTTGAGTCATTTCTTCGCGCAGGGGCAGGGACATTAGTTTGGTCCCCAAGTATTGGACGAGGCGGGTTGAGCTGGAGCTTGGCCAAGTCTTTCAGGACGTTCTCCATCTCATCTGCATCAATCGTGGGCCGTGTAGGAGCAGGCCGTCCTGCTTGAGGCTGAACCTGAAAATTCTGAATACACAAACTGAGGTGTACCGACAGACACTCGTACCTTGGGAGCTGGCGGTGGTGGCCAGATAAAGCGCTCAATATCGGTGAAGCCACTGTCCTGTGCGAGCGCCTGGAACTCGTCCTTCCAGTGATCGTAATCAGGACATTCAAAGAACTTCAGCCGTCTACAATAGCGCAGGAACTCTTCGAACTCAGAGGGCATTCCCTTGCACAGGTCCTCAGGGCGAGCGTTCTTTTTTGCTCGTTTGATACGATCGTGCGCCGAGTCGGTTTTTGGTACACCGTTCCGTGTCCACGAGAGTCCTCCAGGCGTAAGAAGATGTATAAACATCAATGCGGCAGCCTCAAGATCATCTCGCCTAGACGGTACTGCGACAATTCTCATAGGTAGCTGTAACACACAAATAAACCTAGGATACTGACCCTTGCCTTTACAATGCACGTTGACAGACGTAAACCAATAGTTTCCCAAGAAATCTCTCTTCTCCTTTGAGTCTGGTATATGCCGCCGCGTGTGCGATTCGATGTAGCGTTTAGAAAACCCGAAGTCGATCATGTAGATGGTGTCTTCTTCAGGCGTCAATCCGATAGCACAGTTCCCAAGCTGTATATCACGATGCAGAACTTCGCGGTTGTGCATGATCTGCAAGCGTGCGATCTGCATATACGATCAATGCCAAGATTATCCCATCGATCTGAAGCTAGAACACACTCACCACCTGAATCGCAATAGAACATACGCTCCGAAGGTCCATCCTATTGTGTCCCCATTGCAAATTTTCTCGGTAGATACTCTCCAGACTTCTTCCGAGGAGACTTATGACTAGATAATGCCATTTTCCCTGGATACCGCTCGCCCATAACCGAGGCATGCCCTCTCCTCCTTGCAGTAGAGGATAGATGGCCTGCTCGTAGCGATTTGTTGGGCACTCGTGGTCGATGTCTTGCACTTTGAGCGCGACGAAAGTGTTATCGTGAACATGCCGTGCTTTGAAGATAGAGCCTGGGACGAGATGGCCTGGGTGAGGAATAGCGTTGAGTGGGCTCGGTACGTACCTGAATAGCCTGATCCAAGTCGATCTTGTAGCCAGTAGTTGCCCATTCTGCGAGGAATAGTATCTGAGTTGTGCGCCATTATGTTGCCTGATCACGGTCAATGTCCCGAGTTACAGAGGTACTGTTGGTAGGTGATAAGTGACCAACAGCGGAATTAAGATGACAGCTTTGTGGTAGTAGAGTCTAATGTGTGGAGCAGTACAATATTGTGGACGATAAGTTGATTCGGATTAAACAGATGGTTGCTTGTGGTTGACGCGCCAATTGCCTCAACCTGGTACGCGTCAGTCACGTGTTAAGTTGAAATGTGAATACCCCTTACAGTAGCTGTCGGTTCGAAACTTCGAGTACTAGAAGTCATAATTGTAGTCACAACACATTCACAAAACAGAGTCATTTTCATTGTGATAATACTAATACAGCGGTTATACGGTCTTGATGCGTCAAAAATAATTCAGAGCTGCCCCGCCGCAGCTTGTGCAGTCAATGCTGCGGATGCTTGTAAAGCACGGGGTGTGTCGTACTTGTCCATGATTACTTCGACCAACTGGATCTTTCGCGCACTCACGAAGTCCTCGTCATCGAGAAGCTTGTCGAGTTCTGACTTGCTGCGGACCGTGTACGACTGTGTCAGCTTGCCCTCAATATCGCCGAGAGTAGTGAGGAGCGAAGTCCATTTCCTGTGGGAATGTTTGAGAAAGATACAGATGAAGAGAACGATCTTACCAGTCTGCAATGTCGTTGTACTTCCTGCAAGGAATTGTTAACGGTCACGTAGTGTGCCTTATCAATGACCACTCGCCTATCGAGGCCGTGCAAATGCCTCTCGATGTTGTAGCCCTTGTTATTCAGCACAAAGATTATCGGCGTCAACTTGTTATGAGTCATGGTTGAGATCTCTTGCACAGTCAATTGCCTGCCACATGAAATATTCAAGTTAAAATTCAGGCACGATGGACGAAACACGTACATGCTACCATCACCGGTGAATAATATGGTACGCCCAAGATGTCTGTCGCGGGCTGCGATCGCTGCACCGAGTGTGCTAGCTACAGTCGTTTCCAGTCAGATGCAAGTTCAGTAGAGAAACTTGAGAGTGTTTACCGGTCGCCCATCCAATGCTTCCGTACAAGATTTGGCTGACGAAAATACACTGGTCAGGCATTGGAACGTCCATAACCCCAAAGTTTGAAGTGCCTGGACACATGCTTCAGCTTGCATTTTGAAGGATAACATACGCTTCGACTCACCAGTCTCAGCAACGATGACATCCTGCTTCCGAAGAATTTTCCGACGCGAGGCCAGAAATGAGCATGCGAAATCTTGTCGTCACTTTCCTTTGGAATATCTAACTTATAGTGCGGAACGGGGATTCGTGATGCACCCTCCTGGAATTTACTCAACCTCTCCGTAAGCTTCGGGAGAAGCCATTTCATTCCTATATCCGGGAATTTTGCGTGGCGAACAAGTGTATGGTCGGAATGTAGCTGCAAAATCACCTAAGCGTCGAAAACTGGCATGTCACGGAAAATTACCTCGATGGTGTGCCTCGCAGGAATATGGTACGTGAACATTCCCGTGTTAAAATCTGACTTTAACGCGCCAATCGAGAGGATAAGGTTTGCGTTCTCGACCCTCTCCTTGATGGATGGATGCGTGATCGAACCGATGTAAATCTATAGAAAAGTCAAAACGGTCTTGAACGAAAGACGGGGACGAAAACTCACACCACCATATCGTTCATACTCCTCACTCACTGATGTCTTTCCCATTGGTGTTGCGTATACAGGGAACTGTGTTTTCACGAGGAGGTCGTTGACTTCCTCGCGCAAGTCGTGACGAACGGCGCAAGCATCGACGAGGATAATGACGTCTCGTTTAGCATCCTCCACGAGCTTCACAATCTCGTCGATAACATAGCTCTCGACGTCTGGGTTATTGGGAGGAGGGGTCCGCGGGAGTTCGATCTTCAAGCGCTTGGCAGAGATCTTTTCGGTGGTGAGGTCCATCGGAAGGGTAAGGTAGACGGGGCGAGCCTGAAGGATGTTTACTGCTTGAACAGGGGAAGGCAAATAATCAGTACTTACTTGAATGATAGCCTCCACGAGGATTCGATCAATTTCGGCCGCAGCTTGTGCTTTGTTCATAATAATGGCCTGAGCAGCGGTGATCTGTTCCGCAACTTTCGTATATACGTTGAATCTGGAAGACGTGAGACGCCGGATCAACAAAAAAAGAAGTATATACCTTCCATCACCAAGTGTGTGGTGGAGCATAGGCTTATTCTTCAACTGTGTAGTGCTAGGCACTCCGACGATATGAAGGACAGGGACCATTTCAGAGAACGCTGAGTGATCTGTGAGTCTCCACATGGGAGAACAACAAGTAAGAATTACCGCCTGCAATTGCGTTGGTAGCACTCAATTCGCCAACACCGAACCTATAAATTGATGAGGTCACGGGCAGATAATGATTGTCGACTACCAAACGCACGTTGTGACAACCACACCTATGCTATGCTCTTTCACGCGGGAGTATCCATCTGCTGCGTAAGCTGCGTTCAACTCGTTGCTATAATGGCGTAAGAAAATGTGCAGCCGAAATGATGAACTCATTACCAGTTCCCAATCCATTGAATTGTGGGATGGTCTTCAATGAAGTCCTAAGGATTGAGGTGAAAATATCAGTACTTGCGCTGTTCATATGCGCAGTATTCACCAGGAAAGCTACATAAGATCGTTAGTATATCAAGTTATCGATGATTGATGAGACCCTACGCATGTTAAAATCCCCCGGTACTCCGAAGATGGACTGGTAGCAATAAGTGAGTAGGGATCTATGAACATGATTGAAGGGGACACATACCGTCACGTTGAGCTGTTCCAATCTCTTCAAAATGTAATCAGAGATAGTGATAAGCTCTTCGTCCTCGCTATGATATTGTGCTTTCAAGGTTTGAAGCTCCTGTTGAGGTCGATCGACTTCACCCTGGAGTTTCCTGGCTTCAGTACCCATGGTAGTAGTTAGATTTATTCTCTGCGACGAGTTTCAAGAGAAAGGGGTAAGAGATTGATGATTGAGAGAGATGGATTATATACGGGAACGGCAACGTCATAGAGTCTAGACACATCGATCCAATAAGGCAGTTGAGCGTCGGCACACGGCGGCGAGACTAGCTTTATCTCTAGGCTAGCCTGGCTAGCCATTCGATAAGTCACTTCTCCGTTGACCCCGGATATTACAATCAACATCGACCAATTGCAAAATGATCTCATAGCTGGGAATGCAACTCCGCCCCCCATTGCGATAATATCCTCTCAGTGACCATCTATCCAATTCCCCCGTCGTTTCCTTCCCTCCTCCTTAAAACCTCTGAACAAGAAACAGTCACAAAACTTACTCGCACCATGGGCTTATTAGCCACTCACAATTTGGTATAAATGGCTCGTGCTCTCGCATTGCCTTCTGTAACATCCAAAGAGATACGCTGCAATCCAAACTGCTTGAAGGCATGGTTTACAGTGAAACGTGTGGCTTCCGTTCCATATCCCTTTCCCCAGAACCTGGAGGCAATAGTTACGCCCAACCGTGCATCCCGGTTCTTCGCCTCCAATAAATTGATGCAACAAAAGCCGATATATTCATAGTTCTTCTTGTGTCGCAAAGAAAACCAGAGCGCTGAGCCCTCCGCAAAAGTCTTCATATATTCTTTGTACTTTGAGGAAGGCGCAGGCGCGATAGCTGAGAACGTCAGGGTCCGTTGGACGAGGGCGTCGTTGCGCAGACCAAGGATGTGGTCTAGATCATCGTCTTCGAATCCGCGGAAAATGAGGTTTTCTGTGACAAACATACTCAGTTGCGCGATATCGAAGCAGTATGCAGCAGAGAGCAGTAAGCGCTGGAAAAGCGGTAATATTAGAATCTTTCGAGATCATAATGGCGACGATGCTAGCCAGCTTAGCATATGTTGATTCCACCTGAACGTCCAGTAATACTTCCGTTCTCGGTGTCTTCCGTTCATCGATTTCCCCGATGCGGCAACCAAAATCTGTTGCCAAGGACTGTCCGAGGTCCCAACTGGTTCCATGAAATGATGAATGCACGTGCCATGTTTCTTGAACTCTTTCGATCCTTTCAACATCAACATGCTAGAGTGACTCGGATTCTACAGCGTTGCTTCCAGCTAAGCTCTGGCAAGCTCATTGACCACCACAAGGTTTCTTCGATGGCGCGCAAGACGGTGTCCATATGAGTCATCAGCGTCGTTGAATATCTCTTGTTCTCACCTCTGTTTTCACCGGCAGTCCTCAGTTACGCACGGCATCCATCACCGTTGTGGTGCTCGATGCTCGCACACCTTCCGGGAGTCCGGTTACCCTCCCCGATCGCCTTTCATCGCTCTCACTCCAACACCAACGAGGCAGCCAAACTCCAGCAGCGCCCAAGGCGAAATATCTTTTCTCCCCATGATCCTCATGTTGGAGTAGCTGTAATACGGGATAAAAATGTATATTTTCTCGCGCGCATTTCCGATCACCGATTTCCATGCAGCCATTGACCGTTGCTCTGCGGCCGAAGCGAGACGTGCCCGCTGGTACCAGTAACCATCGCACCAGGCGCAATCATGACCCGTCCCACGGCGGGCTCATGTCCTAACTTTTTCTCGCACATCTCCACCGGTGAAACCAACACAGCAGTGCCAGAAAGACTCATCCTAAGGCCAAGTACAGGCCCAGGCATCATCATCGCGCTACTAGTCCCACGCTAGGTGCAGCAACCAGATAGTCACGACCCCTTTCATTTTCATACTTTTTATCCGCTGTTAAATACGAGTCCCGTGTGTCGCATTATATCGATCTAGGCACCAAAGAAACCTCTACAAGTTATCACAGACACAATGAATGCAGTACTGAAAATATGCATCATGCTCTTGGACGTATCTTCACCAGGCGAGAAAGGGTGATACAAAATTCCGAGTCTTCACACTGTGTAAACCAACCACAATGCAAATTCCAATGCTATTGGTTCGCACAGTGAGAATTCGTTCATATAAATGATACATGGGGGTATGCTGATATAAGAGCCACGGGACGGCCAAGATACTTAGAACGCTGAACGTCCTGAAGATTGGTGGAGCAGTATCGTATCATCGACCTTCTCCATCTGAAGTGTCCTATGAGAACGAGAACTCGCGGGAAGGTACACGAACGCACGTGAGTTGGAACCGCATAGTCAGAAGAGAGCGATTAATATTGTTTCACTGACCGAAATGATATATGATAATCTTGTGTTTGATGGATGTGACAGAGTGAATATGGATTATATTTTGATACTCGGATGGAGAGTGCTATATATTGGGCGATAGCCACGGGTCGCAACGTCGGGCTCATCTGTCATGTAGACTGTGGAAACAACAGATAGGGGAGTTCAGCAGGAAGCTCTGACGTGAGAGTGCGGGGAGGACACTGCTAATGCCAAAAGGATGATCTTGCTTTAATGTTACGGCAAGATATACGAGGGCTTCAGCACGTGTCAGGGAAAATGCTGGCACCGACCGGTTCTGTACATTGTGACATGGCTGATTGCCAACATCCTGGCGTATCATGGGCGTTCTCAACCATTTGACTACCATCGATTACACAGCGTGCCTTGATCAAAAGAACAACAGGAGTGATGGGCCGCATGTCGATAAGCACCTGGCCAGCGAGATCTATGAATTTCAATAAGCATTCAAGGGGTACCATCCTTGATTCAACTCGCGCACCTCCGTCAACCTTCTCTCGCGTCACAGATCTAGAACGCAATGGTTACCAGCTCCTGCGGATATTTGATCCGAATTCCTGTACTTGGATCTGCCGCAGTCACACCGTAAGTCCGACTCCTATGTAGTTCTGACCATAGCCGTCATAGATCATTCAGATTCAGCCGGATCTTGCGGCCTCGATATCCATGACACCTCCTGCTCCTGTTATGAGTATTGCGGTGCCAAGTACAGCAACCGCGCGGCCCTGGCTCCTTAAACCATTTTTATAATTGCGCAGTAACACTACATACGTAGCTTGTAGATGCCTTAAATCGCACTGAAATACATCAACATACTATGAGCACGAGCTTTGATGGGGTACAACTTACGAATGTAGAACAGCGACGTAGTCAATAGCCAAATAGAAGAGAGATCTTAGCATAATGTCGGCGCGATTCTTCACCTGCTAGGAAAAGTAATAAAAATTTCAAATCTCGATCCCTCGTACCGTATCAGCAAACCAGCAGCAATGGTTAGCAATACCAGTGCTACTGGTATGCAGATTCGTACAAACAATACGCAGGGGACAGGTCAGTCATGAGTATCTCGAGCGCCGAAGGATCCTGAAGATGGAGGAAAGTTAATGGGACAGCATCGCACCACTGACCTTTTCCGTCTGGAGTGTTGTGAACGGCATCTCGTGGAAAAATATGCAGGTGCGTCATAAGTTGGAACCGAGCGGTCTGCAGACCCTACAACTCCGGAATTGTTCCACTGACCAGAATATGATACGAACATCTCGCATCCAATCTGACAAGGTGAATATGGCGATAGCAACCTCTCGATCAGAATGTAATGTTAGATATTGGGTGATAGCCACGAGTCGCGAATGTAGGCTGCGGAACGATAGGTTGGGGAGGTTAGCGGGCTTAAGGGCAGATGTGAATGGACGAAAGGGCACGGTAATGAAATCGCTAATGCCAAAGCAGCTTTCTCGGACTTGCTTTTAAGGCCACAGCAAGCTGATAAGGGCTTCGACACGTGTCAAGGAGAAGCTGACCGGTCGACCAACCGGTCGACGATCCGTTATCTGCACATGACTGACTCGGAGGATGTACCCAGGAGGTGAAGGTCTTGTCTGGGCGAGCGGCAATAGGAGGGGTGGACTGCTTTGCCAGCATCCTGGTACATCACGGCCATTCTAGACAATCGACTACCATCGATTAGGCAGCGTACCTCAGAAGAACACGATGCGGCATGTCTCGGATAAGCACCTGGCGGCCAGCGCAGATTTTGATAACATATGAATTTCAATAAGCGTTCAAGGGTACCTTCGTGCCCTTCTATCTCGTATCAAGATCGCACACTGTGATTATTTGAATGATTGCTCACCTTTATCAGCTTCTCAGTCGAAAATGGATTCCTGCTGGTTGCAGTCTAAATTGAAACGGACTAGTGTGATGACGTAAGATTCAGAACGCGCTTCTCCAAATCCTCCAAGTACTAGCCTAGTAGTCGACTAATCAGTACTACCCAATGTCGCAATCAGAACCCTCCTTCTTTGAACGCGAGCGCGATAGACTATCCTTGGACATCACAGCAGTAAGTGCTACCCCACCCAACACACCTTGAAACTGACGCGCCATCCCACAGGGCTTCGAAGACCTTCTCTCATCCAGCAACGTCCTCAATCGGAAACTCGAAGAAGTGATAGGCATGACTCGTGAATACGAAACCATTGCTTCCCTCTGGCAAAGCTTCCACGAGTTGATGCGTGGACAACGAGACGAAGTGCTCGAAGATAGAACGACCGTGCCCGGCACAGGCGCCCACGTCGTGTCTACAAACTCCAAACGATAGCACTGAGCAGCTAAAGAGGGAAAGTGAAATTGTTCGTCAGGTACGCTACATGATCGCTTTCATGAACTTTGCGAAGACTATCCAAGTACAGGTGAGAAGAACAAAAAAGTATGTATTATTGTGACAAGACAAAGACAGATGATGACGACAATGCTGCGTAGAGTCCAAATCATACATCCGCCCAAGAAGCAACCTGCGCAAGTTGTTTGGTGAGGAGCACCGAAGAAATAGGCATCGCACTCACCCATGAGAATCCACTGAATTCTTGTTGGTCCTTCGAAGACAACTGCCCGTGAACGGGCGTTAGTGTCGGTTGCTCTTTTGTAAATTCTTCATCGAAATTACTGGTGTCCGCACTCCCGTTCTGCAAATGAAATTAACATCGTTCCTTTTACTTGAAACATCGGGCTTACTATAGTGGGGAAGTAGGGCGGTGGGATGCGTTTGTTCAAGACATCGTCAAAGCTCACATCCTTGAAGAAAGGATGTCTCTTGATCTCCTCGGCATCAGCTTTCCCAGATCCCAAACGTCGGGTGGGATCACGAGTCAACAACTGCAAAATCGCCATCAACAAGCGCAACAAGTAGAGTGCGGGAACATTCAACCTTTTGCAAGATGGAAACAGCATCTCTCGGCATGGTGATCGGATATAGAGGTTCATCCTCCAAGATGGCATCAAAGATCTCATCTTCGTCATCGCCACGGAAAGGCGATTGTCCAAGCAACATCTCATACGTCAAGACACCAAACGCCCACCAATCTACGGCACGGCCATATCGTTGTTCCAGGAGAATCTGCATCAACGTCAGTTCGGTCCTCACAGCAAGGAGATGCAACAAGTACTTCGGGAGCCATAAACTCAGGAGTACCGCAGAACGTGCTCGTGGTCGAGCCATACCACATATCCTCCTTGCACAGACCATAATCAGCAACCTTGACGTGTCCGTCAAGGGTGAGCAGAATATTATCAAGCTTCAGATCACGGTAGATGATGCCGTTCGCGTGGAAGTACTCCAAAGCAAGAAGGACCTCCGACGCGTAAAACTTGGCTTGACGAAGCGAGAATTGTTTGCGTTGGATGTGCAACATGAGGTCACCTCCACTAACGTACTCCATGACAAAGTACACGCGCGTCTCAGTCTGGAAACACGAATGTAAGCCAAGTAGGAACGGGTGTCGTTCACGAGCAGCAGCCAAGAATACTCGTTTTTCTGAACGGGTACTACAAATTCTGATTAATTGTCTTGATCACATCAAATTTATGAGACATACCTCTCGACCTCATCGTTATCAATGATAAACTCTTTCTTGAGCACTTTGATGGCATACAAACCGTTCGTCTTTTTCTCCTCCGCGAGCATGACTTTACCGAAGTTACCCTTACCCAGCACAGCCAGGAAGTTGAAGTCATCGAGGCCAACTTTACGTTTGCGAGTTGCAACTCGCTGAGCCGGAGACATAGCCTGAACAGGCGAAACTAAATGAGGGTCCTGTGGTCGCGGTGCGTACTGGGGCCCAGGAGGTTGCATTGGCAAACCTGGTTGCGGATACGAGGTCTGTTTCTAGAGCTTTGTGAGCGCACATGCTAACACCACTAACACAGAAACATACCTGGGGTGCCGGGATCGAGTACTCTTCCTGCTCATACGCCATAGGTGCCTGTGGCGGAGGTGGTGGAGGAGGCAACAACTGTTCATTGGGGTAAGCAGGAGGCACCGGGATCCGAGCACCTGGGGGAGGCCGAGGAGGAACACTAGATGGCGGTTGCTGCTGATAATAACGAGAATCAACACCATCCTGCGTAGGAGTGCGCCGCCCAAACGCATCCACAACCATCCCAGGTACAGGAGCCACCTCTCCCCCCGTAAGTTGCATCCTGTCTAGACTATCGCTAAGCGGTACTTCCGCAGGTGGAAGCACCTGCGTTTGGGTCTGTGGGGTAGGAGCGAGGGTCATGGGTCGTGATACCGCCGCTGCTACTTTACCCCCACGCGCGCGATTGATATCGCGCCAATCACGGAGGAGCTGGTTGGCTGTCTCCATTGACATACCACAGAAATCAGGCACGAGGTGCGCACAGTTGGCATGGCAGGTGATATCACATTCTGAGCACTTGCGTGCGTTCTTGCGACCGAGGGGAAGCATGTAACCACAGTGGCAGCACCAGTTCGCACCGATGTTTGTGAGGGGCTCGAAGCGATGGGGAATGCGATGGTTGATTTTCTCTTCATCGCCCTCCTGGAGAGGGAGGTGTGAGAGACGATGAGAGAGAGAGGGAAGATACGCACCCCAGAGTTTGATTTCGATATACACTTGGTAACAACTTTCTCGTAACATTTCTTGTGACAAGTGTATCGGCAGTCTTCGCACTGATAACCCAGGGCGTTGAGTAAGAAGTCGTTGCAAAAGGCACAAAGCATGAGTTGATAGAATTGCCGTTGTACGAATTTATGGCCATTCATCTCGTGAACTTCGCCCTTACGTTTTCTAACAGCACCCTGACGGCCGAGTCCACCGGGGGCATCTAGCGGGCGCTTGCGCACGTTCTCCTTGACTGAAACTCGGCATAAGAATCCAACTCACAGACTTGGAGGTCACTTACCGAAGTTGAGATGCAATCCAAGGGCACCTGCCGGTTCCACCGCGAACCACGCATCAATGCCTTCGTTCTGGCTCGTGTACGCCGCTGCACCGCCTGGTGGATTACCTGCCCCATCAGGTTCTATATTGAGAGGAGCATTGACATCGCCGAATCCACCAACTTGGTGCGGAGAACGATTGACAGGAGAGTCACCATCCATGGCACCCGCAGTGACCCAGCCACCCTGGCTGTCCATCATGACCTTTTGTCGTCTAAGCGCTTCGACAAGGTCACTGATTCTTATCCAAAGCAATCCAATAGGGGCCGGGTGAACTTCGGATACTTGTTTGTCATAGACCGCGATCTCGACCTCATTAGCTTTGTCGACTGTGATTTCGAAGTCTTCATTCCAGCGGTCGGTCCGCGAGGGGTGGGAGCGAGCACGTTGCGTTCCTTCGATTTTAAGGGATACGAAGGTCTCACGAACCTGTTTGGAGGAAGGACGGGATCTGAAACCGGTAATGATTGGAGTGTGTTCGAGTTCGCGTGCCCCTTTGACAGTCACATAGAGCTTGCCGGATAACGGCTTGGCGCGTATATTATCTTTATGTTCGCCGTCGGGACCTAGCCCATGAAATTTGAAATGATATGGATTGAGGAACAAAAGAAAAACTGACCTGCAGGTTGCTCTTCTTCCTCTACATCATCGAGGATATGGAGGTTCTTGTAGCATTTGAGAGCAGATTGAAGAAGCTGAATCTTCTTCTCGCTCTCAACGCGCTTGCTCTCTGCATCTGCACGAGATTTCTTGTCGCCGTCTGCCTGATAAAGCTTGGACATCTTGTCGATGCCCTTCTTGTACTGCATTTCGACTTGTAGTTTGAACTCGAGCTGATGAAGCATACGAGATATCTTTGGAGTTGTAAGGGGGGTATCCGCTTTGATAAGATCGAGGTTTGTATATTGCTTTGCCTTGGGAACACCGTCGGTATCATCGCCGGGGATGAGAGTGGCGCTAGAAGAGGCACCGCGAGTAGAAACTTGATCAGAGGGGGGGATTCGGGGAAGTGAACGATCTCTATCAGAGGAACGACCTTGTTTGAATAGGTGTTGATGAGGAGATATAGCAGTGCCCGATCTAGAGGGATCATCGCGCTGTAGCTTGCGAGCTTGTAGCTCGCGGAGAGTGTCCTCGAAATAAGAAAGCGAACGCTCTGCCTCGCGAACCTTTGCATCATTTTGACGCAGTACGTCGGGATTTGTCGTTGCCTGTCTGATTAAGCGTGAAGCGTCAATGAATTTGCGTTCCTTCTCGATGCGCTTGAAGACATCTTGTATTTTCTGGTCTAGCTCGACGGTCGACTATGATAGAGACTTGTTTGACTGTGAATTTAAAGCAGAAAGAGAGAGCGCACCATGACCGTTGAAGACCTGTGTTGTCTGTAGGTCGTAGTAAGAGAGGGCGTATACAGCAGTAGATGGGGCTGTGGGCCAGATTACTGATAAACGCCCGACGAGGCACTACAGACTTGGCTAACACCCATATATAGACTTAGCAATTTAGACTTAGACTTACATATGGACTTAGACTAATAATAATTCAATAATTATCAATGCCATCCTTTTCCTCCTCCTCGTCAATTCGTGCTGCTTCTGAACAATGTCTATTGAACGTAAAAATCGTGCACAAGCTCTATCATGGCTCTCCTTCTAACGTCTTCCATAAAGTCAAAGGCAGACTACCAAAAGAATTGGACGTTCTCCTACTTTCAGATTTGATTTTTTCTATTTCAGGTTCTCTAGACGGTCAGACTGTCCCTGCTGATGCAATCGCGCACTCTGCCTTGATGCGCTACCTCCGCAATGATCTCAATGAAGCACGTATCGAAGCAACCTTTTTCCGTTTTTTTTATGTGACAATCTATTCCAGAACGCACTTCAGCTTGGTTTAAACACCGTTTCTGATGCATACGTTGACGGCGACGACGGCCACGCTAAAAGTAAGCTCCTTAACTGTGCGTTATATGCCCACGCACAATTTCCACCTGCAGTCACTCTGACGCCATCGCGGTCCCTATGCCATACATTCCGCCCACATGCTATTCTCGTGGCAGTGGATCTATGCTATATTTGGAAAACCGCAGGCGATCGCGAAGACTCCACAGGCCTTCTCGGCGATGCCAGCCCGTTCGCAGACAACTTGTACCTACCCTTTGAGCTCCTCCTCAAGCGCGTCACAGAGCAGCTTTTCAATCAGCTTGTCGGGTGCGTTTCTGCAGTCAGAGCTGAGTATATGCGCTCTCATATGGCTCAGACGCTATCCTCTTATCTTTGGGACGTGGTGCAAAGTATGTTGATCCTTTTTCTGCTCAAACGCTCTAACAATGTCCAGAGACTCGACATGGAGTCCGAGTACTTCCCTTCTGTTGCACAATCCATTCTCGAAATCATGCGGCGGTCCCCAAATCCCCATTTTGTAGCACGTTGTAAGCGACTAATTAAGGTGCGTTTTCTATTTCTGCTCGTGCACGCCATAAATTTCTGTCTAGACTGCACGCGCTCGCCATCACTCCATGCTCCAGACCTCCGCGGCAGCCCTCTCCTTGTGTCTCGCCTCCTGCGACTCAAACGACTCGGATGATGGGGAGCAAATCAATGATTCAAAACTCACACCAGAAGCCGTATTGTGTGAGTCCTTGGAGCAGATATTTAGAGCAGGGGTCCCTCAGACCCGCTTCAAGGTATGAGTTCTCCCATTCAGGAACGACGAGCGTGCGAGTTATTCAGAGCCAGGTCGTCGCCGCACGCTCGACCCTATTGACTTCCTCAGCTGGGGATGTCGATCAACTAATTGACGATGACGCCATTTTTAACAATGCGGAAATAGATTTCCCTCTAGCTTGGCCCAATCTCCCTGACATTCACATGGATAACTCCGTTTCGGTTATTGATATGGAGCAGACCGTGCCGAGCGACACGGATGATCTTTTAGAGGACTGGCCTGAAGAAGCATTACCCTGGTCCACGTTTTCTGGTGCATGGACCACGCATTCGGACGAATCTCTTATCGATGGCCTAGGCTCTTCATCTCGACCACGTAGCACTACACCCCCTTTGGCACGGTCCTATCTGACTGAAAGTGAAGACGATAGCTTCGTGTTGGATCTAGAACCGGATCACGAGCAAGAGGATGCGAAGATGGAAGATGCCGATTTCGACCGTGTTGTGTTTCATCCACCCCTGTTAGGTCATCGCGCAAAGTTTGGGCGCCAAGAACAACCTGGAGGTACAGAGGAATTTGACTTGCTTGTTGATGAAGAATGGAGCTGCGAGGACGAGTTATTATTTGATTTGGCCGACGTATTCGATGACTCGGGTGGACTTGGTGTTGACGGCGAGACTGGACCCATTGCTGTCTCACAAGCTCCGGACGGGGGCCCTGATCAAGACATCTTCTTACAGGTGAAGAGCAATACCGCGGATCAAGAATACGGTTTTGACACACACTTTGGCATGGAAGGTCAGGTGGTCCAGGGTAGTGCAGATGACTGTTTTACGGATGTCTGGGATCTATAACGTGTTCTGCAACAAAGTCTGACTTGGGAAACAAGTGTGCTGAAACTGATTGTGACATATGAGATCCGACATCCGATGCCGGGTATAATTGAAATGTTTGATTAAGACTCCGCCACTCCGCTTAGGTAATTACATCTTTGAGGGAAAGACTGGAAACGCTTAGAAACGTCAAGTTATCGACAAACTTTTGTTTCCAATTCGATTCATCGGTGCTGAGCTTCCTCTTCGACGTTCTCGAAGGCTTTTCTAGCTCCTCCTCCTTCATCGTCTTTTGTCCCTAGCTCGTTCTGCTAATCACTTCACCATGCTGCCGGCCAAGCGCAACAAGATCGACATCAGTGTGAGTTATCGATGCCTCGTGCCAAAGCCATGTATTCATCTTGGCTTACACAGAAACTGACGGAGGAGGAGCAAAAGCTCTTTCGACTGTACGGCAAACTTCCAGCGCACAAGAACATCTTGACCAAGATGCAAGGGGTAAGTTACATGTCTCACTATTCGCCTTTGTTCTTATTGTATGCGCTCCAGGACCGGAAATATTTCGATTCAGGTGACTATGCACTCTCCAAAGCCGGAGTCGCACCACAGAACACCGTTGGTACTGCGATCCCCAATCCAGACAAGTAAGTTCCGTTCGCCATTCTTACCATGCACAGTGACTCACTCACAGCCACGCATAGCATCCCACATGCATCATCGCCGCCGACATCACACTCCGGCGGGTTAAGCGTATCCCCCACAAACAAGCTCATGTCCTGCAAAAGAGAGTTCACTCTCCCATTCCGAGGAAGAAGAGCCAGAGAGGGAAGACGCTGATGCAGGGGTCCAGGAGGACGCATAGACGTTCACTCTTCTTTTTGCTTTCCGTGCTCATCCACTTCCCGATTCTTCAAAGAGCTTAAAGACGCTACGTTTTGCTCATGTATTCCCTATGTATCATCGGTACCCCATCCCATGCCTTCCAGATTCAATGCTTGGCTACCCTTCCTTGATCTGTAGTCTGCTGCTGTTTTGAATCTGTTCTGTATCAGTAACTACATATAGTATCCGCTCATCGCACATTCATCTGTCTGTTTTGCAGGTGCTATCTATAATAATTCTGGAACGTTGGTGTGACGTGACTTGTGTGACTGCTTCTGTGATGTACGTGACTGTAACGGTCGCGCTTGTGGCTGGACGCGTCCATTTCATGTGTGTTTCTCATTCTGTTCAGCTTTGATCGAAGATGTCTTCCTTACGCAGTGATTTTTGCGAATGGCTTGGAGCTACAGACTCAGAAGAGGACTCAGAAGGCCTCATAAACGAATGTACGATTTCACATTTGAATCCACAAAGAATAGTCATCGAACACGCTCTACAGGCATATCCATATGTCAGATGTACAATCTAACAGCAAAGGACCTCCAATATAAATGGGAAGCTCTCTCTTACGGTAAAGCGCAGACAATACTCCGCTTCACACGCGAATCTGCATCAGACGTGAAGGCCCAGATCCAGCGGGAGATGCAAGCCAAGAATGCCAGTAGTGTATCCAAGTCCGCAGCGACAGGCTTTGTGCGCGGGAAGTTTGCGAATTCTGCGAAGTTTGCGGGGGTAAATGCTAAGGGACTTACTGGGCCGCTCAAGGCTGCGGCTCAACCGCCGAAAGCGCTTTTTGGAGGCATGGCGAGCGTTCCTGTGAAGCTTGAGCAGGACTTTGATGGGCCGATCGCCAGTTCAAGTAGGGTCACTTTTGTAGGTCAGAAAGAGGCTAGACAAAGGTCGCGCATGTGAGTGTCAATCATCATTACCTTGATCTTCTCTGCTTATCCAGCCCAAGATCGGTACATGTATGAAACATTAGGCGAACGAAGCGACAGTGCGTGTTTATCTGGAAAAAATTGTGGATGCTACTCTAGCTGGAACTTTCTCTAGCTCTGGATGCACAACTCGATGGGTTTGGCGAACTCATTTTGAAAAATTATCGGGATATCCTTCAGTTGGGTCATCCTGGTGTTTTTTCCGAGGTATGAGTGCGTTGATGACTGGTTTTGTTAGCTGATTTTTGATGCAGGAATCATGTGTTGTTGTGGGCCGGATCGTGCTAGACGCTGAGGCTTCTGGGTCAGGCATCAAGTTGAACGATCAGTCGCTCATTCTCGAGTCATCGCGATCGCACGGTGATGGACTCCGTGTGCCTCTACAACTCGCGCCAGATCTCAAGATTCGGGGAGGGTATAAAGGCCTTGGGTGGTGTTAGGCCTATTTCCTGGTGCGGTAGTAGCACTCAAAGGGCGCAACGGTGGTGGAGGTTATTTCATTGCGTCTGAGATTCTAGCTGTGAGTATTTTGAGTCTCTGGTTTTCTTGTTGAGATAGAAAACACACTTTGCGTAGATACCCCCGATGCCAGCGTCTCCTGCTCCACCGAGTAACGTGGCAGCAAGTTTCGACATGTGCATAGCATGCGGGCCATTCACTCCAGATGCTAACCTCGACTACAAACCGTGGAGAACTCTTATCAGCAACCTCAAGACATCAAAACCTGCCGTCGTCTTACTCGTACGCACATTCATTATTCAATTTAATATTCGAATCTCATAATCCAATCAGCTCGGGCCATTCGTAGACGCTACACATGCCCACATACAGAATGGCATGGTTGACGAGACGCCATCAGACATTTTCAAACACCAATTTATCGCCCCCCTCCGCGATTTCCTTTCTCAATCGCCAACAAGCACAGTCCTTCTCGTACCAAGCGTGAATGACATCATTAGCGACCACGCAGTTTTTCCTCAATGCGAGCTTGATGACGAGTTTCGTGGCGATCCGGTTGGTTTTTCGAGCGCTATTCTCTTGCTCTCGAGCTAATGACGTATTGATTTTAGCGCATACGGCTCCTTCCTAATCCTGCACGCTTTTCACTAAACGAGATTTCTTTCGCTGTATGCAGCGTGGATGTGTTGTATCACCTGCGGAAGGAGGAGTACTTTAGACGTGGACAAGAAGTAGATTCTATCGTATGCGAACCAGAGGCTGCTAGCGACCCTATGTCGAATCTCAGCAGATATGTTTTGCAGCAGAGAAGGTGACACTTTTGTAATAATTCAACTTGCAGCAGCTTACATCCAACGATTTGCATAGCTTTTATCCGATATTCCCTGTTTCCTTAGGACGTTGCACACGAAGTCAATCTTGACGTATCGCATTCCGCAGAGTTGAGAGTCGCCGAGAGTCCTGAGGATCCAGGTCCTGACGTGATGGTACTACCCAGTCGGTTGAAACATTTCTCAAAGGTGAATCCATTTCCTCAATACTACCCCGTCGTCTCTTCAACATCTGCTGCAGGTCGTGGACAATTCGGTCGTCATCAATCCGTCATATCTGACAAAGGGCACGTATGCCACCCTCTCTTATTCTGGACAAGGAACGGGATTTCCCAAAGATCGGATATCGGCTGATATTGCAAAGTTATCTTAGAATACCCCAGGTGACTGCTCGTATGATGTCGCATTTTTGATATAATTGCATACATTTATTGCTCTTTTCTGATGCGTTCGTACTGGTGCTGCGATCGCATCACAAAAAACTGCACTGATGGCATCATTAGCTTGTTGCTTCCATCTCGAGTATCCGATGTGGTTCTCGGTGTACACCTTGACTTTTATCTTGCAACCCTGCAGAGCTCTTATAGAAGTCGAATTATGATTATCAACGCTTACGATGCTCAGTAAGAACTTCTACAGCTATTTTCATGGGGGCGAACTACTATAAGTGAGTTCTCTGCATCCCATCAGTTATATATGCCAAGTCGTAAGCATGCAGTAACAACCATCTCTTTCACATTTGAAGCCATCCAGGCGGCTTTATGAATGATGCCTAACCCAACACATCAAACCCCCATTATTGCTACTAATTGCCATTGCATGCAGCAAGCACACGGTAAGAAGGAAAACTCTCTTCGTCGTACACCACGGATACTTCCAGATTACCATTGCCTTACCTCTGTGCCTTCACCCCAAGCGAATAGAACTTCTCCCCGTTAGCGTACATCGAGCAGAGGTTTTGGATTTCAACACAACGCTGCACTGATTTATGCTTCCCGGGACAATCTACTAATATTCCTATTTTCTACAGTGAGTTTTTTGCGCCTTCCAAGACCTCACGTCGAACTAGATGACCCGGTTTATTTCGCCAATTCTTATATGTATTATACAAACATGGGATCTAAGAGAGTAAGAACGTTCAAACTCTCGGCCTGGCATGATCTCTTTTACGCTGGTGAGCATCAAACGATGACCGCACAGAAATCGTCGGTCCAAAATGTACTTGAAGAATATATTTGTCTGTCGCACTTCAGTAACTTCAACAACTGAGGGCCGTGATGAGAGAAAGTAGACCGCTTTGGGCATTACTGAAATTTGGTTGTCTCATCGATGTTGGTGGAGCGAGAGCTCGCTTTGAATGGACTAGCGGGGACAAAGAGATCTTGATACGATGTGAAGATGAGATAGTTTTTTATGTACCGTACTTCCATTCAAAACCATTGAAATATCGAGCAACAGATATACTACAGTGGACTCCATACTGACGCAAGCCGTCGATGGACGTCGGACGTCAAATAGCCTCGTCATTTTCTGCTCCTGAGACAGAATTATCCCTGCAATCACAGTCTACCTAGACTAGACATTAGTAGAGAAGTCGGTAACCTGTGACACTTGTCCTATGATCCAGGACCTCAGGTGAGAAACGTGAGAGATGCAGTGAGAGATGCAGTGAGAGATATGAAAATTATTGGCTGCCAGTATGAGCCACATCGCTAGGCAAAACATAGCGAACCAAACTGGGGATGCAGTCGAGACGACGACAACGTCAGCAGTGCGGAAAATCAGGACAGACAATGCTGCAGCAAAGAACACCATTCTGTCGAAGAATGAGCCAACAACCTATGAGATATAACTGGAAACGCACGCCCAAATCAAAAGTGCAAATGGCAGACTCAGCATGAGGGCAAGGCTCTCGAGGCCAAGCATAGAACGCGACATGCCTGACATGAAAGAGGCCTGTGGACATGGGCATGGGCAATACAAGTCATAAAATAGAAAGTAAACGTACCACCTCTTCAGCAGAACTTCGTCGGCTGTCATTAACTTGCCCAGCCAAGACCAGCGAGACCACCAACGAGCCCATGACGCAGAGTGTAGACAGATATGTTAGAAGGGTTGCGGCCATCTGAGTCTGGACAGATTGGACCGTAAGAAGACTGATATCGACAGCAAGCATCACAGTGGACTGAGATGGTCATTGTTTGCATGTCAATATGGAACAAAGTACAACTCACGTATATTGTATATCCATTCCATTCAGCGGTAAGCCTATCAATAAAGTTCTTCCACCGCGGATGAACAATGGTTTCATCGACCCATATCTTATGAATACCCTTGCTCTGAGCATCAAATGATCCAAACAGAAAGACATTCATGACGCGAAGGATCCCTTTCGAGCGGACATTAGGTTTTTCATATAACGATTGGTCTACACCAAGTCGGGCGCCTAGTTGTCCACAAAAATTCACAAACTTGGCATTGTCTGGAGAAGTGGTTAGAAAATGGGCTGCGTAGACTACTGACCTGAGCTCACAGAAAATTCTTGTGAATCGAGCTGAAATCGGCAAACATATCAGAAGTAATCAACCGACCTTCGTGATAAGACTTACCGACAATCCACACAGAGTGCTCACGCTCTTTGTTAGCGCTATCTGGAAAAACAATCAACAACGGTTCCATTTCCCTACATCAGGGAATCATTCACCCATGAGCCAATCCACAAGGCCGAGCATACTAGCAACCTCATCCGAAGCAAAAGGTGCTAGGCATGTTTCAGAGGTAATATTTTCTGTCGCAACTCAATCTTGGAGGACGTGAAAAACTCATCGTTCTTTTCTTACCTGCCTGAGCGAACATGACAATTTCTTTGAGTTTTACGACAACATCTTCCGGGAGAAAACGTTTGTTTGGAAATAGTTCGACGTGTCTCCTGTCAATATCATCATATGTCAATTGTGGGAGGTAAAGGACTGTAAAAATGTGAGCCCGTGTGCTTGGATCATGAGGGAATGGGCATACTGCTAAGAATCGTGCGAACCAGTACTGCGATTCTAGTGCATACCCTGGAACGACGCAATTACAACAGCTCGAATAGAAAGTAATCTACGAAAAGAACTTACTGAGATGGCTTTTACACTCTACACCTCGAATTTTGTTCATAAGGGGATCAGATGTGTGGTCTTCGAACCAGAAGATGATGCGTTTTTTGTGATCCGCGAAGTAGTAGCCCCACATTTCTCCGTCGTCAGTCTTGATAAGCTCCAATACTAGCTCGACGAGTGGATCTATAGTGAGATTTGCTTCGCTCATTTCTCTGTACGCCTTCGTGACGGCTTCACCTATTTTGGTAGCAATTTTTTGGTCTCGAACATCGGCATCAGTGAAAGCTCTCTTGTGCGCGGTATGAGTGCTTTAAGCCTTGTAGGAGTAAGCGGTAAACGTACTTGTTTCGGATAATAGAAGAAAAAAGCCCCTTCTGGGTGTGTGAGTGGCTCCCATCCTTCTGCAGTGGCAGGCATCCTACAGGCCCATTTCAATCACATCACTACCTCTCTCGCTAGCATGCTTACTCGGAACAGTTGAAGGGACCTTTCTCAACCTTGAAAGCTTTATACACATTTTTACTGTGACCATGGATTAGAATGGCAACTCACTTGAAATACATTTTGCCTACACTGGAATATGCCTGTCGTATCGCCTGACCTGTGGTCCGGGTACAATGGGAACTAGAGTGGTAACATGTCCTGGAGCCGCAGGAAGTGGTATCCCCACACCCACAAGGTTGCAAACGCTGGGCTCAGGCGTAGAAAGTATCAACGGCGCAGCAGACATCTCGGTGGACTGTGCATTATGAGCTACGTTATTGGGCCTTGCATTGAGCTCGCCGCCAGTTGGTAACTGAAGGCTCATTCCAGGTTGGTACCCTTGGCTTTGTGGAGGTTTGAACAATGGCACAGCGAGGGTCACCGAAGGTGTCTTGTCTTGGTTGATCACTGGCTGAGAGCTCAATGCTAAACCGAACCGTTGTTGAAAATCCCCCTCCTTTCGATTGAAGACAGATCGAGAGTGTCGAATCAGTCGCAGCAGGACATAGAGAAGACTTTTGTACGAGCGAAATACGGCCGTCTTGAGAACGCGCCTCAACCAGGAGATGAACATACGAATGTATCGTGCATGCATGATCATTGCAGAGAATAAGTCGAGCCAAGTACAGAAACTAGGGAACTTTGCCGGGTAGTGGGCGAGAAGGTAGAAATAAAAGGTAGTCTTGAATGGGTATTAGGAGAATGAGCGTTCGACTTAGTGACTTCAGTAAAGCTGACAGTTGTGACTACTCGTCCAGCAAACATACAGCCCTAATTCAAATTGACACAGGCTTTGTTGTCAATATCATAATGGCTTAGCTAATAGCCTGCAGAGAGGTTCCCACTCTTTTTCAAACCGCTCACTGTCTTCGCTTCATAAGCAATATCTATGTGCAAGCCAAGGTTATTAACTCTCATGCACCAGGATGTGTGACGCATGAGCTGTTCTGTATGGCTCTCGAGTCTTGACTACGCTACTGCTGTACGTGCAATGTGCACGGTGCTTACATTATAGGATCACATATGATATCAGTAATATGCTGGAGAGGAGATGGTGCGCACAGTGACACACTGCGAATGGATGCGGCTACGCGGCCTCATGCTCCTTACCACCATGCTCACTTTCCTTGTGGTGCTCTGGGCTACAACCTCTTCGCTGGTTGGCTCGATCATGGTTGGATCGGTGGTCATACTGTCACGGTAACCTACGTCCTTCATCGACATGCATCTATGGAATCTCGACACAAACCTCCAACTTGAAGTCGGTCCACTCCTCCAACACGAAGGTGAAGTAAACTGGGCAGCCCTTTCCGCTGATGGAAAGCTGCTAGTCACTGGTTGCAGCAACGAAAACGTGTACGTGTGGGACATTCAAGCCATCTTCAAGGAAGCTGGCCTTGAAGACCTCCTTCGGCCTTCATCTGATGTAAAGCTTATGGTTCTTTGGTCAAAAATGCGCTAATATCACATTCGCAGGTTACAGCTCAAGAGTCATTGACAGATGTACGTGATTTGTTTCTCAACCTCCCCAATCGTTGTAATCTAGATATTCTATTTAGGCGGATGCTACGCAGGCCGTGGATGATGAACTTTCGCCAGGTTTTTTCAACGATGCCACAGATGGCGCTAATGTGTGTCATCGGCATTTTCAATGGTTTCTTGTCCTGACGTGTTGATCTCAGTCCTCTGGAGCGTACGCTAACTATCACCGTTCCTCTTCCCGCCGTCCTCGCCCTCCTGCATCCTCTTTTGGGGGCGCAAGAGCTCTCTTTGGTCGCCTTCCAGCCGCTCTCACTCCAAGACTAATGGATCAACTGAACTCCAGCAATGCCCAAGGCGGGCCTCATTGGTTCCTGGGCCTCGTATCGTCGATGTTGCTGCAGTGAAAGACAGAGAGGTATGAATTTCTCCGCATACATTCCCTATCGCCGTGGTTTAATGATTTCTGTTCAGGTTATATTCACTGCTCCCCCGCCGCCAGAAAAAGCACAGCAGCAAACTCAATCGCACGAATCATCCACAACACAGCCTGCTTCAGGTACTAATCCTACTACCCCACGTCCCAGATATGCACTACCTGTCTGATTATTGGCTCATCTTGTGCTTTTTCTCTGCTGCGCATCGCCTCAAGACGCCGATGCCAATGCACAACCAACACATCAGCAAGGTCAATCAACAGGTCAAGCCCGCCCCCAGGCGTCATCATTGCAGACTCAGTCTACTGCCGCTTCGGCATCTACGACACCTGCTCCTGCGACTAGTCCTACCGCGCCAAGTGCAGCAAGCGCATAGCCACAGCTTCTTCTATGGCAGACTCATTTCGTAATCTTTTCTACTGTGCAATTCCCCCACACGCCGATGGTCATTAATACAGCCACACAACTACTTCATATTTGGTTCTAGTTCTTCAGTGCGCATTTCTTCATATCATTTGGCAATCACGTGCATCGGTCTTGTTTCCGACTCGTGCAATGTTCGGCCTCAATAATACCAACCGTTGCAAGAGGAACATTCTAAGATCAACTAAGGCGATGACTAGCACGGGCACGGATGACGCTTTGTTTTCCTATGCAACCCATTTTCCGTCCAGATCTTCATTTCGCAACTCAATATCGTTGCCTGACTAGGAGAATAGTCAACGCAATGAATCTTTGGCAAGAGAATCTCATCGAAGCCAGTGTGTTATCACTTCTACTATTTTGACCGACGTAGTTAATCCAATGAGAGTAGTTTGCCATGCATGAAAAATCTCTGATAGTGACGTATCGCGGTGGTCTACTGAGAGAGAGAGCATGATCGGAAACAAGCGACAGCGTTGACCTGCAAGCAAACTGTCTCAACCTTGCATTACCGCTTCTGCTTGCAAGAGTCTTGCCGTTTGGAGACAATGCTTATGCCATGCTTCTAAGTGATTCCTTATCTTCCTCATCTTGCCACTCGTCACCAATCTGTCCTTGTTCATGCCATCTGGAGTCGATCTTTTGCCGGGCTTGCGTCTCGTTTATAGAATTGGAGAAATCTATACCGCATTATGAAAGTGTTGGAAACCCAACCCGCCAACATAGTAGTACATAGTATCTTTTTTGTTTAACTCAGCCGCTCGCTCAACGCCAGCGGACTTACCATATTAGGTAGTCCCACGTACGATACTTCCGCCCACTCGTCTCTCGTTCTCATTTTCCCCAGTCTGTTACATCCGACTGGGGTAAGTCATATCTTAGTATACCTACAACATTCCTTACTGATGTACCATAGAACTCACTAGAGTTCGTTCTATCTAGGTACATAATAAAGAGTCTGTTACATCCGACTGGGAACTCACTAGAGTTCGTTCTATCTAGCGTCTGCAGTCCCTGCATGAGCGTCGTCGTCTTGGCTGAGCGAGAGTTAGAAAATTTGGACGGGACGAACCTGTGTGCTCCCATCAATATGATACCATTCCTCCAAGACGAGCTCGCATTGATACGACAGTCCATTTGAGGGATTGCTTTGACATCCCTCGACGCTCGTGTCATTAGTCCTGCAGATCGTGCGATACGAAGTCTGAGAAATATAAATGTCTGATAGTTATCCATTTGAGACGCGAGGATGGTGGTAGCACCCGTGATGCGTCCTGTTAACTGACTGATCCGAATGAGGACTGATATTGATGGAATGAACTGACCTTTGGTGAAGAGAAATTGAGTGTGGAGAAACTTGAAGATCGTTCGATGTCGGAATATCGAACGGGGCTCGTTACCTCCCATGTGATCCCAGAGAATTGTCCTTTCGTCCAGCTTCATAATTGTTCTTTCGCCATTTCACTGGGAAGGTAGAAGCTAATCAAGACTCAACGTTCAACACGAAGCTACATAATTAAGAAATTGCAACTCCCATCTGACTGTCCTAGCGAAGCCACAGTGCAATGAAAGCACACGTCGTGGTCTCCGCATCGTATCAGCGAACCAGCAACAATGATTTATGAGAACCAATGTTATTGGTTCGCGGTTACGATGCAAATTCTCCTCGTATAAATGATATACAGCGTGTCGAGTTGATACCCACCGGATGGTCATGGACGCCTCGAGCGCTCCCGAAGATGGAGGAACGTAGATGAAACATCATTGCCCATCGATCTTTTTCATCGGAGTGTTCTACGAGAGCAGGATCTAGTGGAAAGGTATGGGATGTCTCATGAGTTAGAACTACATAATCCGAAGAGCGGTTGTTCCACTGAGCGAAATGTGATACGAACATTTTGTCCTCTTTCGAAACAACGCACGAGAGTATCGTATATTGCGTGACGCAAGTCGGGATATCGAGGTCATGTTTCATGTAGGCTGTGGGACAGGTCAGTGGGACGCTCTGACATGAACGGACGAAAGGAGCATGAAAAGGAAACCACCAATGTCAATAGGGTCCTGCTTTTGTAAGGCGATGACAGGTCGATGAGGACTTGGACACGTTGGATAAATGTGGCAGCTGACCGGTCGACCAGACGCTCGACTATCTAGGGTAGTTTCGTTCCAGAAACGCTGGAATGTCTCTATGATGGTTTTTGGATTTGGGGCTCATTCATGAAGGGGTAGATATTCGTGTCGCACGATTCTATTCCTGCGTGGCATAAGTGTTATCGTCATCGTCGTGTCTGAGCAAGGATAGGAGAATTGATACATGCGTATGAGACGGCCATCGCGAACGAAACGCCTACAGTCATGGCTCCTGTCCATGAGATAACATTTCCATAAGACAGGTTCTAGATGATACGACGGTGATCGCATTGACGTCCCTCAAATTTCAAAGACCATGTCGATGCTCAGGTCATGTCCGAAATCCAAAATTTTCAAGAGAATATCAATTTCTGATCGACATGTGCATTTAAGAGGGGACGATGATGGCAACACCCATCAATCGTTTTGTCGACCATTTGATATGAACAGGAATCTCTTTGTAAAACAAATAAGTTCAGAGATAGATTGGATGAGACATGTGTTCCGAAGGAGACAAGGCCGAAGGAACAAGAGCCGAGGGGGAGAGGCAGCAAGCGGCCGAAGGATAGAGCCGGAGGAGAGGACACCAAGTGCGAGCGCATCCAAACGGAGAATGAGGACGACGTGTCATGGTCAACTCGTACGCTGTCCATCTTTTAGTTTATTTTAGCGTATATGACTGTACCTGGACACTCGCCTTATAAGCCCAGGTACCCGCATCCAAGCATCTCAGTTTCAACTCGAATACTGAGATGTAAGTTAGTATTTTCGTAACGTTCGACTCGAGGTCTAACGTTCTAGTAGATTCGTACCTTTGTGTCTAGGTACAATGTTTGTTAATCGAAGTTTCAACTCGAATACTGAGATAATCGTACCTTTGTGTCTAGCCTCGCGTGACCGTCTCGCAATACTCACAATAACATGCAGAGGTGGGGAGGGAGTGCAGCACCTTGTCGAATGTGTGCCACAACCAGCGATGTAGTCCTTACGTATAGACATAGCGCCGGTTGCGCTGAGAGCTTGATCGACACAGCAATAGCGAACACGAGGATGATGCATGGGACGGACCTTAAAACGACTTGAACAAACAGGTGCCCAACTTCCTCAACTCCCAACTAGACACGCTCTGATCGCTGGTAATCAAGGGGTCGTCTAAACGGCGTTGCTCGTGAGTGGTACTGTAAGCTTTTCTTGCAGGACAAAACTGACGATATGCTTGCCAGCAATTTTGGATATCCACAAAGATCTCTAGCACGTTCTGATTTTTCAGATAACAACTCCATAGACAGTCCCGAAGTTGGAGTTCTGGGTAAAGAGCAGACCTGTAAGTGGGCTGTCTTATTAGCAACTATTGCGTGCTCTGACAAGAAGTAAGGTGACAAAAAAAAGACTCACCAGCAATTACTGCTGTTGCCGGACAACTCGACCTGATTTCAAGATCCTACCTCTCTCGCCTACATTGTCCCCAATCTGCCGTAGTTGAGATACCGAGCGCTGATCATGTCTTCCTCCAGTAGGATGCGAGCTATCACGCCATGTCAGACGTTGCGAGGTAATACCGACTGGGTAACTGGTGTTGTACATCTGCATTCCGGACGACAGACCATCACATGTTCGACGGACGGCTCACTGCGACTACGGGATATAGAAAGCGGTACACAGATAGGAGAGGACTGGAGAGATGAAGAAAATGAAACAGAAGTGCGGTCCATGGCATTGTCTCCAAATTGCAAGACAATTGCAAGTGGATGTGATGACGGAAAAGTCAGGTTATGGGACGTCGAGACGAGGAAGGTTATTTCCAGATGGTCAGGACACACTCATGTCGTGCGTGCATTGTGCTGGAGTGCAGATGGTAAACGAGTGCTGACCGGATCTTGGGATGGGATGGCAAGAGTCTGGGATGTCAAGAGCAGCCAAACTGTCTTGATAATCAACACCGGGCACTCGTGGGTGAACGCGGTGATCTACTCGCCCGATGCAACGAAAATTGCAACCGGTGGAGGCAACGAGGATGCAGTCAAAATCTGGAATGCCAGGACAGGCGAGCTGCTTAACACGCTCAAACATGATTTCACGGTTCTCAGCTTGGCCTGGACGTCGGACGGAAAGAAGCTTATCTCCGGATCATATGACCCAATTAGGATATACGACACAGCCACTTGGCAGGAGATCGCCAATCTGAAAGGACTCCTGGTCAAAGCCATCACCTTGTCTCAGAACAACCGCCTTCTATGTGCATCAGATTATAAAACAGTGCGTCTATGGAATCTCGACACAAACAGACAAGTCGATCCACCTCTCCGACACGAAAATAAAGTAATCTGCGCAGCCCTTTCCAACGATGGAAAAGTGTTAGTCACTGGTTGCAAAAACAAAGACCCGTCTGCATGGGACATTCAAGCCATCCTTAAACAAGCTGGCTTTGAAGACCTCCTCCTACCTTTATCTGATGTAAATCTCGTGGTTCTTCAGTTAAAATTATGCTAATCTTCCCCTTGCAGGTAATGGATGTACGTGATTTGTTTCTCAACCTTCCCGGTTGTAACCTGGATATTTCATCTAGGTGGATGCTACGCAGGCCGTGGATGATGAACTTTCGCCAGATTTTTTCAACGATGCCACAGATGGTGTTAATGTACATCATCAGCGTTTTCAATCGGTTCCTGTTCTGACCTCTTGATGAGTCAGTCCTCCGGAATGTATGGCAACTATCACCGTTCCTCTTCCCGCCGTCCTCGCCCTACTACATCCTCTTTTGGGAGTGTCAACACGCTCTTTGGTCGCCTTTCGTTGTTTGTCCGCCGCTCTCACTCTTACACTGAACCCCAGCAACGCCCAAGGCGAGCCTTATTGTCTCGTGGGCCTCGTATCGTCGAAGTTGCTGCAGTGAAAGACAGAGAAGTATGTGTTTCTTCGCGTGTATTTTCATATCGTCGTAGTTTAAGTATTTCTGTCCAGGTCATATTCACTGTCCCTCCACCGCCAGAAAAAACACAGCAGCAAATCCAATCGCACGCCCACGAATCATCCACGACACAGCCTGCCTCAGGTGCTAATTCTACTGCACCACATTCCAGATACCTACATTCACTACCTGTCCGATTGTTGGGTCATCTTGTGCTTTTTCTCTGCTGCGCACCACCTCGACACGCCGACGCCAATGCGCAACAGCAAGGTCAATCAACAGGTCAAGCCCAGCCGCAGGCGTCTTCATTGCAAACTCAGTCTACTGCCGCCTCGATATCTACAACGCCTGCTCTTGCGGCTAGTCCTACTGCAGCAAGCGCATAACCGCGGTCCTTTCTATGGCAGACTCATTTCGTTCTCTTATCTACTGTGCAACTTCCCCACACGCCGATGGACATTAATACAGGTACACAACTATTTCATATTTGCTTCTAGTTCTTCTGTACTCTCATCTTCATATCATTTGGCAACTACGTACATCAATCTTGTTTCCTCGTCATGAGACTCGTGCAATGTATCGAACTCGGCAATGCCAACCGTTGCAAGAGGAGTATTGTAGGATTAAACAAGACGATGACTAGCACGGACGGAGGTTCGTTTTCCTACACAATCCATTCTCCGTCCAGGTCTTCATTTCGCCACTCAATCTTGTCACCTAACTAGGAGAATAGTCAATGCAGTGAAGATTGACAAGAGAATCTCATCAAAGGCAGTATGTTATCATTTCTACTATTTTGATCAACATAGTCGATCTAATGAGAGTAGTGTGCTGTACGTGAAAAATAGTGACATGTCACGGTGATCTAGAGCCTGATCGGAAACTAGCGACAGCGAGCTATGCTGAATGAGTACTGAATCCTGTAACACATCGGGGTGAACAATATTTAAAAGAGGCTTATATGTTGTACAAAATGTGAAAACAATATTTGATATTTAAACTAACATGAAGATGGGTGCACGACTTCAAATTTTGGTGGTGTTTTGTGTGTCATCCAAAATATCAAATATTCACAACCATATTCACACAGACAATGGGTGACTATCCATAGGCAAAATAATGTGGAATAGATTATAACGGACTTTGAAAGATATTAGCAAAATTTAATATGTACAGAAAACACAACCGTAATGCATCTGGATTAAAATAATTCGGTCAAAACTGCAATGGACGACCTGCTACTACAGTACCACAATCTGGTGAACGACGGAGAAGAGACGGGTTTTCTCGACGACGAAGAAGACGCGAGGATGCTAGCAGCTACCCTCGTCGCTGGAATAGAGCTAGCTCGACTTGATCGTGTCGAAACCTGGAACCCTAAGCAACTGTACCTTTGTCGTGCCCACTTACTTCCTGACCCACATCGAAATACCCCGTGGCAAGTGCTGTATGCAAGTCGCAGTGATCGTGCGTTCATTACCACGATGGGGATCGATGTTCTAACGTTCGAATTCATCCTTACCTCTGGCTTTGCCAGTCTGTGGTACCACAAGTCCATCACACGTCCTGATACCAACTCGCAAGGCATTCCATGCCTGAATCGCCGTTCACTCGATGCTGGAGGAGCACTCAGCCTCATGCTCCACTATCTCAACTCCACCATGCATGAGACTAGCCTGCAACAAATCTTCATATTGATCCCCGCCACTGTTTCTCGCTATCTAACCTCTGGACTGCCGATACTCTTACAAACACTGCGCTCTATGGTTGATGCCTCAATTCGATGGCCACAGGGGCCTGATTTCGAGTGTTGTAGTGCCCTCGTAGTTGTGTGTCACTCATGCTTGGAAGGTGCTTTCGGAAGCATTGATGGCCTCAAACTCCCCGTGCAGACCTCACACGATGTTGACATTGAAAACACCACCTACAACGGTTGGCTTTCCAAACATTTTGTCAGTTCAGTCATAGCATTTTCTGCTGAAGGTGTGTTTTTTGGTCTTTCTCCAACAATTTGTACTCAATAATCAATTTACAAAGGCGTTGTGATCGCGGCAAGGACAAATGCGCCTGGAAGTTGGCATGATTCACGTCTCGCCTCTCACATCTATACTAAACTTTGTCTCGACACACCTCCTGGCTACTACATCGTCGCAGATACTGCGTTTCCCCGTGGGATGACTTCCGTTGATGGTCGCATTTGCGCACCTTTGAAACATGGTCAAGTTTTGCGTGGGTCTGCTGCCGAGATAGAGGAGCACATGGTGTTCAACCGCCAACTACTCTCTTACCGCCAAACCGCAGAATGGGGCATGCAGGCTATCCAAGGCACATTTGGAAGGCTACGCATGCCACTCGACATCACCAACCAAGAAGCTCGCAGCGACCTCATCGAAATCTGTCTTCGGCTGCACAACCTGCGCACCATACGTGTTGGGATCAACCAGATACGGACCGTGTACATGAAGCATTGGCAGGCTACTGAGGATGACCTGGATGTGTGGTGAGACTTCGAAAGCATGCTATTTTCAGAGCAGAGGAAGAAGGATCGGGTTTCACGCTTCCATGTCATCTTAGAATACTAGTAGATACAACATGTAAAACTTATAATATCAATGCAATGAAGTGTCGTCACAGATAACCTTGGATGCGAGCATGAAGGCGGATACGAAAAGACGGTGACCTGAAGATCCTCAAGCAGAGGGGAAGCGTGCTTTGAGTTGCTGGATGGTGAATAGTAATTAGGTAGACTCACCTGATTGATTTCTTGCAATTGGAACATACCCTGGGCTACAATACTCTAGGATTTGTTGGAGTAAGTGTCGTCACAGATAACCTTGGATGTGAGTGAATAGTAGTTAGGTAGACAACTCACCTGATTGATTTCTCGCAATTGGAACATACCCTGGGCCAGGATTTGTTGGAGTAAGTGTTGTCACAGATAACCTTGGATGTGAGCAGGAACGGGCGCAAGACGTTCAAATCTTTACATTGTACATTGGTACCCTAGATACATTGTAAGTATCATAACACAATCAAATCTCTACTGATCCCTCCTTTTGAATGGGCTTGATAGGCTCATCAGTGATGTCCTCGAAGTATGGGCGATCAGAATACTTGAGACGCCCAGAGGGGCCGATTTTCTGAAGGCATGGTGGCTTGCGCCCCTCGGATGTGGTACTTTCACCTTCATCAGTAAGCCACCTAGTGGATCCCCCACCCTCAGGGTACCACTCTTGATGCAGATTCTTGCGTTTGGGCATCTGTACATGCTGACGGCGCGTGGATCCACTCATTTGCATCATCTCGATGCGAAGCTCGGCCCGATCACGTTCACATTTGATGTCATACATGCGAGCGCGCAAATCAAAGAGTTGGCCATGCAGGGTTTGTGTGGCAGCTTGGGAATCACAGAGCTGCTGACTTTGGGTAAGTAGATGTGTGGTGGCAAGGCTGCGATTGGCACAATCTTCATCATGGTTGTGCTGGGTGGCCGGGTCAAATGCTGTGGAAAGTCGAGTGAGTAAATCCGTAGCTGCCACTCCTCGAGTATTGCGACGTGGAGCTGGGGCTTCTGCGTGAGGAGTGGAGCGGGCAATGGCTGTATGCTGGATTGGAGGGGGGGTAGGCTCATCCTGGTACTGGTCAGAGATGACAGACAGACTGTCATCGTCTTGCACGGCCTCATAATCTGTGTCGTTCAGGTCACACGTTTCTGCACGCTCATTAATGAGCTCTTCAATGCGATGGGCGCGCGTGACTTCTGGAGGGCACACGCCGTCTCCAGTCGGCTTTGTAGTCTTGACCAACTGTAATTATACTTGTCAGTAATGTTGCAGTCATGATACAAAATGAATCATACCTGTTTGAACTTCGTTTCGAGTGAAGTGAGTTTGCGTTCTGGCCGGTGCTTCACCTTGGCCCATTGGCAGAACTTAACTTGAACAGTCTGCCACCCGCGTTGACTGAGAGAGAGCTCGTCTTGGACTATGTCGAGGAGACTTTTGACGTCTGAGCTAGTATAATTGTTGGACCCTTGAGGGCGGCCTCGCCTCGCTCGTGCTTCTGCTTCATCATCCTCATCTCTGTCCTCTTGGGAACGCTTCTTTGCGTTAGAGTATCCAGCATTTTCCTTCTCCTTACCTTTGGCCCTTGGGGCTTTGGCCTTGCGACGCACACCTGCTGTTTTGGTGGCCAGAATGTAGCCGGTGGCCTCCGCAATACTGGCGGGGTAAATCAGATCCATGTCGTCAGAGTGAGGTAGGGGGAGGAGCATGGGATTGATCGTGTTGGTGGTTGGCGCCTCACGTAGAGCAAGGCGAGAATTGGATGCCGGGAAGGGTGGAGGTGTGCCTTCGTGGGACTGGAAGGCTGGAGTGAGTGTGTAGGTAGAAGCAGGCTGCATGTATGTAGTTAGTCGTGTCAAAAATATAATATGATACTCAACGTACCTGATAACCCGGACTGTCGCCATGTTCGAACCGACAGGACCGATCAGATGTAGTAAGAGTCTATAATAAGATGAGTATTGGCTGCCAGTAGACAATCGTTGGATAAGACTTACGTTGCAGATACCTGGATGGGACACCCAAGCGCCATCATTATCACGGGTGAACACATTTCCAGCATGATCATAGTATAATTTAGGGCCCGGGTAAGATGGGGTACTACCAGGAGGTATCATGGATAGTGGAGGAGGAATGTCAGACATTGTGTGCTGTAGTTTTAATGAAAATGATGCTTACCTTGTTGTCCTCCAGTGCGTGCTCTTATATGTTTCGAAAATGCCAACTATTGGATGCATAAGTCACCCAATGACTCTAGATGTTCGTAGTTAGTAGAATGACCCTGTGGTGGTTGCAGGAATACGTTAGTACACACAGTAAAATAAGTCTTTAATGTTAAAAAACAGTCGCGGTAGCTTGGGGAATGAGTTGTTTTCGCAAGTCTAGACTTATAGGGAGAGAATGGTGCCAGCACTGCTCACCTCGTACCCTGACCGGTTGCAGTGGTACATGTCGGCATCGTCTGCTGAGAGCAATCTTAAAACTTCAGCTGAAAACTTCGCCAGGGACCTCAGGGATGGGACTGCGTATATTGGAAAATGTTTGGACTAGGTGGCGACCTTCGCTATGCTGAACATGTGTCAGGCGGACCTCAAGTCTTGGATTAGTCAGCAGATAGCTTAGGCGTAGTGGCCCAAAACGGATTTAATCCGTCGTTTATAATCCGGATTAATCTGTAAGGGGGGGGGGGGGGGGGGGGGGCCCCCTTCTAGATTTAGAGTTTGTAAGAGCCTCAAAATAATATGTTTTGAACATCCGACGCAAATGAACAGCGGCATCGCGGCATGACTTCCTTATATGGTCTTTTTTATTCTATCTTATTTTATTCCGCATTATTTCAGCCTACGGATAGTCACCCAATATGTCAACAAATATAAGAAATATAATCAGATTTTCCATATCCACTTCAATTTAAAGTTTGATCCTTACATAAAACTTTGGAGAAAACTTGAAGTTTTGCCACAGCTTGACATTTAAATTGAGTTTTAATGTCATGTCATCTGTAAAACTTCAAGTTTTCTCCAAAGTTTTACATGGAAATTGAACTTTAAGTTGAAGCAGACATGAAAAATCTGACTATATTTCTTATGTTTGTTGACATATTGTCTGTGGGAATATGGTTGTGAATATTTGGATATTTTGGATCACACATAAAACACCACCAAAATTTGAAGTTGTGCACTCATCTTTATGTTAGTTTGAATATTAAATATTGTCTTCACATTTTGTACAACATATAAACCTCTTTTAAATATCGTTCACCCTGATATGTAAGCAGACTGTCTCAACCTCATGTAAGGCTGGGTGAGTTCGACAGGGAATTGTGAATGGAGAGGGATAGAAACAAGACGAGAGAAACGAGAGTGTTAGTTAGGACGAATCAATGTGTGAAGGAGACTCTTCTTGATGTGTTAGGACATTCTTTGCATTGGGAAAACTCTCAGTATCGAATTCTTGTATCAATGTACATGAATCGTCTATATACGTTTTCGAGTGCGAGACCAGGCCAGAACGAGAGAGAAAGCATGTGGTGTGGTCGAAGATATTGGTCGCAAAACAGGTATCGTGTCATGAGAGCACAAGGTAAGTTTTAAAATGAAAGAAAATGGAAAGTGGCATGGCTCGGATATGAAGAGTGATGCGGTGAGTTGTGGACAACTTCGAGCACGCCTATGTAGTCATAATCTGTGCGTAGAGGATAGGCAATCCTTACACTCACATTACTGCTTCTGCTCGCAAGAATCTTGCCGTTTGGAGACAATGTTTATGCCATGCTTCTCAGTGATTCCTCATCTTCCTCATCTTGCCACTTGTCACCAATCTGTTCTTGTTCATGCCATCTGGACTCGATCTTTTGCTGTGCTTGCATCTTGTTCATAAAATCGGATAAATCTGTATTGCATTATGAAAGCCCTGCATGAGCGTCGTCGTCATGGCTTGGCTGAGTGAGAATTGGAAGACTTGGACAGGATGGACCTATGCTCCCATCAATATGATACCATTTCTCCAAAACGAGCTCACATTGATACGACGGTTCATTCGAGGGATCACTTTGACATTCCTCGACACCCATGTCAATACTCCTGCAGATCATGCGATATGATGTAGAAACAACGATACTGAGAGGAACAATTGATGGTCCTGACTGTATCTATAAATGTCGAAGGTCGTGCGTTTGCCTAGTCTGCTATGCTTGAGATGACAAGCGCGTTCGACCCTAAAGGGGAAGCGAGTGCAGTGAAGATCTAGAGGTGTGCGCCAAAGTGAAGTGCAAGAAAGCGCAGGTGCGCGCAAGGTGCGGGAACATGCGCGCGTGTATGCGGAAATTGATAAAGACTAAGCTTAAGTGATAATATGATGCAAGGTAGGAGAAGAGAGGTGCAAAGTGCAGACAAATAGATTTCTACTATGTTCAGCTAGGTAAATAGTGGGTGGTACTCAAGTCAAAAGTTCAAGGGAAAGTAAGTGAAAAGTAAGTAATAGTATGTACTGCTGGCGCTTATATAGCGTGCCTAAGCGCGGTCATGCGGAGCCGAAGCGCTACCGAGTAGGTATGTAAAGATATATATAAGTAAGGATCCATTATAAAAATAGAGGTGGAATGATATGCTAATAAAAGAAATGGACATATACACACTAGAGGGTTTGGTGGACAGTGGATGGATGCTTCTGGATGGCTGGCACTATAGGGCGCTCAAGCGCGGGAATGGTGCGCGCATGGCGCACGTTGCACGGGAAAGTTGCGCCTCATATAGGGATAGCTGCAGGTAGCGCACGGAGTGACACTACAAGTTCGTGCTATGTACTCCTTGGTGGGAACTGCCATATCACGCCATGAGAGGCATGAGTCTCTACAATGAAGTCTGAGAAATATAAATGTCTGATAGTTATCCATTTGAGAGGCGAGGATGGTGGTAGTACCCATGATGCGTCCTGTTGACTGACTGATCCGAATGAGGACTGATATTGATGGAATGAACTGACCTTTGGTGAAGAGAAATTGAGTGTGGAGAAGATTGCGTTGTATTCTTTCTGGAAAGAAGAAACTTGAAGATCATTCGATGATGGTGTTGTCTCTATCATTATCCTCATCTTCCTGATCTGAAAGAGTTTGCTGCAGGACTGGATGGTGGGAAGAGAGTACAACTGAGACAGAGTGTGAATGTACTACTCAACCTGCGCGCTTTCCGAGCCTTCTGGTACGAGAATATTGGTTGAGTGGAGGTACTCTTTGAATGCTTTTGATGTTGATGAAAGAAAAAAGTTGGAAGGAGAGTAGACAATCTGGCGTCAATACAGGAAAGATGGAGTGTGATGACACGCTCGTATGCAATACATGTAATGAGTTGTCACTACCTTGTGTGGAGCAAGTCAGACCCTGCCAGGTTGATTTACTAGTGAAAGAATCCAGCATTCAATGTTGCGACGAAATTTCATTCGTGTAAACTTTCACTCATCTTTGTGCATCAAGTTTGCTGCCATTCATGACCAAGGTGGTATATTGTTTTCTGAGAAAAGGATTGATTGTAAATGTGCTGTAGCAACGTCATGATCACACTCCTCTTGCAACCATGAGAGAATGCACACACCACCAAAGTCAAAATCATGTCGTAGACCTTATCGAATAGATTCGGGCATCAGTTTCATACTGAAGCTTAAGCCACACCAGGCCCACATGAAACCCAAGCTGAAATGGTGTAATGATGGTTTGCCCTTTGAGTTAGAACTTACAGAATGTAAAAAGGATGTGGCTAGATAACAGGTCTGTGATACAGCGGACTGTCAAC